GACGAGAACACCCCTGAGGTTTATGCAACGGTTCAAAAACACAATGTTGTGGATTCTGAAAAAATGTCGCAACCAGAAAATTCCTTTGATGGAAAGCTAGTGCCTGGTCCGACTTACGCTACCGTGCAGAAGACCAAATCGAAAGACCCCGTGAAACAGGAAACATCTTCAGATGGAGACGACAATAAAGTGACCCTTGCTGTTGTACAGAAACCCAAAAAAGATGATTCTTCAAACTTCAATGAAGTAACTTATGCAAAGGTCAATAAACCTGACTCTGATCAGAATTCCGATGTCACGGGAGGTGCCGAAGGGGCTGACATTGAAGTAAACGATGATCCATATGCAAATATTGACAATATTAAATAAGGATGGGAAAGTTAAATTAAACTATAATCAATATCACATATTTATTGGATTAGTAGCAGAAAAACAGGTTCAGACTGATAAATAAACCTACTAAAGCTTACATAACTTCGAGCCATGTTGCTTCTGGAAGTAACCGTTGATTATCTAATATGTCATACATCTGGTTGGCTACTCCCGTAGTGTGTGTACCAGGTTAGGGTTAGGCCTTAATTTTATTCCGATTTCCCCCTATTTTAGTTCTATTACAAGATTGGGACTGTCTGTGTTAGCCAAGTGAACATGCCCCCTGCCCACAGGTTTCAGTACCTACACACAACTTGATGTAAAGTAGGCGAACAAAATTAGCTACTTCCATATTGGTACACACACCTCTGGAGCGCCCCGGGTTGATTATAAACTGCTCCTGCTTTGTTTTTTAAAAAGGTATTTTCTAATCCCAATTAACTTTACGATAGTAATTTTGAAGCTTGTTTTAAGTTGATCAAATGATGAAGGTTCAACAACTTCGCCCCATCGTCGACAATTTACAAAAGAAAACTGACAAAAAGGTCAACATAGTACCAATATATATAAGTTAAATTCACAATGAATTTACTTTAATTGATTTTGTAAAATAATTATGAATTTGAACAATCCAATTCAAACTGCTTTACCAAAGCGTTATTTTCATTGAAGGTGTGAACGAAACTTAGAAAATTGTCACGATATTCTTCTTCAATGAAACAAACAAGCAGTAAAGCAGAATTTTGATCCAATTCCAATAGAAAGTATCGTGTTGCTTTCACGTTGTGCATTTGGAACGATTACTTGGTGAACTATTTACAGATCGGACCCCGATCGGTTATTAGACAAAACGCAGTCGTTGTTCAAATCTTTACCAATCTATATCTACTTTTGATGCCATGATATAAACATGTATTGGGAACAATATTAATTTGTCTGGTTATCTGGAAGGGTTTTTCAAGTTATCTTTACCGTAAATTTTGACTATTTTTTAGTTTTCGAATATGTTACGCTGTTCTGCCTTATACTGCTTCATGTAATATATACACTGATAAAACAGAAAAAGAAAAAGATTCATAAGATTCCATAAATAAAGCTGAATCCATACTTTTCAATCATGCATAGCATTGCCGTTTTCGTCTTGGTAACAATGTTTCATACCAAGATAAAAAAATTTACACTGCCAATTTTATTTAATCGATGGGTATTTTTATCAAATCTAGCTTTTCCGTTTTGTCTATTAAATCTCGCAATGAAGGAATGAAACATGCAAAACTAAATTTCATCTGATTCTAGGGGTTGAGCTGACAATCGTGTTAAAATTTTACATTTATTCAAATATATGTATATATATATATGCGATAAACTCAGAGAATTTTTTACTAACTAATTTGAATTTATTTTAATCAAACATTGAATTTAAAACGCATTTCGCAAATATCTATTACTAGTTTACCCTTCACGTATATAGCTTTCATTGTAAATTCATATAAATTTTAATCAAACTTCCTGACTTGGAGGTCACAGCCATTATTTGTCCAAAATTTTGTTACTTAATCAGGCCCATGTTACAAGATTTGTTAGGCTCAACCACGATTTATGAATGAAGCTACAAAGTAACTGAGTTTAATTTTATATAGTTGTATTCAACCAAAAGTCACATATGTGGAAAAACGTACAATAAATTTAGGAGAAGGCTCTTGTCAACCAATACAATTGATTACTTTGGTGTTACATATGCCAGAACAAGTGTGAAAAATAAGAAACTTACTGTAAGATCTCTAAACGTTTCACCCTATTTTTTTTTCATATAATTCTCATTGTGTAAATGTCTTGTTATAAATTCATCAACCCAAAACAACATTACGTATAGCTGCATGCATGCACGTATATTAGCAGGAATAGGAAAGCGTGGTGATGTAGAAACTACGTATAGAAAATACGTCAAAACATATAATGTAAACGAGTGGGATGTCTAAACTTCATGAAACTGAAAAAATATATCCATTTTGCATACATAAATTCTGTTCATTAATCGCTGAGGAGGATTAAAGTTATATCTTTAAAATAGGGCAAATACAGGGGAGTAACCGAACAAGCAATATTTTGTAGGTCTGTGAAATAAATAGGACGATTGGATAGGATTTGTAGGAGGCAGGATAAAACGATTTGAGTTGGATACACGTGCGCAAATTTTTGATTGGTTGTTCAAGATAAAAAGGGATTCCAAGTTATTATTGAGATTTTATTATATATGTTGACGTAAACGTATAAATGCGATTCTTCTTCTGCTACTGGATCTTCTGAGTCATGGTGTTTATAAGTAAGATTTTGCAACACTGTGAATATAAATTAAAAAATTTGCAGAATATAGATTTAGATAGCACCAAAACTTTTACTTTCTAGAATCGAAGATGTGAAAAAAATAATAAAAATGTATCAGGGTTTTCGTGTTTTTATTAAAAATTACTCTGTATGAATCAAGTATCATAAATGTTGAAGCTTAGTTGTTGTGATTTTTTAAATAGCTGTTCTGGGTTCATCTGGTTTCGGGTTGGAAAAACCGACAACATCACCTGCAAACGCTGACAACATCGCCCCAACAGTTTATGATAAGGATAAGCAGACAACTCTAGAGGCAATATTGACATCGGATAAAACCAGTTCCCAGACTACGGTAGACAAAATATATACTCAACGGCATCGACATATATTATACCAACCCGATCAACAAAAACAACGCTAAGCACGAACCTTTATGAATTTATTTCTGTCTAAGGTACGTGATATATGTAAGTCAATTCTTTTCAAAACATGTATTCTGCACTCGAGAAATTGTCCCAATTTGACACTCAATATTACAACGATGATGGAAATAATTACAATGTTAAAATTGAACGTTATTCAAAATCAAATAAATAAATCCCAAAAATGTTTTATTTTTCAAAGGTCTTTTAAAGAGTTTACGTAATTATTAAACAGTAGCCAGATAAAAAGAGTCTATTAAAAATATTAGTTCCAAATTTTTTTGAACACAAAAAGCCGATTGAGTTTTTTTTTATATAAATTTAATGTACACAACCAGTGTACTAAAGTTTTTCTCTAAATAGATCGTCGTGGGAGTTGGCAGAGACTAAAAATATCGAATATTATGTATCTAAAGCTGATGACATAAGGAGTTTCGACAAAAGTAAAAACTGTTGTATACAACAGGGTGGGATGCTCTTGGTAAAACAAGCGAAACGCAAAATTTCATTTTAAAGTCTTGTGATCCCGGACTCAGGTATGATTATATTGTATAGCTGCATTTCCCAACCGGGTACCTGTGGCTCACAAAGGCTACAGAGCAGTTGGAGGGGGACCACCATGCTAGACTCAACGCTGATTTTTACTTTCCTTTACATGAAAATTTCAAGTTTTTCTTAATTTCATTGACGTTAAACTTATTTCACAAGTTATTTCCCCTTTTTGTGTTTGAATTGTTTGAACGTGATGGGATTTGGAATCTACCAATCAAAATACCACTACAAAATAAAATACTGCTGGAACGATAAATAGGGGACCATTAGTGCTAAACGCATCTGGTAGGAGGCCACGAGCGATAGTAGTTTGATTACCACTGTTGTATAGGATATGACGTTGAGCGAATACTCCTTTCTTCGTGTTTTTCGTGTAGTCGTCAATCAGTATTGAAAATGCGTAGTAATAAGTTTGACATAATATTCCTGAAAATGTGACGAAAGCTTTTTTATATAGCTGATAAAAATTTTGTTCAATTTTGAAGTTTCTTAATTATTGGATATTATTTTAGCTTGAACTAACAAGCTTTAACAAGCAAAGCTGTTTCTACGACTTGGTTTAAATTTTATTTTATTTGTTAAAATATACTTACCTTACCTAAAAATGTAAAACGTTTATTCTTATTTAACAAATTTTCTGTAAAAATCAACGAAGTCTTAACGACAAAGATGTATTGTAGTCCATAATAATCGACAAAATTTTAACAACAAAAATTTATTGCACAAATAAGCCATATGGCTTTTTTATTGGTTTACAAAGAGTGAAAAATAACATCTTTGCGTTGATTGATGGCGAGGCTGAATCTTATGAAACATGGTTTACTTGAGAACCAAATAATAATGGCAGAAATGAAAACTGTGTCAATATAGGTTGTACTGCCGTCTGAAGTTATCCTAACAAAACAAAATTCAATGAGAAAAAAGACCAAAAATAGAAGCAAAATCAAAATATTGTAGCGCAGTACTTTGTCGACTTTACCCAAAACCACAGGCATAAATATCGGATATTATATTATGCCATACAGTGCAATAAAATACGAGCAAAAAATATACAGAGACCGAAGAATCCCAGAGAACTAAAGAAAGTCTCAACAATGATTCAAATAAGAATAAATCAGTCATACAGAATACGATTTTACCTGCAATACCAATATCAATAGACGATAGAAATTCTCCTGTGGAAAGTCGAAACGAAATTTTCGCTGAAATACAAAGTGAATCAACAATCAGAGTAGTCTCGACCGCACTCCGACCATCTCTAGCTGAAGAAGGGAGTTTCGATGATGACTACATTAAGGTTGCAACACCGGTCAATCCAAGTTTTAAATCATGGAACAGGATGTATACGAGGAAATTGATAAGACCACGGCAGTCAGAAGGCAGAATAGAATACAAAGGACAGTTATTGGTCCTAAAGGTGATGAATATGTCATTGAGACAAAAGAAGTCTAATTGATCGCTATGCTCAAGTAACATTACCGCCTGATTGTTGTTGGCACACAGATGACAGCCCGGTGTCAAATCTTGAAATCTAAAATAACAAGAAAAAATAGTTATTTGAATGCAATAGAGCCCCGTGCAAATTGTGAACACGAAATGGACATATTAATCGTTTTTCTAAATTACTGTTGTTGTCGATGTTGTAGTGATGAACCCAAGGCTATTTTGTCGTAATTGAACTCCAACTAATCGATTTCTGATTCCCAGTACCTAAAGATTGCAAAACCGCAAGAATGCCATTGCTTATATATATCATGTCTTTCACGTTACCTCTAAATCCTGTAGGACCCGCTATCTCAACTCAAATTTAACTGTTTTATTATATTTCATAAAAAGACATTTTTATGAAATATAGGAACAAACTTATCCTTATTTATTACATTACTACATAAAGATATCTCTGAGCCAGTGATCACTATAACACTTGTATACACTTGCATTTAGGATTTTTGCAATTTTATTTTCGCAACTCACTATTTATTCATGAAAACCAAATGTGTGTGAAATGGCACTAAACGATATTATTTTTAATTCATATTAAAAATATAATACATATATTTATTTTTAGAATAGAAACTAGTTATTTCGTTCAAATCTCAACTAAATAGCATTATGCCAACCCTGTTATAATTTTCACATCGAATTAAGGTTTCATCTGCATTACTCTTCTGAAACTGAAATTAATGCGGCTAGAAATTAGATAAATATTTGCAGTGTACTGAAAATAATATCGAATATTTTTGAATACCTATATTTAATGCTATTGTAGGCAATCAAATCATTTATTCATAAGTATTGCATACAGTTGTATTATTAGTTGTATTAAACAAATTTAGTTGTGCTATCCAATCATTTTATCGAAAATCGGAAACGTCGTTAGTATTCCATATTTGTTCTTACCCCAAAAACTTTATTGAGTTTTGTTGATTTTTGTGACAAAGAAGATGACAACGTTTTTAGCTTGCGAATATACATCATTCTTGTTTTATTTTAATTTTCGGATTCAAATTAGAATGTTAATAGAAAAAGTTAGAAATGTTAGATAATTAGCAGTGGAAATGAGAGAGAAACTTTTGATATACATTGGATTATTTTCTTGGACGATTTCCGTCCTTAGCGCAGGTTGGTATATATTATATGTCATCATGTCTTTCAAATTATGTGCATATTCATAAACTGTTTATTTTTGCGACAAGGTCGAGGTGAGTGGAATGCACTTGGAAGTTACCAATACTACGTATCTGGAAAAGGAGATTTAAAATCAAATGATGATGGTAAATTATTCTGTAAAAACAATGATGGCGAGATGGCAATGATAAAAACTAGCGAGATTCAAACGTTTATTCAGAATCAAGTCTCAGCTACCTCAGGTAAATAGGACAATTTACGTTTTCCCCAAAATCTCCAAATGAATTTGCTCAAGGTATTTACCATCACGGTCATAAGAATGTTTTGTTCGTGTGTTTTGGGATTCGCGCAAGACTCATTGATACGTTTGTTTAATTGAATTCTTAATATTTCTAATTCGTCAGTCTTCGTATATTTGCACATGTATTCAATTATGTCCAACAGCCCCAACCAGCCACAAATATTACACACGACAAAACGTTCTATTACTCCAAAGCATTTCATTTTTTACAGGAACACCATATGGATTTTATATTGGATTGAAGGAAGTTGGCACAAGCAATATCTTCAAATGGAATGACAATTCAGAACTAACCTACACTAACTGGAAAACAGGAGAACCTTCTCGTTATCCACTTGAACATTGTGTTGCTATGGGGTGGTGGCATGTGTATCGTGCAAATCTACCGTGGTATGACTCCGAATGCGATGTGAATGCACCAACTGGATTTGTCTGTCAACGATTAATCGGTAACAAACTCTGTTTGCAATAAATGTATACTTAATTTGTGGAAAATGTCCTTTTTTATGCAAATAACTATTTATATATTTTAATGCCATTGACTTCGAATTTCGTCCATTTTATTGATGACAATGTTTACTGTCCCATAGTTTCTAGCATTGATAGTGCCTCAAATATTGCATCAACAGATATTCGCTATAGTGTATGTTGCACCATCAAAAATCAAAATACCTTACTTCAGATTACACTCGTATTTTGATCAAGATACGAGTATCTCCTATTCCGAGTGAGTGCGACTATAACTTTTCTTTGGGCAAATTCTTCTACGGAAAATGAGAATTGGGTTATCTAGGTCCAATGCTTTAGATTCAACTAGATAAATTATGTTTATTGAAGAAAGCAGTTGCACAATATCATTTATTTACTGCCAGCAGAACTTTCTGTTTTTGATGGAAGAAAATTGAACAGAAACTGTCAGCTGAATTTTATCATATGTATCTCGGACAAAACTAGCAACTTTTGATTAGTTATGAGTGTAGGAAAAATTCTGGAAATGTTTAAAAGTTTCAATAATGTCATATTATTACTATTTATACTTTGCACAGCTATGCTATTGTTTCTACCGTCTATACTACATTAACAATTTACCGATATCATATTAGTTGTAAAATATTTAACTCTCATTTTACTCTGTATTTTTCTGCAGGCTGGAACTGGGGATCATGGGAGTCTTGGGGAAGTTGTGAATGCCCGGGAATAAGGCAGCGAAACCGAACTTGTGTTGACAGTGGAAGAATTGGTCCATACATATGCAATGATACCGCAAAACAGTCGGAAGTAAACTTGTTTCACATATATAACTCATTTTGATTGTGTTTCCGTTCAAAATGCTTGCACTTATCCTAGCTCTATTGATAACTATTTAATTTAAGTTCAGGATTTTATAAAGTTGTAGCATGTTGATTAAGATTTCGTTCCAAAACTATAACTCACAAATGGGAATAAAATTTTTACGCATGCACACTATCGTTTGGTAGATTTTTGTACTCAATTTCATCAACAATAATATTAAGCTACACTTGGCATTGCCGCTCAGGTAAATTTATTCAAGTCAGTTATTAGTCGTATTTCGTTATTAATTGAATCCGATTGACTAACGTATTAAAATAATCCCATAATCCAATTGTAATTTTAAATATGACTTGCAAATCCTTCAGTCTCGACACCATTAATTTCGATTTTATTGTTGAGGAAAAATTCTTCCTTTTTTCATAATGTCGTGAATTCTGGAGTTACGGTTAGTTCCAATCAAACACTTACATGTACGATTGAACAAATTGAACGTTGCTTTTAGATATGCACGCCATACGCTTCCTGTAATGCAACTATGTCTTCATTGACCACAGCTCCGACTCCACCAGGTGAGAATGAAAACTTCACTTTAAAATTGTATTGTTGCGTCTTCATTTCCAAGCAAACTGACCAGTTATTACAATTGTTGCAAAAAGAGATAGAGATATAAACAATGGGCTTGTTATTCTCTTTCACATAAGTCACGTCGAAGCCAACTTCTCTTTTGTAATTAGGTTACGAATGTTTCCACTGAATCACGTCGTTGCTTTTTACTATGCCATTCGCTCTAATCAAAAAGTGCTAAAACGGCTTATAATCGAAAAATTTAAATGCGTGAATATATCAAGGCTTCTCTTTATTTTTCACTTCGGTATTGAAGTTAAAGCAAGTGCCTGCAATTGATGCCATCTCGTTCCACCGTGCATTTTCACTGCGAATTTCTCGAGATACTGATATTATTCAGTTATTTGATATTTCATTTGTGAAACAGATCGAGGAAACTGGTTTCCTAATGGAAGTTATGAATACTACGTTTCACCGGGTAGTAGTTCAGGATCTTATGAATACTCGAAAACATTTTGCAAAAATGTAGGAGGCGAACTAGCATTAATAAAGAATGAAATAACACAAAGATTTATAAAAACACTCATTTCTGATGGATCAGGTATGTGCATTACTTTTAAGTATTTAAAGCCGATAAATATGTTTGTACTGCGACGATATAATAACTTCGGTCGTTGATAACATTACGAACGGAATGCAATAATTTCATTCCTTGCGGGATATAACGCTTATTTACTCGAACAAATCACTGTACAAAACTATAAGATACAATATATAAGGAGCTTCTATTAATGTTTGGTATTGTCTGACCAAAATATTACACCCATGGGTGGCGCGGGAAACTGAGATGCATAACCTGCAATGCCATCACAATTATGTCTGACGCTTCAACCGCTTAACCCTCACTAAAACACTAGTCTAAGCATATCCTAGCATTGTAAAACAATATGATATGTTTTATTACAGGAGAACCATACACATTCTACATTGGACTTGTTTATGACAAATCAATGTCGATGTTTCAATGGAATGATGCAACAAACCTTTCATTCACTCTTTGGGATGAAGGAGAACCAAACAATCATGATTCTGGTAGTGGAACACAGATTTGCGTATCGATTGGTAAACAAAAAACTTATGACGCAAATCTTTTATGGCATACGATGGACTGTATCATAGGAGCAACAGGACCAAAAGGATTGGTGTGTCAACGACGTATCGGTGAGTGAAATAACTTGCGACAGCGAATAAAAACGAATATTTAGCGTTTTTTTCTTATATTAAAAATAAAAATATAAATGAGGTGATGAGGTGACAGGCCAAACTGCTATATTTATTCATAATAGCTTCAATATATTCAGAGATTTGTTTGAAGAGAATTGTTGTAAGTCAAGTTTTTTGCCAGTTTTGTTCAAAATGGCTGTGTTATTTTTTTGTATTTAATAAGTTAAAACCTAACAAAGAAAAACTTATGTAGAAACTTGCCATTGCTTTTTATTCCCAATAAACTCGTCGAAACACCACAAATATCGATGGCTTGCCCATACACGCCTTCTCAGGCTGTAGCGCAAGGCGTCTGCAAACGTGGCCGGCGGAGAAAGACGCAACCGATAAGCCATTACGTGAACCACCCTATGACGTTGAGAAGTCCAACACTCTTGCGCATTGTCACATCACTCATGGGATTCGAACCAGGGTCGAATATACTATTGGGCAAGGTAGGCTAAAGTCTTGGGGCCTCTAACTTCGAAGGACTTGACAATCAATTTTGAACTATTATTCATTTTAAATCGTTTTTGAATTGTAAAGGCTTGTTCCAGAATAATGTCAGTTTAAAACTTTATAGTTCTCATATTTTTTTAATGAAGGTAATAATTCCAAATATTTACCGATTGAAAAATTGGAAAATTAGAAATATGACCGAATAAATGAATATGTATAACTTAGAAAAACTCTTGAAAAATTTTTAACTACCTGAACAGTTTTTAACGTAATAATATCTTAATTTTATGAAAAAAATATACCTATATATTTCTGTATATAATGATACATCTAATCAACCGAGAATGTAAGTAATATTCCATATAATTTTTACTATGCCAGAGCTCATTATAAACGAGTTTTTATGAAGTCGACTTTTCTGGTGCCATGACGTTTTGTACGTAAGTATCTTGGCGGTAGCTAAACGTTTGTAACTCACAGAATTCAAAAACTGAACTTGTGATATCATAATACAAGAACTTGCAATCACTTATATGTCGTTATGACAGATTTGTTGTGACGTCATTGTTACAGAGGGCCCTTACAATTAGCATAGCCTAGGCATAGGGCAACTTTTCCGGCTCGCGTGCCAAAATCGACTGAATTTAATGACAAAATTCTTCCGCGTGCCGACCAAATTTGTCGATAGCTCACTCAGTTGTGAAGTCATAAAATATTTCTTTGAAGCCATATGTCATGAATGGTCAAAAAGAATTTAAATAAATAACGGATTGTTAACAAACAATAATGATTAAACGGAAGCAGAGTTTCAACAGATAATTCAGAGTATTGAAACTTTTTTTCGGAAGAAAAATGATTTCGTTTCTGAAGCCTCGCTCGCGTGCCGAATAAATGGGCTCGCGTGCCAAGTTCGGCACGCTTGACAGGGCTTGCCTCTGGCCCAGGGATTCACATCGTCTAAATCCGGCCCTGATTCAAACCTGCGTGCCGACCCGATCTAAGTATATTCTCGCACTTGTATTGTCGAGTTTAGGGCCCCTGATTAAAATGCTTTTGAATTGTAGAAAGCCCGTGAGCGTTGGTATATGATTATCATTGCCTTTATTACTCAAAGCGTCTCCCTGATATCTCAGATAAACATTCCTGTTAAAATCTTATGACTTTAGTGTAGGTACTAACTTGGAGATATAGTTAAATGTTTTAAATTGGATAAATTATGTTTATTAAAGAAAGTAATTGCACAATATCATTAATTTACTGATAGCAAAACTTTCAGTTTTTGATAAATAAAAAAAATGCTATAAACCTGCCAGCTGAATTTTATCATAAATATTCTATATAACTATTACCTATTAGTGCAGGAACGATTCTGATAAGATTTAAAAGTTTTAATAATGTTATCTTGCCACTATTTATACCTCGCACATCTATGCTAACAGTTTATCTTGATTTAAATTTACTGATATCATATTAGTTGAAAATAAAAATCTTTTTTCTCTGTATGTTTCTGCAGGCCGGAATTGGGGATCATGGGAGTCTTGGGGAAGTTGTGAATGCCCGGGAATAAGGCAGCGTAACCGAACTTGTGTTGACAGCTCAAGGATTGGTCCAAACTCATGCAATGATACGGCAACACAGTCCAAAGTGAACGTTCTTTACATATATAACTCATTATGAATTTGTTTTCGATCAAATTTCTTGCTCATTATCTAGCTGTATTAATAACTATTACATTCAAGTTCAGGATTTTATAAAGTTCTAGCATGTCGTTCCAAAACTATAATAAACAGATGGGAATAACATTTATTCTCATACACACTGTTGAGACACGCTTACATTATATAGCAATCGTTTGATCGATTTTTGTACTCAAACTTCATCGACGATATTATTTAGCTACACCTGGCATTGCCACCCAGGTAAATTTATTCAAGTCAGTTTAGTCTATTTCATTATTAATTCAAACAGATTGATTGACGTATCAAAATATTTCCATAATCCAATTTTGTATGTGACTTGCGAATCCTTCAGTCCAGACCCCATTAATTTGGATTTCATTGCCGCAAAAAAACTATTTTTGGATCATTCTACATGAAATATTGAATTCTGGACTTATAATTAGTTCGGTTTTAAAACACCTACATGCATGAATAAATATCATGTCGCACGTTGTTTTTAGATTTGCACGCCATCCGTTTCCTGCAATGTAATTATGCCTTCATTGACCACAGCTCCGACTACACTGAGTGAGAATGAAAGACTCATTTTAAAATTATTACGTCTTCATTTTTCATTAAACTGACCACTTATTACAATCGTTGCAAAAAAGAGATAAGATATGTATGAACAATGGGTTAATCTCCTTCACATAAGTCACGTCAAAACAAACTTCTTTTTGTAATAAAGTTACGAATATTTTCACTGAATCACGCCGTGCTATTTACTATGCTATTCGCTCTATTCGAAAGGTGCTAAAACGGATTATGATCGGAAAATTTAAATGAGTTAATATATCAACGTTTCTTTTTATTTTTCACTTTGGTATGTTGAAGTAAGTGCCGGCAATAATTGATGCCATCTCGTTCCACCGTGCATTTTCACTGTGCATTTTTCAAGTTACTGATATTATTCAACTATTTGATGTATTTGTGAAACAGATCGAGGAAACTGGTTTTCCAATGGAAATTATGAATATTACGTTTCACCGGGTGGTAGTACAAGATCTTATAAAGATTCAAAAACTTTTTGCAAAAATAAAGAAAGTGAATTAGCATTAATAAAGGATGATATCACTCAAGGATTTCTAAAAACACTTATTTTTGATGGATCAGGTACGTGCATTATTGTAAGTATTGAAAGTCAATGAATGTGTATGTATTGCGCCGATATAATAACTTCGGTCGTTGATGGCATTACGAACGAAATGCAATAAGACCGTTCCCTGTGGGATATGACACCCACAAGGACGCAAACGCGGACCTGTACAAAAACCACTGATATCTAACAATATATAAGGAGCTTCTATAACTGTTTGGCGTTGTCTGATCAATTCATTGCACCCACGGGTGACGTGGGATGGCTTTTGAAACGAAGATGCGTAATCTGCAATGCCAACACAGTTAGAGCTAACGCTTCAACCGATTGATCATCGCTAAAACACTTGTCTAGACGTGCCCTAGCAGTATAAAACAATATCGTCACGCTAATAACCGAATTGCGTAAGTCATTTTTAGCAGTTTTGAGAAAAACGTAAAAAACTTCCTAATGATATTGTTGTGCCATTGAGAGTCAATGATTTGCCATGGTTCAATGTTTTGATCGTAGCCGGATTTAAGTTGTGACGTCATAATGGCGCACTGTGACTTAAGCAGAAATGTGTGTATGACTTGGGGATATACGCAATTTTGCATCTTTACTATATGCACAAGTCCTGAAAACAAAACATTCCAAAAACGAATGTAATTCTCAGTATCTACAATGTCTAATCCCCAAAATAGCTAATCAGTTTCAATTACATTATTTTTTATGTTTAAAAATATATATTTCATCGATATAACATGTTCTGCACACCCACCGAAATTAGACTAAGAATAAATATAAAGAATAAAACAGCAATGCACCCAATATAAAAGCCAACCAAGGTGAATTGGACTCGGACAGTGAATATCACAAGTGCTGTAGTACTGTATATTTATACTGTAGTATAAATTCAAATTAATACGCGCTAAGCTGGAATCCGAGATGCAAAAACTCGAAAATACTTGGCCGAGGGTATTTTGCCTTTGTGACGTCACAATAGTCCTGCGGTAACAATGATAATTTATTATGACGAAACAATTGCACAAATGTGCATGTCATACTAAATCTCCATTTTTATGGGTTTCGGAATTCTTAAAATAAAATCTGATTTAACAGACAGGTGCGCAGCATTACATAAATACCTAATTTATAAATAAAACTCGAAATCGCCAAAAATGACTTACGCAATTCGATTATTAGCGTGACGATATGATATGTCTTATTACAGGAGAACCATACACATTCTATATTGGACTTGTTTATGACAAATCAAAGTCGATGTTTCAATGGAACGACGGAACAAACCTTTCATTCATTCGTTGGGATGAAGGAGAACCAAACAATCATGATACTGATAGTGGAACACAGACTTGTGTATCGATAGGTGAACAAAAAACTTATGACGCAAATCTTCTATGGCATACGATGGACTGTGACACTGGAGCAACAGGGTTGAAAGGATTGGTGTGTCAACGCCATATCGGTGAGTAAAATGTCTGGTGACAAGCGAGTTGAGACGAATTCAAACGGCGAAAAGGAATATAAATTTACACGAACTCCAACTTAACTTAGTTTCAATTATGACAAAAAAAACCTGGCTCTGAATCTATATTTAGTTGTAAGATTCAACAAATTAAAAGAGCATAAAGTTTAGAATATGATATAGTTGGAATATGGACCACGAATAAAATCAATAAAAAGAGGAATCATACGTATGATTATGTTTACACTGTGTAGGGAAGTACTGGGAAACCTGGTCATCGTGGAGTTTATGTAACTGCAGCTCTATGATGAAAATAAGAAATCGGACATGCATTGACTCGAGCAGGATGGGGCCCAATAATTGCATTGGTTCTAATTTTGAGGTAAAAAATAGGGAAAGCCACTTTTTGTAGTAATTTAATAGTTTTTGATCTTCTAAAGTGCTTAAAAGAAAAATGATTATCATTCTATGTTTTTTTATTAGTTTTTACTATATTAATGTATAAGCTGCACTTTCAAAAGTGAATCTTCAATATTTCTGATTCAGGTCGCAGGACCTGGCTATTGACGAATTACCAAAAAGGTTTCTGATTCATCTAAATTATTCACTTTCGATATTTTTCATTAGCATGTGAATCAATATTTTTTTGAGCATTTTTATATTTGTTCAACTTTTTGAAGAACATTATACAGATTTAAAAAACCGTTGAAATAAATAAAAAATTATCGTACATATATTGAATCAAAATATTGCTAAATCACAATTACTTTCTTCAGACGACCAGTTGTTCAAAAGACTCTACCTGTGAAACAACGCCCACCCCTTCAACCGTTGAAATGACAACAACAAATAAATATCATGAATTTACAACTCCTACTGACATGACACATACTTCCGCATTGTCTGCCATTGCAAATGACACAAAAACTACGGAGATAAACATTCTCTCTCCCATCAGTGCAATCACTACTACTACAACGAATTCTAGTGGTAAGATTATATAGCTTACAAATTATAAGAGACATTAGTCTCAAGTGAGCATAATTTGATTTTCTAAACTACTATTTTGTGGTTCAATATGCTCACTGACTTTCTGTTTTTTACAACTCATATTTAACCCGTTTTCTGTACTGTTGTGTAGTTGTTTGTGGTCGCACCTGATAAATTTATTGAGGTTTATGATTCTTAATATATATGGAAATATATTGCAGAACACAACATTCTATTGGTTGCAATTATCTCATCCATAGTCACATTGATTCTCGCAGCCATTTTATTTGGAATTGTTTTGCTGATTCGTAAATGCAAAGTAATGAGGTGAGAATTGTTCGATACAACAATAAAATGTGTATATAAAATGTTTAAAAATTATAGTATTTCCTTTAAATTTAGTCAGAAAAGTGAAACTTTTTATACAGCCGCATATCCAATCTCAATGTCCGGAATAATGGCTGAGATTATGGGCTCTCACATTTTCGTCTAGTGTTTTGTGTCCAACGATCACAATGACGCCTAATTCCTCTATAATAGAAGCGATTCAAGAAAAAATTCATTGTTTGATATTCAAAAGCCTACACGTAAAAAATCTCTAACTTAATGTTCTTCACAGAAAGAATTCTCAAAAAATCGCAACTCAACCACAAAGTATTTCAGAGATGAATAACGTTGTTAATAACGTCCCGAGTTCTTATGAAAAAATTGATGAAATTCAAACATCACAACTGAACTCCGGAAACTATGAGATAAGAGAAGAGAAAGATGGAAATTATGAAATCCCGCATAATTATGAGGAAATAAAAGAAAGAGATCATCAATACAAAGAAATGGATGATGGTAAAACAATAGAACATCCGTACATCAATTCAATGCCTGAAAATGAATATGATGCTTGACATGTTGAATATAAATGGCGATCATTCATTGCTATTTTCGTTGTGAATTTAACTATTACTACTTGTTCTTGAATTTCTGCGCTTGTGTTAACTGATATTTATTGAAACAAAAATAACATTGCATATTGGTTCATGTTTTTTCTGTTGTTCAAATTATGAACGTTTATTTTTCGTCAGTATCGCAGATGTAAAATTCGGATTTTTTAATAAATGCAAGTCAAGTGTAGTGACGTCTTCTGCTGGTGCGTTTTGTTAAATATGCCGAAGATGGATCTGGATTTGTATAACTCGCATAACGTGATCTAGGCTGCTAATGGTTTCTTTTATAAGGGTTTCTTTACCCTGATAACATCCATCCCATGTTTCCTTCTAAATTAGAAACACATTTTTGTAAAGTTTGTTTCTTTTTTGTTTGTAGGTGCCACTGACATTCTTCTTGCAATAATTGTTATTTAATAATTTGAAGCTTGGTGATATCGTCTCATTATTTAATGCTATAGGACTAAGAGATGAGTTCACAGTTTCCTATTTGCCTTGCATGTCAATACTTTGAATAAAGGATGAGCAGAAAATATAATATGCTTTCATTTGACTCGCTTCAGTTAGTTACATTCTTGATAAAGACTTGTCAAGTAGTCATATTAAACATAAATTTGAATGAAGATATGCGTGTTATCATTAAAACGAAATTTCTTGTAATTTTTTATCAACACTATCAAGAAATCTTGAACTGACATATTCATACAAAAATAATAGAATTTACGACAACATAGTGAATATGTCACTTCAAAGATTACTTGATTTCGTTCAAGTGTTCATAATAGAAACTTTAAAATATAACCTAATTCAGAACATACTTGTATGGTCCATTATTGTTTTTGTTTTGTACAAAACTATGAATATAAGTCAAACAGATTATATATAAATAATGTTTGTAACCATATAACCTTAAATTAATAATTTGAATTGAATGTATTTGTTCAATTATGACCTAGATCTTTCCAAATTAAACAAGTATCACATATAAAATCTTGGTAAACGCTTTCTCATGATGTGAACCGTAGCATAACATTGATCGCGGTATTTGTGAATTGTGACGTAAAACTTACGTCACCACGAAAAAACATACTGACTGTCCTTACTTTGGGCAATAAGTTATTCGGCAAAGTATAAACTAAAAGATTTAGTCTCATACTAATAGAGAACAACCACACCAACGTAAAAACATAGTGCTCGAACGATTTTCTTTTGTTAGCTGACTTCCCTTACGTTCGAGAATAAGTTATTCGACAGTAGTATAAACTAAATAATATAATCTTGTACTAAACATTCAAATAATGGTAATTTCTCCAAGGCAGTAAATTTTATCACTGAATACGATCAAAATTTATTACTTTCCTTTTTTTTTAAATTTACTAATATAAGTGTGAAATGTGTACATAGTAAATATTTCATTAAAATGAATCAAAGCAAATTGACCTCGAAAGCGTCCTCAAATAATATTATAAAAATCTATAAATTTTCCTTATAAATTTAAAAACATGATTTCAATCATTTTACATTACGTAGTGATAATCTATTTGACAGAGCTGGAATCTGAATGGCAAAGAGAACATTCAGTTTATTTCAACTGAACTGAGTTTGATTGTGTTTTCAAGCAGTGTTAGCTTTTCTTGCCATTGTCAAATGCCCAAGTACAGCCTGAATAATTGACTGTATAAACAATTCGAATCAGGATTCCAATCAAGTTTGGAGCTGTAATCAGTTGGCATTATTTTTATGAAATGTTCTCCAGAATTTCACCCCCAATGGGAAACCATGGAAGTAGTCAATAATACATGAAAAACAGAGCTTGGTGGGCCAGAATATTTCCGATTCCGCATTCCTAACCCAGTTTATTACACTCCGAATGTAGTGGTGGCTATATCAGCATATAATAGATAGATTGTCCGAATATGTTTATTTGGTTTCCAGCGATAAACTGAATGAAAAAAAAACACGCACACATATATAGATTTACATGTGTTTTAGGTTGGTATGTGTAAAAAACACATTTTTTTGAGAATGTCTGATATTCGGAATATAACTTAGACAAAGTCAAGAAATGTTAACCGCATAATAGTCTTCCCATTTGCATTGTGAAGAACTTTGGATATGGTTTTTATTTGATTGTTTGTTTTTGCCGATATTTGCTCAACAACGATTTCGTAGTTGCTTGAAATATACAAATTTGCCGTAGTGACGCAAGCAAACTTCGAAGATGTGTTTTCTTCGTGAATTTTTATTGTTGGTTCCTTTTTCATGAGTAATTGAACGCTTGTCTTCTTGATTTCTTTGGTCTTGAGATCCTTATAAGTTAAATACATAATTGTGATATTAAGCATATAATTGCATGTTCTAGCGCATAGTAAAAATGTTTAGACCAATATAATGACTTTCATTCTATTTAATAATATAACCTGAATTTGAAGTATGTATGAAAAGACCGACTTAAATGTAGTTGTTTTCCATTGAACTTCTAACGATGAAGTTGAGCAAGTGTAGCGAGACACTATGAAGGGAACGATAAGCAAATATAAATATTTTTTTTTAATATTATATAATTCCCTCTATAATTTGTATTATTATATTATTTTAGCTGTTAAACCTTTTGATGAATGTGAATTTCTATATTATATACTACAAAATCTGTTGAAAATGAGTTATTATAAGGTCTGCGCATTGAACGAAATGCTTTTCGAAAACGAGAAAATAATTTCAATCATTGATTATGTTGTGGTAGCCTGCAAAAAGCATCTCATCTTATAATCCACTGATTTTTACAAAAACAAATCGAATATCGTTTCGGCTTATGACGTCGAGATGTGGAAAATATAATTATTATAGTGTCTTGGCTCAATATCAGATTCGGGCGCAAAGAATTTTTTGAAAACGTAGTTCGAAATTATATGCTACTCACATATCGTAGCAGCCTCAATAAAAACTGACTATTAATATCAACATTACCTTGGATAACACATATACCTTGCTTTAAAATATCCACCGTAGTATTCAGCCTAGTAAAATTTGAAACTGTAATCACTCGTTCATTGTTATTGATCTGGCCATTTGCAATAATCTGTAAATAAAAGTTACTGTCAAAGTATATGAAACTTATTCGCCAGTGGAGTTTTACTTGTTGGCATTTTACGATTGTCCCAATTTCGGTTTAAACATCCGATGTAGCCAAGCTATACAAGGTTAGGTCTTGTTCGTTACTAATATCGACCGTAGTATTCAGCCTAGTAAAATTTGAAACTGTAATCACTCGTTCATTGTTATTGATCTGGCCATTTGCAATAATCTGTAAATAAAAGTTACTGTCAAAGTATATGAAATTTATTCGCCAGTGGAGTTTTACTTGTGGGTATTTTACGATTGTCCCAATTTCGGTTTAAACATCCGATGTAGCCAAGCTATACAAGGTTAGGTCTTGTTCGTTACTAAAAAAATATTTTTGTTACCGTTTTATTTGATACTTCCTACTCATATTGTCCCAATTCAACTATGTCTATAAAAGTGAACACAAAGACATAAATAAAATTTGTTACACCAATAAATATTAAAATCGTAATGAAGACAATCACACCAGTGAATGCTAAATTAAATGGGATGCCGGAGTCTTATTTCATGCCAACACATAGTTGTTTTTGCCGGGGTCGAGTTCAAATTTCCTCGGGTATAATTCAACTATGATCTATAGATGAACATACCTCAAATCTGTTTTTTAACAGACAGGTATTGAGATATTTGAGAAGCGGTTTATTGTGCTAGTAGAGACCATGCTTGAAACATTTAATTCAACCTAGACTAAGTGAATTTCATCCTCACTCTGGGGCGGGCCAGCGGGGGAGAGGCAGCAGATCCAAGCTGTAGAGTTCACGATATTACACATTTTCTCTGTATGTGTTTTATTTAAGTAAAGTTGACATGACGTGAATGGTCATGTGTGACTGATTGTGATGATGGTGGTGGCTGACCGCTCTTGTCCGCCAATGTGCTCGTCTGTTCATTGCGTGATTTATCACATATTTCCAAAGATTCCCCTCATACGTGACCTTTAATTTATTCATTCTCATGTATAGCAACAGCTTTAATTTGTTTATCCCCCGAATTATTTTTGAAGTTGGGGGGCATCGTTATCATAACCTCATACTGGACAGCAGCAAAGTTTGGCACGTCCATGCCCTCAATCCTAACGCTGTTTATTCAAATATGTTCAAGCACAGGCAAAACTTGAATGGTGGAAAAATACTCGAATCTAGCGTCACTATAGTAAATATTCCTAAAGGAAAATTCAGTGCAAACGAGATCATTCATCAAATGCAGTGTATTATGGTTTGCAATAAGGCAACAAAATGCTCTGATATCAAACGTATGGATGTATCGATTTGTTGGATGTTGCTCCAGGAGATTTTCTCGTAAACTAATTTCGATATTCCACATCTGAGGAAACTTTGGAAGCTAGGAATTCAAGTGAACATGTTTTGACAATTAGCCACAGACAATCGCACAAGCTGAGATGCTGAAGAGCCGAATCCAAATCAAGTGTGCGATGGCTCGCAGCCACAAATGTCATCACCACTGGGGCTACAGCGATTAAATGGAACGTCGTCAGTCGCATATCAGCTCGAGCTCCCGCGATACGTCATTTCTCCATCATCATGCCTAATTATTTAATAGAAAAATATTATTTGAATGAAATATGTTTTGCCAATCCCAGATATAAGAAACAGAGAAGAAGCTGGTCTCACTCACGAATGCCCAAATAGAAAGAACATTTAAACAACTACAGTAGCCTACATTGTTACTTATCAATCTCAGTCAAAAAGAGTTTTATCCTGATAACTAATTTGGTTATACTTTCTCAGTCTTGTTGATGAACAATCTTTAATACACAGAAATATATTGATTAGACAAAAGGTAGAAAAGCTATAATATATTGAAACATAAAATTTCTCTTATTTCAATTTGTTACAACTTTTCAGATTACCTGTAATTCCTCCATTACATAACCTCCAGCACCAACTGCAAATATAGTAATCCCATTTGACCGAGCATATTTTGCTGACAAAAGCAAATCATTTCTGTCGGTAGATCTTCAAAAGATTTAAAAAATTATCTACAATCTACACACATGTTTAAGACTTGTTACACGAGCATACCTTCAATAAATCGAGCAAAACGAAAACGGTTTTATACTACTTCTTAATTTTTTGATGTCTAAGATTAGAATAATTTGGTAAATAATAAAGTAGTAATCAGCTTTGAAATAACATTTATTTAGATTTTCAACAACTAATATCTTGATGGTATAAAAATAATATATATCGCGCAGAAACCCAAGTTGAAAAACAAAGGGCTAAATATACGGATATATCAAAAGAACTCTGCTAACTACCCTTACAAGAACCGTAAACATTAACAATAATAACAAAAACATTAACAACAGTTAACGATACGATTCAAAGGTGCATTTTACGTGTATTCAGACATTGTACACACAAGTTATTACCTTCCATCTGTAAATAAAATAATGACTTTCTTCACTGAAGCATCATAAAAACGATCAGATCTCATGAAATCTTCGTTCACTGTTTTGTTGATAGCATGTGCAGTGTAAGTTGTGAATCCATGAATTAATATTTCGTCAACAGCGGCCTAATGAATACTCAGTTATTAATTTAAAGCTAATTGCATTTTGAATTCTGAAGGTATCACAATTTTGTGAACAAATCGTTAAATAAGACAATTTATACGACAAATATTACTTTAGTTCTTTTTCGCATAGAACGTGACCCCACACTATGTCTATAGATTTGCAACTGCGTTTATTGTACATGTGAATCTGAAATATGCTAAATTCTTTTTTTGTTTTGTTACGAATGGTATTTATTTTAAGAATTATAGAACCAAATGATTATCTCGAAAGTTTACTATTGTATTTTAATTAGAGAGGAATACTTTTTTTCGCCATGTTCGATACCTCATCAGAAAGAACTGTTGTCTGATCTTACCGTGACGGTACCAGTCTCGACTGTTCAACCCTTGATGAATATTTTACCTTCAATTGGGCTTTGGTCTTCAGTTTTCCTAGCTGAATTTCAGTTTTTAAATATGGCTGTGTGCTATGAAAAGAAAATGAAAATTGTTTTATCGAATTTTTTTTATCGAATAACAAAGAATTTGAAAACACAAACAAACGCCGAAAATGATTTTAGAAGAATGTATCTTAGTCTTACTGCACCCAGATAAAAGTCGTAAAAACACTCGCAGCGAAGTGGAACAAAGTGGAAAACGATCAAAACTAATTCCTTGTTAATTTTTAATAAAGCACTAAAATATAAAACATAGCTAAAACACTGTTGACATAATTTTTGAACTATTATGATCATGATGATCTCATTTGACGCTTAAGAAGGAATCATCTTCGCCACAAAGTTAAGCCAAATACATGTCATGGAAGCTGTTTCTAGGCAATTTGATCTTGACTAATAGAGCAGCTGCTTTGAATAATTTAAATAAATTAGTTATAAATGCGGCTTAAAAACTAATTAAATAAAATGGAAATCTCTTTCTATAGCTTACTTCTCATTTGAAAACCAGTGTGAGAACTGAACGACGCCAATCTGTGTTAATCCGCCTAAGTCATAATTTTCTGCTACCAACTTGACCCATGACTTCATAAGCTCCCAATTCACATTTGTGATAGAACCCGATCCATCCAGCATAAATACAAGATCCATGGGCGTTTCCCGACATTCTGGCAAAATAAATTAATATTTGAGACATAACGTAATGTAATCCTATATTATCTAAACAAATTTTACCATTTCATATTGCCAGGCAACGGTTGTTACCGCTTACCAAATGTTCAAAAATGTGAATATTGTCCCCCTAAAAATTTTTCAGCCGTTAAATACGATTGACTGTGAGCTCTCATCGGTTTACTGTTAGTGTACCTATAATTCCTCAGTTCATTCCAAAAACTCCATGTATATGGAATTCAATACCTCACACATCTTTTATTTATTGTATTGATATTAAAATTGCTTTTAAGTTTAGTGCCGATCGGTATTTACCAACGCTCATTTCTATCCTTTTATCTCTTATAGTCTCCAAACTTTGATCAGATCAATCTCCCTTATACCTGTATGAGTAACCTTGTTTTCAGTAAATTTTCTAAAAACAGTCATAACAATGAAATAATACCTGCTGCGTTCAGATGCCTCGGATATTGAAGAAGAACCAACAAAAATATTAATTCGCTTCTCATTCTTCTGAATCATATAAGCTGACAAAATTCGAATATAGATTGTAATGCTTTGCGGATGTAACTAGCAGTAAAAATGATTAGCTCTGAAAAACATTAAACGCTCTGTTAAACAAAATGAATAATAAAAATACCAAAACATTTTTAAAGAAACTTCTTCCAAAGAATTGATAAATACTTGACATTCAGTTTCTTCTGCCACTAGTATATTAATTTATTCATATTTTATTGAAATTTAATATATTATATGTATAATTTGAGGCATATGTAATAGATAAGTTAAATACGTGCGCTTGATACATACGCCAATGCCCCATTTACATATCACTGCTTAGTATCGCTATACTAATTTCGATTGGGGATATTTAGTCACAGAGCGAAATGCTCATATCTTATATCTTCCAAATATACAGCACAGGTGGCTAAGATGCAATGATAAACGAACAAATGCAAATTGAATACAGATTTAACTATACTATGATCAATTAAATGCGAGGGGATCACCAAGGTTCGTTTTTTATGATTAATTATTCCAGTGAATCATTTTCGCAAATGCCAGAACGTTAACAGTTATTTTAGTGTATCTCTAAAATACAGTTTACAATATATAATCATAAATTTGGAATCAAATTTCGTTAAACTTTCCCCAAAACTTGGTCAAATTCTAATAGATTGAACGAATCACATACACATACCAAATAAACACAAGTCGTCACTAAATATGTAGCTCACACTTCTACTCTCAGAAAATACTGTTTGTTGCACAAGTCATCATCGTAATGTTACACTCATTCCTGCAATGGAAAATAAAAGTGTCTAATTACACCCCTTTGGAAAAAAATGATATTCGAGAAATCATGTTGTTACATATAATTTTATTTTTATTTTTTGTAACTTAAAACCTGAATTCATCTCATTTACCAACAATCGTTCATTTATGTCAACAAAATTTCAGAATTTTATGATTATTTTGTTCCACAAAACGCAATTGATTTGAACTCATGGATTTATTATTTTATGAATGAATAGTTTTTCTACAAATATCAAATAATGTATTTTTAATAATGGTTAAATAATCCTTCTGCCATTTGAGATAGCACAGCAGTCAGTCACAAGAGATTACTAAACTTTTATTAGGTTAAAACTCTAGTATAGCCTACAATATTCATCGCTTTACTTGGCTTTGCTTATAAAATTGTCAGGATATTCATGTATTATTCTAATAGTTGTGGTACGTGTCATTTCCATCTTCGTTCTGCTTAGATTAGTCGTATTTTCCGTTTTTGTTTTTTTCGACATGAATTTCCGTAGTAAGAAGGCTCATAGTAATGATTATCCTGGCTTCTGCAGTAGAAGCCAAAACGCAATTAATGAGCCAATCAATGTAGCAAACAAGCTATTCATTCATTCAAGTGTTTATATGTGTCAGTAGTGAAATAAATATTATTTATTTTGTGAGTTCCTAGTCATATACTACAAGGACGAACAGACGATGAAAAAATATCATTTTCAACATAAGCGAATAAATTGATTTGATTGGTGAAACCAGAATCAAGAATATCATATGAAAACAATTCGGCCAATATTCGAAACAATTCGTATATTACAATCTAATTCAGGTATTTTCAGAACATAAACTGATTGTTGCGTAGAAATTCCAATAAATAGTATTAGGTCAACCCTGTTATAATTTTTTACATTTCGATATCTGAGTGTTGTCAGTTTTCAAAATACCGCCCTGTTTCTGTATGAATAAGGTTTGCTCATAAAATAACATCAACATAAGTGACTGAATAATATGATAACATTGCTAATTAGCTTTGTAATAGGTATCTTCATCTGAAGCATATTTGTCTTTAATTTTCTCTTTGCTGTCATTTCAAAATTGTTGTGCCTAAAAGGTTATAGAAACATCCCACTCGTAATATGAAGTTTCATTCTGTCCCCCACAAAAATTTTCACATTTATAAAACAATTACCTCTTGTTAACTTAATTACTCATATTAGGCTTGGTTATTGTAAGGTAAGAACTGTCAGATCATATTGCTTATGATTTCATCCTGGCAAGTCGAATTAGGGATTTATCTGCATCACTCTTCTGATAATGAAAGTAATGCGGCTAGAAATATGATTCTTATTTGCAGTGTATACTAAAAACAATATCGAAGGTTTTCGAATAATTATACTTAATGCTATTGTGGGCATTCAAATCATTTATTTCTAAGTATTGCATAAAGTATTATGCATTGTATTATAAGCTTTGAAGAAATTTAGTAGTGGTATCTAATATATTCATAGCTTTTGCTATTTTAATATTGTCAGGGAAAGTTTATGTAGATAGTTTCCTTATCTGGTATATGTCAACCTTGTTTTATTTCAATATTTGGATGTAAATTAGAACGTTATGGGGAAAGTTAGAAATGTTAGATAATTAGCCGCGGAAATGAAAGAGAAATTTTTGATATTCGTTGGGATATTTGCTTGGATGATTGCCGTCGTTAGCGCAGGTTGGTATATATCATACATATATCGTCCGGTCTTTCATATTATGTGCTTATTAATAAACTCTTTATTTTTGTGACCAGATAGAGGTGAGTGGAATGCATTTGGAAGTTACCAATACTACGTATCTGGAATAGGAGATATAAAACCATATGCTGATGGTGAAACATTCTGTAAAGACAATAGTGGGGAGATGGCAATGATAAAAACGAGCGAGATTCAAACGTTTATTCAGAATCAGGTTCTAGACTCAGGTAAATAGCACATTTTACGTTTGACCCCAAATCCCGAAATAAATTTGCTCAAGGTTATTTAACATTATGGTCTTCATCTTTGTTCATGCGTTTTAGGATTTGTGTTAGAATTCTCAATACGTTTGTTTGAGAATTTTTAATTCGTCAGTCTCTTCATATTTGCACCTGTTTACAATAATGTCCAACAGTCCTGATCAGCCATGTTTACATACAACAATAACTGCACACGACAAAACTTTCCATTACTCTGAAGCAGGGTTTCCCAAACTTTTTAAGTCGCGTACCCCTATTTGTGAATCTTAGTTTTGTCGGACCCCATCGTATGCCGAATCAATTTATGTGTCTACCAGGAGGAAAGATGAGGGAGGATAATGTTTCATCAATGTAGCAACACAAACGTCATTAATGCTTTTTACTGCTTAATTAAGCTGAGGGGCCCCAGTTTGGGAAATTCTGCTCTAAAGCATTTTATTGTCTACAGGACAACCCCATGGATTTTATATTGGATTAAAGGAAGTTGGCACAAACAATACCTTTATATGGAATGACAATTCGAAACTAACCTACGATAACTGGAACCCAGGAGAACCTTCTGATAAGAGACCTGAACCTTGTGTTGCTATGGGGTGGTTCAACGAGTATTTTGCAAATCTACCGTGGTATGACGTCAATTGCACTGCGAATTCGCCAACTGGATTTGTCTGTCAACGAGTAATCGGTAAAAAACTTTGTTTGTGATAAATGTATACTAAATTTGCCTGGGTCAGATGTTTTAAATTTAACTGGATAAATTATGTTTATTAAAGAAAGCAGTTGCACAATATCATTAAATTACTGCCAGAAGAATTCTCAGTTTTCGATAAAACCGCCATTAACCTGTGAGCTGAATTTCATCTAAAATATTCAGTAAAAAACGTTTTTTGATTAGCTATGAGTGCAGGAAAGATTTTGATAATGTTTTAAAGTTTTAATAATGTCATCTCATCGCTATTTATACCTTGCACAGCTATGCTATTTTTTCTACCGCTCATAATGTATTAACAGTTCATCTTGATTTTAATTTACTGATATCATATTGCTTCGAAATACTCGGTTGTAAAATATATAACTATTATATTAATCTGCATGTTTCTGCAGGCTGGAATTGGGGAGCATGGGAGTCTTGGGGAAGTTTTGAATGCCCGGGAATAAAGCTGCGAAACCGAACTTGTGTTGACAGCGGAAGAGTTGGTCCATACGCTTGCAACGATACGGCATCACAGTTGGAAGTAAAATTGTTTTTCATATATATATATAACCAGTGGTGGGATTCAAATTTTTTGTCAGCCGGTTCCTTCACAAAAGACATATTTTTCAGCCAGTTCTGATACAAGCATAACATTGACAGTAACCAGTAATGCTAACCGGTGCGCTGATCTCATAAAATTCCGTGAGACGGTTCTGTAGAACCGGTGCGAACCGGCTGAATCCCACAACTGTATATAACTCATTATGATTGTGTTTCCGTTCAAAATGCTTGCTTATTACCTGGATGTATGGATAACTATTAAATTTAAGTTTAGGATTTTATAGGGTTCTAGCATGTCGATTAGTGTGTTGTTCGAAAACTAACTTCCCAATGAAATAAAAAAAAATTCCCATACATATCCATGTTGAGACTCAATTACGTTATATAGCAACCGTTTTGTAGATTTTTGTCCCTAACTTCATCGACGACAATAATAGCTACACCTAGCATTGCCACCCTGGTAAATTTATTCAAGTCAGTTTAGTCGTATTTCGTGACTAATTCAAACAGATTGATTGACGTATCAAAATATTTCCATAATCCAATTTTGAAAGTGACTTGCGAACCCTTCAGTCCGGACCCAACTAATTCGGATTTCATTGCCAATCATTTTTTGATCATTCTACATTAAAAATTAAATTTTTGACTTACATTTAGTTTGGTTAAAACCCCTACATGCACGATTGAACAAATTGAACGTTGTTTTTAGATATGCACGCCATCCGCTTCCTGCAATGCAACTATGCCGTTAGTGACCACAGCTTCGACTCCACAAGGTGAGAATGAAAAACCCATGTTACGTCTTCATTTCCCATCAAACTGGACACTTATTGCAATCGTCGGGAAAAAGAGATAAGATATATGAACAATGGGCTCTGTTATTCGCTTCCATATAAGTCACGCCAAAGCCAACTATTTTTCGTAATTATTTTCAAATGTTTTCACTAGCTCACGAATTTTCACTGCGCATTTTTCGAGATACTGTCATTATTTTATTATTTGATATTTAATTTGTGAAACAGATCGAGGAATCTGGTTTCCTAATGGAAGTTATGAATAATATGTTTCAACGGATGGTAGTTCAGGATCTTATGAAGATTCGAAAACATTTTGCAAAAAAGTTAGTTAGAAAGTTAAGGACTTTGCTGAACCAACTTCTTTGTATATCTATATATATTACTATCTAGCTGATCGCATTGATAAAAACGAACTGTTTCAATCTAGGTAAATACTGGGGAACCTGGTCTTCTTGGAGTGAATGTAACTGCTCAACCATGATCAAATTGAGAAATCGCACATGCATTAATTCTCCGCGAACAGGGCCCGATGCCTGCGCTGGCAGTCGCAATGAGGTATGAAGTAGCTAAATATTTAGTATGTACATTTTATTATTTTTTTTGTCGTCGTGATTGTTTATTTTATCTGCAGTTTTGTACTGCAGTGTAGCTTGAACTCAATGTCAAATTTATACACAGCTATAATGAATGATAGTTTTTCATTCTCGAGTAACCACGTTATAAAGTGATGGCATTCTCCATTCGGAATAATCTACCTAAGCCTGTTAGAGATGATCTTGAACCTCAAAATAATATAGCGTATATCGTAGAACTTATTTCCACGGCATAATCAAATCGTTTTGGCGGTGGATGAATCAGAGTGATACTATATCATAGCCTGTGTATATTGAAAATATTATTGCTTTCCGGGTATGTTACAGAAACTTTTGCCATCTAAAAGTCATGTTTGGGAATTGTAATAATAGTGATCAATTTCAATTTTCCCTTAGTTTGATTTAATATTTTTAACAGACTGCAAATTGTACAAAAGACCGAGCTTGTTATACGACTACAGTTGCGGAAACAACATTTCAATTAACTACAACTGCTGGTGAGTTAACCACCTCGTCCACAAACGAAGAACCCACCGACGTAATGACTACCATGACTACCGGTGTGTATGTTGTGGCAAACGCACCCTTTAACTTGCACGGCACTTCTTCTTCATTCGCAGGTACGGAACAAGACCAAATGACGACAGTGACTTTTTAATTCACATCTAAATTTAAAATTAATAGCACTGAACGGGCATAAATTTTTGCCCATTCAACTATCAAGATCGCCGAACAGCCACGTTTTTAATACGGAAAGCACGATGATTACAGGCCTTCAACCATGTCTCTCACACAGACAAATGAGAGGAGAACGACGATGGCAAATGAGACAACTTTCGGTAGCGCAGAAATACCAAGTAGCTCATTGGAAACCAATATCCCTGCAAGTACAATTAGACAATCAACGTACGAAACGAGGGAAGGAAGTAATTTTGAAGTCACATCGCCCATTTTGTCTACGGCAACAACTGTAATGGAAACAACCACCGGAAGAATTACTCAATCTGATTCTACTCCCACAAACACTGATTCCACGTCTACTGCCGCCACTACAAGCTTTGAGCAGAATTCTACAGTCATTACCAATCCAGAATCTAGTAGCAATCAACACGCAACGCGCAAAATAACAGCAATTTATAATTTTAGGGGCTTGGTCCTATACCAGTAGCTGCATGAAAGCAACAATCTATATTTGATCAGAGTTAATATTGGCAAAATCCTCCTTAAACCAAACTCAAATAATACCAACAAACGTAACGTGGGATGATTATACCAGCATCAATAATAGTTTACCATAACAAATCATAAGTTTATACAATCAGTTTCACCTTTTCTACAATTGAGTCATTTATTAAAATGCACGCGAGAACGTGGCCAACATTTGTTCATCGATCAAAAGACCAATTAGAATGTTCAAATGTATAACATCAGAATGAAGCAGTCAAATAACTTTCGTACGATTAATTTTCAAATGTGAGCGTTGCAAAATATTTTAAATTCAGTTTCAGCTCGCGAAAATGGGTCAGCTTGTTTAAATGAACATAATGTATTAAATCAAATTTCTGATCATTTATATTGTACTGATATTAATTCCTATATTATCTCACACAGAAGTTCCTGAAATTTCGACGATTGGAATTCTTCGTCCATCTACACCCGCTGCACAAACATCAATCATTGGGCCAGTCGTGGGAATTATCGGAGGGTTTCTTCTTTTAGCGCTTATCATTGTTTTTATACTTTCAAAGCAACTCAAAAAAAGGTAGTATATCCAACATTATGACATTACATCTCTTATAAATAGTGAACAAATACCAAATATCTTTTTAATAGGGGTTTACTAATTTCACCGAGAATGCATATAATCTAAAGTTTTGCTTTCAGAAGAGGCCGCGGAATCATAAACACAGGAGATCGTTGTAATTACAATGAAGGGTTAGAAATGGAAAATCAACTTAATCCGAGAGATATAATGTCAGATCGTAAGTTAATGTAACTTCATTTAAAGTATTACGTCAACGTATTCTATCTGGGTTGATGAATTCTTATACTTTACTGTCCATCACATGCTAGTAAATGTATGACAAACAAAAAGGAATACTCATTTCTATGTGCACCATATGATTATCTTATTTAAACTATATGCCTAATGGGAAAAAAGTGATTTTGCGGGAAATATATTGAGAATATATAGCATATAGGAATACTACACAGAGAAGCGTAAAACAAGATAAGATGTTACATTTAAATCACAACCTGTTGCAACGATACCAACCGATACTAAATAGAATCTTTCCACGTAAAAATTCAGAATTGTTGTTTCTAATGAACTTCATCATGCATTCAGTTATGGTGATTATATTAAAATAAGTAACTCGAGTAGGTAATAGCTTGTATGAATCCTTATTCAAATCTGTAGTCAGTTAATCTGAATGGCTCCGACCTATTTTCCAACTCCTCCAAACGAAAATGCTTCAAGTGTGTCAAAACAGCTGCTTCATATTAATATTTATCACTAACATGTTTTACTGCTACAGATCCCGGAGATGTGGAATTAGGTCGAGACCATTCTCAAAATACGGAAACTCTTCGTTATCAGACGTTTGTAAACCCTGATGGACAGGCAGACAATAATTCTCACTTACCCGAAGATCAAGTTGACTCATCAAACGGGCAAGATTCCCTCCACGCCATTGCCGATAACCATCAGAATCAGATAAACGATGTGACCCCAGAAGGCAACGACAATGCTATATATACTGCTGTAAACAAGACAAAATCGAAAAAGTTATCCAAATCCTCAAAAGATTTGGATGCGGCAGATGTATCAGAAACTCAATACGCTTTCGTTGATAAGCAAAAAAAGAGCGAAATAATTAATGTTTCTTGTTATCCTGACGAGAACACCCCTGAGGTTTACGCAACGGTTCAAAAACACAATGTTGTGGATTCTGAAAAAATGTCGCAACCAGAAAATTCCTTTGATGGAAAGCTAGTGCCTGGTCCGACTTACGCTACCGTGCAGAAGACCAAATCGAAAGACCCCGTGAAACAGGAAACATCTTCAGATGGAGACGACAATAAAGTGACCCTTGCTGTTGTACAGAAACCCCAAAAAGATGATTCTTCAAACTTCAATGAAGTAACTTATGCAACGGTCAATAAACCTGAAACATATCAGAATTCCGATGTCACGGGAGATGCCGAAGGGGCTGACATTGAAGTAAACGATGATCCATATGCAAATATTGACAACATTGAATAAGGATGGGAAAGTTAAATTAAACTATAATCAATATCACATATTTATTTGATCAGTAGCAGAAAAACAGGTTCATACTGATGAATAAACCTACTGTGACGACCTTTTGGTGTTTATTTTTGATTTTATGGTTTATGACGGGTTTGGATATTCTAAAATTGCTCAATAGAATGATTTTGTTGTTTGAGTGTAGTGCAATTGCAGTTGTTTTGCTATAGGTTGTACCGGTATGTTAATCGTTGGTTGTACTACGGATTTGGTTATTGTCTTGTCAGTGTTGTTCAAGTATTGTGTATTTTTGGTATTTTCGTTGTACCCTTTCTGTTTTCTTGATTTTATTGGAGTATTTGATTGTATTGCGGATTGTGATTAATAAATAGAACAAAATAGTATAAATTGAAGTGAATATTGGGAGGAAACTTCAGATCATATTGAAAGATATTCTGAACTTGGATAATTGTTACATAGACTGCCGGTACGCTACACTACTAATGCTTACCTAACTTCGAGCCATGTTGCCTCTGGAAGTAACTGTTGATTATCTAATATGTTATACATCTGGTTGGCTACTCTCATAGTGTGTGTACCAGGTTAGGGTTAGGTAGGGTTACCATATTTTTGTGACTTCAAATCGGGACGCCTCGAAAGGCAACGACCCCTTAGCTGTAATTTTATAACTTCACATTTTCCGATTTTACTACATAGGCCTACATTTAAAGCTATCTCGGCTGTCTTTATTGACCATATTGTTATCGAAATTTCATGCGCATATTCTCTGTCCAAATATCGGATTCAGTTCGAAAAATTGGAAGGAATTGACGTTAACGATACCGGTACAAATAATTCGAATTTAGACTAATTAGTATTGGTTTTACATGTGATACGTCTGCCATCAATGGGATTCGAACGCATTCACCTTCAGTAAGTAGGCTACAACAGTAACGAGAACATGTTTGTGTTTTATGCTGGAAAAGCGGTACTTTTGGCTAACTTATCGGGACGGCGGGACAAAACTCTGAAAAGCGGGACGTATGGTAAGCCTAGGGTTAGGCCATAATTTTATTTCGATTTCCCCCTATTTTAGTTGTGTTACGAGTTTGGGACTGTCTGTGTTAGTCAAGTGAACATGCCCTCTGCCCACAGGTTTCCGTACCTTCACACAACCTGATGTAAGATAGGCGAACAAAATTAGCTACTTCCATATTGGTACACACACCTCTGGAGCGCCCCGGGTTGATTATAAACTGCTCCTGCTTTGTTTTTTAAAAAGGTATTTTCTAATCCCAATTAACTTTACGATAGTAATTTTGAAGCTTGTTTTAAATTGATTGAATGATGAAGGTTCAACTTCGCCCCATCGTCGACAATTTATAAAAGAAAACTGACAAAAAGGTCAACATAGTACCAATATATAAGTTAAATTTGCAATGAAATTACTTTAATTGATTTTGTAAAATAATTATGAATTTGAACAATCCAATTCAAACTGCTTTACCAAAGCGTTATTTTCATTGAAGGTGTGAACGAAACTTAGAAAATTGTCACGATATTCTTCTTCAATGGAACAAACAAGCAGTAAAGCAGAATTTTGATCCAAATCCAAGGGAAAGTATATCGTGTTGCTTTCACGTTGTGCATTTGGAACAATTACTTGGTTAACTATTTACAGAGATCGGACCCGGATCGGTTATTCGACAAAACGCCGTCGTTGTTCAAATCTTTACCAACCTATATCTACTTTGATGCCATGATATAAACATGTATTGGGAACAATATTAATTTGTCTGGTTATCTGGAAGGGTTTTTCAAGTTATTTTTACCGTAAATTTTGACTATTTTTTAGTTTTCGAATATGTTACGCTGTTGCCTTATACTGCTTTATATAATATATGCACAGATAAAACAAAAAAAGAAAATGATGCATAAGATACCATAAATAAAGCTGAATCCAAACTTTTCAATCATGCATAGCATTGCCTTTTTCGACTTGGTAACAATGTTTCATTCCAAGATATAAAAATTTACACTACCAATTCTATTTAATCGATGGGTATTTTTATCAAATCTAGCTTTTCCGTTTTGTCTATTAAATCTCGCAACAAAGGTATGAAATATACAAAACCTAATTTCATCTGATTCTAGATGTAGAACTGACAATCGTGTTAAAATTTGACATTTATTCAAATATACATATGCGATAAAGTTGGTCGGAGAATTGTTTACTAATTTGAATTTATTTTTTTCTAACATTGAATCAAAACGCGTTTCGCAAATATATATTACTAGTTTACCTTCACATATATAGCTTTCGTTGTAAATTCATATAAATTTTAATCAAACTTCCTGACTTGGAGGTCACAGCCATTATTTGTCCAAAATTTTGTTACCTAATCAGGGCCATGTTACAAGATTTGATGAATGAAGCTACAAAGTAACTGAGTTTAATTTTATATAGTTGTATTTGACCAAAAGTCACATATGTGAAAAAACATACAATAAATTCAGGAGAGGGCTCTTGTCCACTAATACAATTGATTACTTTGGTGTTACATATGCCAGAAAAAGTGTGAACAATAAGAAACTTACTATAAAAACTCATTAAGTTTCACCATCGTTTTTTCATATAATTCACATTGTGTAAATGTCTTGTTATAAATTTATCGACTCAAAACAACATAACGTATAGCTGTATGCATGTACGTATATTAGCAAGAATAGGAAAGCGTGGTGATGTAGAAACTACGTATAGAAAATACGTCAAAACAAATAATGTAAACGAGGGGTATGTCTAAACTTCATGAAACTGAAAAAATATATCCATTTTGCATACATAAATTCTGTTCATTAATTGCTGAGGAGGATTAAAGTTATATCTTTGAAATAGGGCAATACAGGGAAGTAACAGAACTTGCAATATTTTGTAGGGCTGTGAAATAAATAAGACGATAGGATAGGGTTTGTAGGAGGCAGGATGAAACGATTTGAGCTGGATACACATTTTTTGATGGGTTGTTCAAGATAAAAATGGATTTCAAGTTATTATTGAGATTTTAAATATATGTTGACGTAAACGTAGAAATGCAATTTTTCTTCTGCTACTGGATCTTTTGTGTCATGGTATTTACAAGTAAGAGTTTTGCAATACTGTTGCAATATAAATTAAAAAATTTGCATAATATAGATTTAGATAGCACCAAAACTTTACTTTCTAGAATCGAAGATGTGAAATAAATAATAAAAATGTATCAGGGTTTTCGTGTTTTTATAAAAAACTACTCTTAATGACTCAAGTATCATAAATGTTGAAGCTCACTTATTGTGATTTTTTAAATAGCTGTTCTGGGCTCATCTGGTTTCGGGTTGGACGAATCGACAACATCACCTGCAAACGCTGACAACATCACCCCAACAGTTTATGATAAGGCGACTGTCTTTGCTTTGCACTTCGTCAACCAATCAGTCCAGCAGACAACTCTAGAGGCAATATCGACATCGGATAAAACCAGTTCTCAGACTACGGTAGACAAAATCTTTTCAACGGCATCGACATATATTATACCAACCCGATCAACAAAAACAACTTAAAGCACGAACCTTTATGAATTTACTTCTGTCCAAGGTACGTGATATATGTAAGTCGATTCTCTTCAAAACATGTATTCTGCACTCGAGAAATTGTGCCAATTTGACACTCAATATTACAACGATGATGAAAATAATTACAATGTTAAAATTAAACGTTATTCAAAAACAAATAAATACATCCCCAAAAATGTTTTATCCGTCCATCTCTAGCTAAAGAAGGGAGTCTTGAAGATGATTACATAAAAGTTGCAACACCGGTCAATCCAAGTTTTGAATCATGTGAACAGGATGTATACGAGGAAATTGATAAGACCACGGCAGTCAGAAGGCAGAATAGAATACAAACAACAGTTATTGGTCCAAAAGGTGATGAATATGTCATTGTGACAAAAGACGTCTAATTGATCGTTATGCTCAAGTAACATTATCGCCTGATTGTTGTTGGCACACAGATGATGACAGCCCGGTGTCAAATCTTGAAATCTGAAGTAACAATCAAAAATAGTTATTTGAATGCAATAGAGCCCCGTGCAAATTGTGGACACGAAATGTACATATAAATCGTTTTTCTTAATTACTGTTGTTGTCGATGCTGTAGTGATGAACCTATAGGCTATTTTGTCGTAATTGAACTCCCAACTAATCGATTTCTGATTCCTAGTACCCGAAGATAGCAAAACCGCAAGAATGCCATTGCTTATATATATTATGTCTTTGACATTACCTCTAAATCCAGTAGGACCCGCTTGTATCTCACCTCAAATTTAACTGTTTTATTATAATGCATAAAAAGACATTTTTATGAAATATAGGAACACATCCGTTTTTATTACATTACCGCATTAATATATCTATGAGCCAGTGATCACTATATCACTTGTATATACTTGCATTTAGGAGTTTTGTAATTTTATTTTCGCAACTCACTATTTATTTATGAAAACCAAATGTGTGTGAAATGGCACTAGACGATATTATTTTTAATTCACATTTAAATATACTACATATATTTATTTTTAGAATAGAAACTAATTGTTTCGTTCAAATCTCAACTAAATAGCATTATGCCAACTCTGTTATAATTTTTACATTTTGATATCCGAGTTTTGTCATTTTTTAAAATGTACTATTTTTTTGTATGGTTTTCTCAATGCATAACAGAACATAAGTTACTAGAGAATACTATAATAATGCTAATTAGCTTTGTGATAAGCATCGTCTTCTGAAGGAAATTTCGTCATAAATCATCACTTTGCTGTCATTTAAAAAACGTTGTAACTGAAAGGTTACTGAAACGTCCCACTCATGATAGTAAGTTTTACTCTTTCCTTCCCCCACAAACACTTTATTTTTACATGTGTGAAAATGTTAACTTCGTTACTCATATTAGACCCAATTATTGTATAATAAGAAATGTCAGATCATATTGCTTATGATTTTATCCTGGCAAGTCGAATTAAGGATTTATCTGCATTACTCTTCTGAAACTTAAATTAATCCAATGATTCGTATCTATCGATCGCAATGGCGTCTAAGCCCTCTATGGTAGATGCAATTCAAGAACAAAAAAAAATCATTTGTTTCTCAGTTAAAGCCTACTTGTGAATTATTTCTAGCTTATTGTTGTTTACAGGGGAATTTCTAAAAAAATCGCAACTCAACCACAACGTCTTTCAGAGATGAATAACGTTGTTAATGATGTCCCGAGTTCTTATGAAAAAATTGATGAAATTCAAACATCACAACTGAACTCCGGAAATTATGAGTTGAGAGAAGATAAAGAAGGAAATTATGAAATCCCGCATAATTATGAGAAAATTAAAGACGGAGATCATCAAAACGAAGAAATAAATAATAGTACAACAAAAGAACATCCGTACATCAATTAAATGCCTAAAAATGAATATGATTCTTGACATGTTGATTTTAAATAGCAATCATCCATTGCCACTCCTGTTTAGTCGTGAATCTTGTTATACATTCTGAAACGCATACAAACATTGTAATTTTAACCATTACTACTTGTTCTTGAACTTCTGCGCTTGTGCTAACTGATATTTATTGAAACAAAAATAACATTGCATATCGGTTCATGTTTTTCCTGTTGTTCAAATTATGAACGTTTAATTTTTTAATTTTTTTAGGAGATGTAGAAATTGGATCTTTCATCATAAAGGCAACTCAAGTGTAGTGACGTCATCTGCTGATGCGTTTTGTTAAATATGCCGAAGATGGATCTGGATTTGTATAACTCGTATAACATGATCTAGGCATAATAACGTGCATCCCATGTTTGCTTCTGAATTAGAAACACATTTCTTGTAAAGTTTGTTTCTTCTTTGTTTGTAGGTGCCACTGACATTCTTCTTGCACTAATTGTTATTTAATAATTTGAAGCTTGGTTAAATCGTCTTATTATATAATGCTATAGGACTAAGTGATGAGTTCACACTCACCTAATTGCCTTGCATGTCAATACTTTGAATAAAAGATGAGCAGAAAATATAACAAGCTTTTATTTTACTCGCTTCGATTGATTTCATTCTTGATAAAGACTTTTCAAGTATTAGATTAAACACAAATTTGAATGAGAATATGCATGTTATCAGTAAAAACGAAATTTCCTGAATTTTTTTATCAACACTATCAAGTAATTTATATGCTTCACTTTTTCAAGTGATAAATTCACACAAGAATAATAGAAATTACGACCACATGACTTAAAAATGTTACTAAATGCAGAACATACTACTTGTATGTTCAATTAATATTATTGTTTTGTACAGAACTATGACTAAAAGTTTATATATTCAATATAATAATGTTTGTAAGCATAAATCACAAATTAATATTTCAAATTGAATGCATCTGTTTAAATATGACCTGTCCTAGATCTTTCAAAAGAAAACACGAATCAAATAAAATCTTAGTAAACGCCTTCTGATGATGTGAACCGTAGCATAACATCGATGGCGCTATTTTTGAGTTGTGACGTAAAACCAAATCTTTTTAAATAGCAATCTGGCCCTTGAATCAACAAGTTTCTTGCTTAATAAAACATAACGTAATAATTCTGTTTTAAGGCTACATCGAACCGTTTTCTAATGAATTCCTAAATATCAAATCCGCATGCTTTTGTATAACATTCCAGCAATTCTTTATGGCATTTTCATCACAAGCTACAGTGCCAACAGATATCCTGAGGAAACAAACGTCTTCAACTTCACTGGGAACTAAATAAATCTCTTTTGCTTGATTGATTCTTTTCAGAAGTTCAACATTGATACTTTTATTTACCTTGGAAGAATAAAGTTGGTATGAATAGTCGTCAATGAAACTCAAAAAATTATATCAATATTTTATAACAGCTTTAACTAGAGCTGACTCTACCAATTTCCAAAAGTATTTATTGTATTGTTACCTTCGGATCCTCCGAAACTTTCAAGCGAATGCACACAAGTGACAAATGTACTGGAAAAACAACTTCAAATCGTTTGTCTTTTTTGACGTATGTTTCAAATAATTTTGCCATCTTGACGTCGTCTCTGATTTTTTGTTTTAAACCATCGACTCCAATCAGTCGAAATACGAACCAAAGTTTTAAAGAACGAAATCGGCAACCAAATGCGACTCGCATGTGCTAAAATTATAAAAAATACGTTGCAGTTAAATATGAAACTACCGTACTCACACACATAATAGGAGTGTACTAACCCTGTGATCAATAGTTACGTCATCTTCCGGATGTCTCGCATATTCAGGCTGCATTTTGAAAGCTTCAAGCAAATCTTTATTGTTTTTCACCCTGGCGCGCAAAAGAGATTACACACGTTTAATGAAGCACCAATACTGAAGAATCAGGTATCAAGTTTTAAAAGGCGTTAGTTTGCTTAGAATAACCTATAGTTTCAAAATATTGGTTTCCGTATTCTATATATTCTCTGCAATTAGTATGTCTTTTATTGGCTGTTTCATTTGACAGTAAAAAAACTGCTTGTTTACCAGAGAACCGAACAATCAGTGTTAACCATCAACCACTTATGCGGACTGCAATTGAAGGAACTTGCCATCTGCAATAAAATCAAAGTTTTAAGTTGCGTTCATAATCGGGTAGGGAAGTTGGGTGACATGCTTGAGTTCAAAATCAAAAAATAAAGTTTTGTTCAGTATTGAATGCAATCAATTTTATTAAAATAGAAGATATTCTTCACACACATAGTAAACGTTGTCGTATCCCATTTTTGAATAAAGTATAATCTATATTGGGAGATGAAAAAGTTACAGAAGTTATATAGTAACTAGCCTGGTTGCGCCACAATAGTTGATGAAAATGTATAAACATTAAGTCATTGAACGTATGTTCATTCATATTATTTTCACATCGACGTTCTGCGTATCTAACGTACTGAAGCTCCTAATATATGAAAACATGGAAATAAACTGGAGGAGGAATGAAATCACGAGACCGACCTCTATTCCTTTCATATGATGACGGAATTCCTGACACACGAAACTACATCCGGCATAAGCAGCGTCCACATGAAGCCATATATCCTCTTCCGCGCCTATAAAGAAACACAGATTTAATGGAAGAAGAAGACGTTTGATATTTGAGATGATGAAGCATGTATATATATATATATAACAGATCGGGAATTGTTTGAGTACGTTTGTGACCAATGGAAAACGGTGAATGATTCTGCGGTGAAACTCCTGCATAATTAGTGATCCAGTTTGGCAGACAAAATTTCTCTCAATATAGATTAATAGTATTCTCGGAGCCAGAAAATGGTCGCAACTGTACGTCAGTGCACCGCAAACATAAAGCCAAACAAAAAATTCAGTAAGAGTTTTTGAACACTTACAAACTTCTCCGATCCCACTTAGGTCATCAAATGAAACGCATGACGTGGTTCCCAATGTTGCACAAACCTGCATAGACGATAGTTATGTTAAAATGGTATTTTTGTAATTTTTTGTTGTTGCCGGATGTTGGAACAAATCTCACGTAAAAGGGAATTTTTCCATTCTCCATATCTATTTTTATTGCTTCTTCCAAAATTTGCTTAGTCACTGATATATTTTCGTCCACAGGCAATTTGTGCAATTGTACCATTCCCATTAGACCTGAAAATAGTCAATTTGTAACCAATTCGGCACTATAATACAGATATGATTTGCCTTGTGAGATATTTGAGATAAACGTTGTTGTAAGTTGCACAATCAGTCATATATATCGCTAGATTCGGCCTTATTTCTATCCACGGTGTAACGTTAATGTATTACATATCTTTCTCATATATATTCTTTCGACTAACCATGATCGTCTGATGGTTGTGTGCAAAATATAGTGAATATTTAATATTCTATTCATTAATTGTTATTTGTTCAAATGTTACATTTATAAATATTAGTTTCGTATAAATAAATGGCTTCTAAAATTTTTATGTGGAAACCTGGACTATCCTTCTTTATATGCACGTTGCGGATTCGTTGGCTTATTTGAGAATATAAGAAATCGGCCTAATGAGATTCTATATTTAGTACAAAAGGCATTTTAATCGAGCAAAAATGGTTATTTAAAAAATGTACTTAATTTGTTTCATTTAACTAGCAAGTATAAAACTAATGTAAATGACGCAGCATAAATTTTTCAGTATTTTTGGATGCAATAGTAATCGTTTATGTTGAGTATCTTGCCACACAATCTCTTATGAGTCAGTAAATTACGATTTTCAGTAAATTATTTAAAATCACAAAAACGTACATGCCCTTTCTACCGATGAATGACTATATTTGGAGGAGTATGCAACCAACTTTGACAATAACTCGTATTGCGATTTTTCTGGATATTTATTACTCAATAGCGACAGCTTTTTAGATCTTGCTGCTAGCAACGTCATAAGTGTTGCCTCGCTTGCAGAACCTGGATATAGAATAATAAAAATTATCATTGAGAAATATTTTCAATCATCCCAGTTCGTAAGACTCTCTGAAATATTTAAAACATTTTACCGACCTTGAATCACTCCGTATCCAGGTCCAACTTTTGAATGTATAAAACAATCTGGTAATCCGATTGCTTGCCCTAACCAACCCAGGACTGTAGCCTCCATTTCCGTACTTATGGGAGACGATGCCTGGAAGCATATCAAATTTTTTTTCAAACAAATGGAAAAAGGATTTGCGAATACTGAGTCACTTCAGTATAATATATAACTCTTCGTTTTAAAGATAAAGGTACATTTTTGGGTGCTTCCGAAGCATCTGTACCAAGATGGCGCACAACCTGAACATAGTCTGTGTACCAGGTCTATGTTCAGGTTGTGCGTCATCTAGGTACGAATACTTCCGGAGCGCCCATTTTTGTTCCTGAGTTAAAACGAAATAGTGAAACACAGAATATTTTATAGAAATTTAGTTCATATTGTTGCTAAATTAACTTGTTATTGAAGGTTCATACCCAGCTTAAGTCAACGCTTGATACAGCATTCGAGAGCATATCTGCAAGAATCGAGGGATAACTAGTTCCGGTAGGAAAGTACGCAAAAAAGTTTGAAGATTGCCAGTGACTCATTCCCCTCATAACAACTTTTTCAAGATCAACAAATAATTTTTCCCAGTTTTCGGGCCGGTTTGGTGGATCTTTGGGTAGCAGATCGGTTAAAAATCCTGTAAAAATGTTGTGAAATTTGTTTGTTGTATTCTGTTAAATAACTGAGAAATCGAGCTTTTTTCTACGTACTGAGTATGCTACTCATTACTCAAAGAGGACCTTTGACATATGATTATGAAAGTCTTCTATGTTTCGAACTAATCAATAAGCATTTTCATTATATATTTAAGTATCCGAACCATTAAAACTATTTTCCTGTGAACCTTGAACCGTAGAACCCCAGATATGTATTCCGTAGCACGCTTTTACATTTAAGAAATATTTACCAGGAGTAACTGATGGTATGGCTTGTCTCCCATTCAGACTTTTGTAATAACTGATGATATATTCAGACATTTCGTTAGCTGCATTTCGAAAATCATCTTCAGACATTCCCATTCTACTTGTTTTTATTTCACCATGTCCAACTCGATCTCCTTCGTTTGAGAATGGCATTTTATAAACTAAAGTGCTCTAATCAAATTAGAATTTAAAACACATTGCATAAGTTTAAAAATACTTCCCATGTGGTAATTGAATTTTGCTCAAAAAAATCAATTAGATGTCAATATGTTTACTTTCAACTGTTTGTCATCATGTTAAAACGATGTATTTTTTTTATCGAAATTCAAACATTTGTTACCAACTGACATTTATCTATTATCCTTAATGCTGCCTCAGTTATATAAGCAACTAAGATTATACTGAAAACCTTTGCCCATTGTTCATCAAAACATCTAACCTTTTTATAATTTGTAAATTAGAATATTGTGCTGATATTGCCGTCCTTCTGCCTAGCGGCTACGAAGAATTGTGAATAATGTCCTGCATTACCAATCACTTTGTAAAACTCGAAAATATTTATGAGAAAATCGCAACGTCTTGGCGACTTTTTTGATGCCTTAGGGACATTAAATTCTTCACAAGAAGACTTCAATCATTTGCTTTGTTTGAAAATCTGCAAATGGTCGCTTAGAACAGGGGTTCTCAAACTTTTGGCGATGCGGAGCCCTTGCAAAGGTTGACTATTATTCACGGAGCCCCAAAATATATGTTAAAATTGTTACTTTCAGATTAATATACCTGAGTAAGTTAAACGTACTTTACTCAATTTAAATACTAAACTCTTTTAATAGGGTTAATACAAGTCATAAATAAATGTAAATTTCAAAGATAAATTATATATACTAAAGCTGTAAATTTGACACATGACAAACATATTAATAAATTAGGGGTCGAATCTTTTCCCCTCTTGACATTTTTGGAAGACTTAAAAGGTCGCTAATAACGTGCGCGATTGCATTTTGTTACAATCGCCGATTGTTTTCGTCAGCATGGCGTGTTTTTAAACCTCAAACATCCTCACGCCGGTGTTTATTCTCCCAAAATCAAAATCTCCCTTCGGCATATACATGTATTGTTTCACAATGACGAAGATAATTGCTTTTTGGTTCTCGTGGGAAATTATGAGTTCAATGTGAAAAACATGTTACCATATTATAATAATCGGCGACGAAATGCTAAAAATAATCGTAAATAAAGAGGTTAATCCGCAATTCAAATTTCTTGATTAAAAATCGGCATTCTAAAATATTAGAACTAAAACTTAAAATGGGAGATACCACTATAAGTTTTGTTTCAGCAGACTCACGTCAGAATAAAAACGCTTTTATAGACATTGTAAATCACAAAATTAGGTGTTATGTTAGGTTTTCTTCGGTTATTCATCGTGGTAACTGCGAAATTGAAACACAGTCAAATAATTATGCGCGCGATGTACCATTTTTCCACTCTGAAACTACCGACGGAGCCGCATTCACTAAAATAAATTTCAATCGTTCGTATTTTGCCAAGACCTTGTGATTTTTCAAACGGCGATATCTTGCTTAAAAATAATCTCGAGTACAAAAGAACAAATCAAGTTTAACAAATCCCAAGATCGCAAAAATACGACTCCAATTTATTTATAGTTGCCAGTTTATGTTATTTTAGAATAGTGTTCTTACATTTTAGTAATCCTAATAGTGATCTCGAATCGAACGTGAGAAACGATGAGCACAATTAAATTATTACGACAAGACACTTTAAAATTTAAAGTTTAAATGCTCGAATCGGTCATGAATTGAATATTTTATGCAACAGAAATCTTGTTATCCGTTTTTTTTAATCGCCAAGAATGTTGCGCGTAAATTTCCGATTCCAAATTTGAACGGAAGCCTGGCTGCGCTCCTGCTTGTAAATAATTTCATTTTTTAAGTCCGCCCCTTTTCCATATTTCGAGGCTATATTGTTGTCAAATTTTATCAAAGCTGTTATTGCTTCTATAAACAGTTTTAAATTAGCCAAGTCAGTATTTTGAAAAGTAATCGAATAGCTCGCGGAGCCACTGGGTTTCTCTCGCGGAGCCCTGGGGCTCCGTACGGAGCACTTTGAGAACCTATGGCTTAGAAGACCGAGTAGTATTATAATGGATGTTGCCTTATTTTCGGTGTTTATACTCAACTTTTTGTCACTGCAAGCGACACTCAAACATGCTTTGTGATCCAATAAGCAATAATTATCCTTTCGCTCATAATATAATACCGTAGTCAAGTAAAGGCCATTTCTTTATAACTATATCCCCTTGCTTTACCTGAATCAGTCTAAAACTTTCAAAAAATGATCAAAGAGTCTATGGTACTGAACAGGTATATCCATAACGTTTTATAATATAATTACGATTGTTATATGAATCAATATGATGTTGAAATCAATATTCAATAAACACGTTTCACCTAGAATAAATAAATATTTCATAATATAAATCACAACTCTCCATCACTTGCATGCACGCTATTTGAGCATTTTGAAAATTTCTATCGATTGTATGTCACTAACGAACGATTGATTGTATAAATGTGCTTCTATGTGACTGTCGAAAACCTCGAATAGCGAATTCCAAACGTTCAAATGCATATAAATTCCACGTAATTTAAACATAATGACTTTGTTGTTTATACATTTAATATCCCACAAATTTGCTAGACACTTAGAACTGGGGGAAAAAGCCTATTTTCCTCGAAAGGAACAGTCAATCGAGGCAATGACATTTGACATTAACGAAAACAAGTTTCCAATATTCTTCACATTATTTGGGAGCTCACACTTCGAATATATAACTGAATCTAAAATCATTCTTACAATTTGCCCAATAGCTAAGCACATGCCTTTGGAGGAGATCCGATGAACTGAGGAATCCATCTACTTCTATGATATTTACTTTGGAAAATGAAATTTTCTCCACCATTTTTACAAATATAAAAACGCAGAAATGTTGATCTCTAGTAAACACTTGTTCATAAAACCAAATCACTGAAATTTAGAATATGTTTCTCATTTCCAAACTTTTCTCTAATAGAAAATTACGAATTACTGAAATTATATCCCCAAAACTAGTTTCGCTATATTTTATATAGTTTGTTACGTTGATTGTGTCAAATATTTTAGAACCCACTAATTCAGGGTTGATGCTCTTTGGTTAAAATATTTTTTACCGAAACGTAATCAAAAGCAAGTATTAATTCCTGCATAGGCCTTGTACTATGTATTTTTGAACTCATGATAAGTAATATCTTGAGTATTGAGGCTTTTTTGAAATGTAGTTGTTTTACTGTGCTGAAACATTTTTTTAGCAAGATGAATGTTCACAGCACGGCCACATTACAAAATTGAAGTTGGAGATAAGTTTATAGTATTCGGGAAATTTTACAAAGAATATAAAAAAAATTATTATATATTGTTGAAACAGCATAAATATGGAAACATGATACCACAGCATCATAGTAGAATACATACTTTTTGGGTTGGTTTCAGGGTTTATTTTCATTACTAAAAATGGAAGTGTAGCTCCCAAATTCGTAAACTTATCTTATGTATGTGCTCCTTCTTGATATATATATATATATGATAGAATTTTTTAAGTTGAGTTTTGCACTTGGAAAATACAAATACAAAATGGATGGAAATACGTATATCGATTTATATCACGTTTTATCGTTCTTAATCCGACGAAGTTACGAAAATTACTCATTCAAGACACCATGGTTAATACGTCAACTTAATGAAATGCCGCCAGAAATATAAAGTTGATCTTAAGCTCTGCGCATGCTCGAAATATTTTATGCTATCGGGCTACCGGGCTATCGGGCTATCGGGCATCGTGAATCATTGATGCGTTACCTACCGTTTGTATAGTTTTACGTTGTTCCTACGGTAAGCTCGCGCAAAAATTCACGGAAAATATTTTACAGCTTTAGGCGGTGGTGTGAAGAATAGAATCAAAGTTTTAAAATCAGCCTAGAGTGATTGGAAATTCCCCCTCACCCATTCGTTTTTGGTAAAGGATCAGTTGTTTTCTGATCACAAATCACGTGAATGACGTAGGAATGACGAAGCTTTTAGTCTAGCTATTGAATTGTAATCAATATTGGTTTCATTCATTTGTGTACATAGTTCCACTCGACAATATCAGGAGAATTAGGACGAGCTCGTTGTGAGTTTTGTTCAGCGTGCTTAGAAGTCAGATAGTTTTATGGGCGATATTTTACACAGTTTTGGTATTGGGTTATGTATTGAAATGTGCAAATTTCATTTGTTCTGATTTAATAAACTGCGTGATTATCAGTTAATCTTTCTCGATATATATAACAGCTGAGTTGCTAATGTATCATGGTTATCGCTGCTGACGTTGGGTTTGTGTGTTTCGAGATGAAACTTCTGAGTGATCTGAGTTTGACCGAGTATTTGAGTATTTATATATGTATCTCAATATTTGAAATTAGGATAAAAATTACTTTTTACTTGGCAACCTTTCTCTTCAGATCATTTTGTCACGCGGAATGACTTTTACTATTTCATTGATTAACATCACTTCTTTTAATTAATATATATTCCTAAATACGCAATGAATTTGAAATTCAAACCGTATCCTAAACCTAAGACATATATCACTGGCGCGGTTTCGAGTGCTGTTAATCTTTTCAATTATTCATCGTTTTATTGTATAAGACGATTGCTGTTGCGTGGGTAAATGGCTGACTGCACGAGGTTTGCAGATTCGTTTCTCCGGGGAGATAAATTAAACCGCGCCATGTTAATGGTAAATACCTAAGCTTGAGTAGAATTTGTTCGCAACACTGAAGTGCGACATCACAAAATGCGACTGTGATTCGTTAGTCTCATCACGTGACGAATTATTAATCGGGTTTAAAAACAAAAAACATTCGCATGTAATAAGAGAGCTCTTATTATTTTCCATTCACATTTCCTGATTAGTCTGTGTTGTGTAGTCCCTTTATAACGCGAAAGTGAACCGTTCAATTTGTCACAGTTCGTTACAATATTAACAGAATTGTTATTTAAAATGACTGGTGATTTGTAATTACTGTAACAACGAGTCATTAAATATATTGCGCATGCATACGTATATGCTTATCATTATATCACGCAACCTTTTTATTCACTTCCTGTATCTGGTTAGGCTGTTCTTAGGTATTAATACAAAGGTATTCATTCCTTGGGATTAAGGTTTTTTTTAATCTTCTTCCAATAGAACGCTGAAAATACTTCTTACTTAATTTGACACTTCTGCTGCTTAATATGCCACCAAACATATTATACTTCATTATTACCGTCAGTTTTTGTTTCAATTTTTGTATTTTATCGCAATGTAATTTTATGATAGATCCATGCTATATTCGCCCGTACATTATAAATCAAAATAACGAAGCCAATATAGAGGAACCAAGTCGGTAAAGTTTAGGGTATTTTTATTGAGCTGACTTCCAGATAACAAAAATTCGACATTCGAATCCAAGTTGATAACGAAATTGATTCCACGGCCACAAAATTTGGATGAGAAAACCTTTGTATTGTCTTATTCTATTCCAGTTTCGATCGAATTCTGGCTCCTATACGTTTAAAAATATGGTTCCGACTTTTAATGAAGTTTGCCATTGAAGTTTTACGTAAAGTATAGTTGTTATCATTACCACCATATTTCGATTGTGACGTTTGAAGGCAAATCGAATGGAAAGTCTTTAAAGCAAGACATTTACAACATTTCGTCACCCGACCATTGTGCAATATAGTGAAAGTACTGACTTATTGAAACATTATGTTGTGTGCGCAAGTAGAACGCCATTAAATGCTGAAAATATTTGAATTCCAATGTTCATAAGCGGAGACTAAATCATAATCGTAAATCGTGAATGCGCTGTTTGTGTCTGATTGTAATTTCAGTTTATAAGAAACGAAGTGTAAATATTTATCGTTCTGTTGAATTTTTTATGGGTTGCTTATTGTCGTCGTGAAATGATCGCTTTTCTCCGTAACTCCTAAATCAATCGATATTAAGTGTTCCGTATCCAAAGACGGAGGAGGTTACTGGAAGGGTATTACTCTTTTATCTTTATCTTTTTTTTTGAATCCTATGAGAACCAATATTTTACCCCAACTTCTGCCGTTTTATTTAATGTATAGAAATATATTTATGGCATATGGGAACGCGTTAATCCGCCATGGTTTAACGCCAATCGTTTTGCCAATCGTTTTAGCCAATTCGGTGCCTATATGGTTAAGACCTAGCCGAGCCGGTGCGGGATCTTCGTGACCATATGAGCGTTGTTCTCTTATGGAACATAAGTTCATTTTTCCAAAAATATATAAAAATTTAAGATAAATAATCGATCAAGTTATTTGAATCAATAGAATCATTTTAGTCACTTTTGTTCTGTTATTTGTCGTCGGAATAGTGTTTTACCTACAAAAGTGAGCCCGCCCAAAACTATCAAAGAAATACTGAGTTTATATATGACCTCGCTCATATTCTTTCTTTTTGGTTTAATTTCTGCTTGACTACGTTTCCGGCATGTGAGCAGTTTGTATTTGAGTGGAGATAGATGCTAATAGATTCCTATATTGTTCTATTCAGATATAATATATATAAGCACAACATATTTGTGTAAGTGTCTAGAAAACATAACCATGCAGTCGACAACTGTCGTTCAACCAAGAATGCTTCCAGGCGTACCGTAAGTGGAATTTCTTTCTGATCTTATATCATATCAACTTTTATCTCCAGATTTATTTTGAAATCTGTGTTAAATTTGAACATTACTTTTAAACACATAGTGACAATGTTACATTGAATGATAAAATATGGATCACGTATACAAGGTTATATTATTATTACATAACTTTGTAAATGTGGCTGACATATTTGGGGCGTTCCCATATTGAGTTTGAAATAATATATTCTAAGAATGATGCCAATCGACTCTATTTAATTATATGTTCATTTGTTTGATTTTTTGCTTTGTACTTTGTACTTAAAAAAATAATACAGGTGGGTCGATCGAGTTTGAATTCTGGGGATTAAATCCGGTTAGACGTTATTAAATTGAACGTAAATAAACTTGAAGAACCATGATATAAACATGGAAATGAATTTATAGAGTTTTTATAATATTAATTTGTTTCTAATTTGCATTGTGAACATGGGCGACGGCACGTCCCATTATCATTCTATAAATCCTAGTCTACGTGTTCTATATGTACATTGTTAAACTATTGTGGTATTAACGGTAGTAAATATTGTTTGAATAGAGACTTGAACCTCGTAAGTATACACGATTCTTTACAAAACATTGTTTAGAAAGAAAATCGTTCACGGTCTTACATATATCGTACAGCCATTTATGAATAAACCAACCGAGACCGTACAGAGCGCTTTGTTTCCTTTGCCAGTGTTTGGATAAGCCGAAACAGCGTTGGCTAAACTGGCCTGTTCGAGATTTAATTCACTCGTTAGAATCAGTCCCTAAACTTTAACTAGAAATGCATATCATATAGACATATTTTATGGACCTCTTATGAAGTGGGAGGCTATGATGTATAATCTGCAATTTATTTTGTTAATTTCAGGACTCAGGAAAAACTTCGTCAGCAGTCGATCTGTTTCCTTGTGATGGGTATAACAGTTTTTTTCGTCGGAATCGGACTAATCGTGGCTGGAAGTATTTTTTTCAGTTTTTCAATTATTGGACCGGGAGCTGTAATCCTCGTATGGTCTATAATGTGCTTTATTATGGCATACAGAAGGCACGTATTAGCAAAAAATCCCCCAGCTCAAAATTTTTCTGTACCAATCGCCCCTCCGCCGGCAGGTATGGCTCATATCAACCATCCTCCAGTCGTATTTCAGCAAGGCACGACGAACCCCACTTCGCCACAAACAGGATACTGGGGAGGACAGCCAACTCAATATGGCATGGGACCTACTTTGCAAACGACTGCGCCGTATCCAACTCAAGCTTATACGAACAACGCTTCCGGTGGCGCACCTCCTCCTTATCCCATCATGCCAGGAACGGATCCGTCACAAACTCAGTATTCAACTCCTTATCCAGCACAGCCTGCATTTTCTCCTCCTTCATACGAAAGTGCCGTCGACAAAAAATGATAATATTTTACCGAATATGTTATGAATAAAATTTTTCACGACAGTTTATTGGAAGGTTCGTCATATTACACGATACGTTTTTTTCGCCTGAATCTCCACTGTTATCGGACTGTACAGCTACAGTACATAACAAACGAAAAGTTACGATACGGAAGGTAAATTCCGCATTGATCGAAAAAGCTATGAAGTAATTCATTATTGCCGTTTCTCCCTCTACAAGTTGCGTAGACATCATTTTATTAATTAATAACAACAGTGAACTTCCTCTGACGATATGACATACCTTTCCTACTGAAGAAAATGAATAATCATCGAATCAACTTACCTAGAACAATGAATGCAGTGAGACACCATGAAATCGTCAACAAGAGCTTCACATCATTCTGCCTTCTGTGGCTTGAATGTATATATACATGACAATTTGAAACAATACTAACAATATATGAATAACAATAAAGTGGAGAAAATAGAACAAACAGTCGCCAGCTCATTTCACATGGTGTCAATTAATTACATGGACTTTTTTGCTAGAAATGGTAGGTTGTATAGTATTCCATCAAAATGTCGAGTTTTCTAGAAAAGCCGAAACGGAATATATATGGGGGCGCCGATGTTGCATGAAGAACTAGAGATGCCGAACATATATATACCTGTTCACTCGCATGTATACATATCGGAGTTCTAGAAAGTGCGATTCCTTGCGATATTGCAAGCGATTGCACCAACGTTTCAAGAGATTGATCAAAAAATTCAAGTTTTCCATTTTGAGTTAATAGTGCGTAATAGTATAATATATAATCCATATTTTAATGTTATTGATTCATATGCTGCATTCCTGTTTAGTCAAACCTCCTTGTCCAGATCATTTATATAAAATTTGTATTGCATTTTTTACGATTTTATTATTGCATTTTAAATATTGCGAAACTTATAGAAGTGTATTTTCTTTATTTGCATGTCACGATGTCTTCATATGATATTTCACTACTTATCATTTAATTTTATATCTGTTTTGAATCATTATGTTTCCAGTTCTTAGAAATAGAATATTTAATAATCATTTCCGCTTTTTCATCAGCATGAAATTGATACAACGACTATTTTATGAATTAGGAGTAGTCAAGTTCATACAGACTGTACGTTTTGAAGAAGATATTTGGAGACAGACTCATAATTATAAATGACGTAATTAAGCTGTTTTCATAACTACGTATTTTACATCCGCATACATTGTAGTTATATTGAAACGATGAAGAACCTTTTCACGCGAACGATTCTCAGAGATTAGATACTCTGTTTTGGTGTGGTGTAGAAATTATTTCCGGTTTCAGTGGTTTGGAATCACGCCTACAAGCAATAGAACAATGCTAAAATATGTTGACACAACAGTCAAATGATCAGCAACATACCGGTAACATATCCTCTGCGACCTAAATTGAAATCCGATTTTTGATCATTCAAAATCAACAAATCCAGATGCTCCCGAAGTATTCGTACCAAGATGGCGCACAGTCTAAACATAGTATGTGTTCAAGTTGTGCGTCATCTTGGTATAAATACTTCCGGAGCGCTCAAATCCAAATATCAACCAGACTGATCTGATCTGATGCCCCGCCATGGAACAATATATGAGTAACTTCTGATGTATTGGCATTTATGAAATAGTGTCCAAAGCACTATAAGTCCGGCAGATAAGGGGACCTTTTTGGCCCAAGTTTGATTTCAGACATAAAGTTTTTTTTATTTGTGATTATTCATCTTGGGGTCATTGCACATCATTTCTACATGGGTGTGGAGTTTGCAGCCTTGAGCAATTTTTTTTACGGCTCGATATTTGTATTAGTGCTTTTCGTCAAACCCGTGCATCATAATGACGCACAACCTGAACCATACCCTGTTACAATACTATGTTCAGGTTGTGCGCAATCTTGGTGCACAAACTACGCAAGCACCAAATTTACTAGGAAATAAAATCAATAACTTCTAGGTATTTGTTGAGCCCAGCTTCGGGTCGCGACCCATATACAGTATATGGAAATACTGTCGAAACATACGCGTAAAATAAAGAGTACTATTTCAAAATACCCGTTTTTGTCGCAATTAACAATACAAGCCTGCTAATGCAGTCGCCAGTGGTTCAAGTGGATATATACCCGGTGGAGAACAGACAATTATTTGTTAGCGAGAATTGTTATGCAGCGGGATGATCACGACGACGCAGTGAAAGATAATGATATCACGAGAACAAGAATGAGAAAATTGCTACATTTTATAGTATATCCCTGGGAAAGAATGTAGTTCATTCTTATGTTCCATGCCAATGCTTTTCAAACTACCAAAGACTCTCAACACTTTTGCTTCTTCTCTTCTATAAAAATACATTGTTAATATATATTCACATTTCCATCTGTTTGTTCGTGCTCCCAGATAACCGATCAGCGTCCTCCAAGGAGGACGGGGTCCCCTTTTAGGAAACCCTGTCATAAACTAAAAGAGGCGACCGTGTTTCTCTTGCCTGTTGTCATGCTGTCTCTGGAATTCGGCTACAACAAAAATTTCACGAAAACGGATTTTTAAATTTTATGATTTTATTAATATTCGCAACAATGAATGATATACGGGTGGTAAAATGCCAAGTTATTCCAACAACATGATCATGTTTTGCAATTTACAACCAATATTTTGTATGTAACTTTGCTTGACAGAGCCCCAAGAACTCTAACTACAAATATCAAAAATATGAGGCCAAAAAAGTCACACTACAACATTGTCAAATGTGCTGTATTTACGATAGATAACAGGTTTACCAAAAAGAATTACATGAAAAATGGTAAAATAAAGATAAATTCAGCAATATCTACTTGGTGATATGCAACTGTTGATGATTTTATGTGTTTGTTTCGGAAGTTTAATAACAGAATTATTTGGGGATGTTTTAAAAAAAGGTTGCATGGAAAAAAGTTTTCACAAAATGTCAAGGTTTGATAGTAGTAGAGAAGTAGAAAAAAATACTCCCATGCTTTTTTTTTATTTGATAACCACGCCACAGAACTTCCCCGATAAGTATAAGCAGCAATTGCGAGAGGCAGAAATGCCAAGATGGGATTTCATTGCATTGCAAACCAATATTAGCAATTCTTATTTATATATTCGCGCATTCCCATCTGAACAGCGTGGAAAAGATTATACCCATCTACACACTTTAAGAACTATGTCAGATGAGCGTCATATTATCGAATATCAGTAAAGGAATAGTGCAATGGGAAAAGACATGTAAGGCGGAACTTTTAGTAGTATGCAATCAAATAATCTTATTGTAGAATATATATTTAAAAACATTTCGTCACGCCAACTGCAGTCCGAAACTTTTTGTCTCTGGCTGAGCTTAGATACCAATTGGCACTCATGTAAACTGGTAAGACTGTAAGAGGCTCGTGATGGAACAGATCCATCCCCCAGCTGTCATTTGATTGGGTACTGCTGTTTTTATTGCAGATGTTACTGATCTTTTTGTATTAAAGATTTACTGGCATCACCGATTTAAGGATGTTGGAAACCAACACGCTATATTACAAAACTTATTTTCCACACGCGGTTGGAATGAATGAAATAGCTGAAACTAGTATTCTTTACAACAGCATACAAATTCTATGGTATGAAATCATACACAAAAGCTCGTCAAAAACCTATAGCTCAATAATCAAGTGGAATTTGATGCATGTGCGCAAAAATGTGCGCGTTACTACGTACAACCGAAGCACGCAGGAAAATGTGTGTGATGTACTAGTATTGAAAACGTTTCACTCAACTATGTTGGCATAACAGGTGCACATCTCGGTTTCGCATACCTTCTATCTCCACAAGGATAAATTAATTTTGCCAAAGTCAATGCAGCACTGAAAGGTTGAGGTTCTTCCAAAAGAAAACACGTTAGACATCTTCAGATACCAGTGGATGGTTTTACATGGCCTTGTTCGGAGTGAAAGACGAGGTCAAATATTCCAATCTAATTCCACTAAAAAAATATTTCCCAAGTCCCTAAGCTTAAACTAGGAAAACGAAATGCGCGCGGCAACGCAAATGTAGTTTGAAGAGCGCAATAGAAAGTGGCTAGATGCTGTCGATGGATCCTGGCTTGTATTAGTGAAATAAACTACCATTTATTCTACTAAAATTGAATTTCTGACATTGTAAGGAGGAGATTCAATGTTACTATGTATGCAAAACTGAACCCTATAGTTATGAAATAATTGTTTTTAACAAAAAGGCGCTCGTGAAGTATTCGTACCAAGATGGCGCACAACCTGAACATTGTATGTTTTCCAGGTTGGGGTTCAGGATGTGCGTCATCTTGAACCGAATACTTCAAATCCACTTAAAAAAATGCTCAACATTATATACTCCACACCCACCTGGGTATCATTATATATGTCATATACATTATATCTAAACAATAAAAAAAACTTTATGTACTAAAACAATGTTAAGGCCCGATTCTGCCGGACCACTAGTAGAAGATGTATATTTGTGTCAATTATTTTCTTGTTTTCCTCAACTATACGGCGCGAATTGTCAATGTCATTTGCATATCGTTACAGCTTATTTGGCACTGTCATCAAGTATGATTAGTCCGTAATACCTTCATAATCAAAAGCAATTGTGGAAGGGATCGGCCGTCATGGCCGTGCGTCATAATACACCTGATATTCGCGAGAGGTAGCGTAGCCCAGTCACCTTCGGTACGCTCGTGTCGTTTGATGACACTTTGCACGTTGCCGGTATTTTGTGTAATTCGTGAGTAAAGTAAAGAATGCGTTCACTTTCAATACTTTTATTACATGCATGCTATATTATCACATTATGCAGAGTTCAAAATACAAAATTAAACAAATTTAAGCCAAATGGCTCAATAACAATTTCCCGATGTTTCGAACAGATTCCTTAAAGTGTCCTGAGATTATGACATAAAACAGTATTTACAAAACTATATACAACAAAAAAATATATATATATATAAATAATGTAAGTTTTAAAATAAACAAGAAAATTTCCAACTGTCACTTTACAGTCAACATCAACAGTATTAAGTGTGCTTGCAGAAATTTTATTATCGAGATAAAATGGAAACTTTGATCATCAGGGGCTTCTGAAACTACTCGTGCTTACATCTGTAGTTACTAGTTAGTAATAAATTCACCACTTATATCACACATTGTCAGGCAGAGGCTAGTTTCATCTTCGATATCTACTGTATTTTCAAGATTTAGTTATATTATAAATGATTTATAATATAAATATAAGAGTTATATAATAAATAAATATAGAGAATATATCATCAAAAAATGAACAAAAAAAGTTATATTTTTATTCCCCCAACTTTAGGAAAATATGAAACCATTTAGTCTCTTCATAATTTCAGTACATCATACATTTGTTCGTTTGTGGTGTTAGCATCAGGATTGATTTTCAATAATGCGTACATTTCAGTTTCATTTTCCTTGTCATTAAGTGTGGAATTTTCAGCTTTCAATGATTTTTTAGCTGTTTCCGAAGTTGTAGGTACGCCTGTGGTGGTGGACGCATCAGACAATGAAGAATACATGGCTTCTTCTACGTAATCGATTTGTTTTTCTGGTTGATTGCTCGCTGTTCCCATGGGCAGGTCTCCTGAATTCAGCATTGTTTCTTCGTATTTTGAATCGTGTTGGTTTTTAATGGAGGGCTGCGCTATTTTTGACAAAGCTTCCACTGAGCCATCTCGTGAATTCAAAACGTCATACATTCGATCTGAAGGTCCTGTGGCACCCGCATGTGATTGCTTGATCAATGAAGAGTACAAATCATTGACAGGAGGGTCATTTATTTCTCCGATCACAGGTTCGATTTTGGTTACCACCGACTTCTGTGTGTCTCCACGAGTGCTCTGTCTTTTATTAATAGTTGTTCGCTTAGATTTTGGAATCACAGCCGCATAAAGCTCAGCATTTTCAGATGATATATTTTGCGTGCTCATAGTGTTGATTGTGGATTCTTTTGTTTCGTCCAGAATTTGGAGTTGTTTATCTGTATTTAGCTTGCCTTTATCTTTTTTTGAACTACCTTGCATGACAGTGTATTCGCTTTCGGTCACTTTTGCATTCATTTTGGTACTGTTTAGTATAGTGGCATACTCATCAGTTGGTCCTGCTGCGTTAAAGAAAAAATAATTCAGCACAGAATTTTTAAATATCACACTAACATCAAGACCTCATTCTATTTGTACAAAAATACCTTATTTCGTGACTTTCAACATGGGTGCAGAATCATATCAATGAAAATTGAATAAATGGGAAGAAAATCGACGTGAAGACAGATTTTTGAAGGCAAGGTTCTTGACAAGATGCCCAGAATAATTTCAAAGGTTGGAAGAGAATGAAGGCTTTTGCGCTTTATATTTGAAAGCTTTACGACCAGTAGGTATAGATAAAAGTGAATTCACTCCAAAACAGCAGAAGAAACAGCAATAAGTATTGCAATACAATCAATAGGTCTTCTCCGTGCTCAATACTAAACCTGTCTATATTGAAATTATGTCGAAATGGTATAGGAATTTATAGATAATATATTATGGAATTATAGTTATCGGAAACGAAGTGTACATATATATGAATAGTTTTGGTAATATGTTGTTGTTCTTGTAATTAATAGCATATATATCGTGCATGATGCCAAAAAATATAAATTCTTATATAATTCATCCATTTGTCATACCTGCTTCGACGTTCGTTTTCTTAGTAATCTTTACGCTGAGTTTACTTTGATATGGATTTCTTTCTGGGAGTTCCTGTTTGTTATGCGGGGAATTTGTTATTCCCATGGTTGCATATTCTCCTTCGGGAAGAGCTAAAAACAATACACATCAATATGATTAGGTGGTTAAAACTCAACATAAACGTTCTGATTCTTTTTCATCGTCAGTGCATATGAATCAACTAACACAAAATAAGAGAGAAAGAAGTGGTATTAGGCATTCACTTCTAAGTTCCAGTTCATTTGGATATGATTCATATCTAATTGGTATTAACGAATCGAAAATTCAGACTTCCTCGTTGACTAACACAGTTATCATTACCATGAATATACTTCGAACTTGTAGCGCCGGATTACAATTTAGCATGGAAGTTTAAGAATCCCATTCGAGGTACAAAATGTGCTACAGAACACTTTACCTTCAACATTAGTGCCAACAATAGTTGAGTATTCGGCTTCTTCCACTGGTGTTCCTTCATTTTGAGTTTTTTCACTGGAATTTTTGCTTGTGGTGGTTCTTTTAAAAACATTTTATGGGCATGCATTTTTATTGTCATGTAGGCAAATTCATTGTATAATTAGTCGTTCGCGTTAAAATGAGGCTGGTCATTTTGGGTGTTATATTATTATGTCTTCAACTGAGCCACATTAACTAAAGCATATGCAGTCTACTGGAAATGTTTTTTGGTTTATGTTAAGCTTTTATACAAATTAGAGCCCACTGCGAAATTTAAACGTTTTCACACTTACACATACTGTAATGAAATGACAACGTATGCATGGGTACGATTGTTCCACTTTTAATATGTTTTATATTGATATTCTACTGAAAATATATCAAATCAACATTTAAAAGTAATTATACCGTTGACTTACCGTTTACGGACCAAGCAGATAACTACAATAACAACAGCAAGTAAAATTACTGCTCCACACGCACCTCCTATCGCAATATAAAGAAGTGGTGTTGTTTCTGAAATGAAATAGTCATTGCACCACCCACTGATTGAAATATGATCAAATCATCAATTTGCATGACATATTTTTCAATAATTTTATCTCAATATATAAAAAGCAATCAGCGAGAAAAACTACCACTATTTTATACATATATTTTAAGAAATACGAAAGTTTTAAACTGTCGGCAAAACAACTTCTTCAATATCCAACGTAATTCCACATAAGGATGACGTACCAGAAGTGGAGGTGGTTGGAATTTTTGATGTAACTGTAAATATAATATATAGGTTATAAAAATGTAAGATAAAAGTTGTAGCATGCATTGTAAAGCACTAGACTTAGAGATACTCAAGAACATAGAAACAATAATAAAAATATTATTCCTAACGATAGCTTACCGGAAGTAGAGATTGCGGAGGTTGGCATGGAGTCTTTCGTTATAACTGCAAAAATGTATGTAATGTAAACACATCGAACAAACTAAAACGTGTAAATGTGCTGTAAAATACTCAAGAACCATATTGTGTGAGACGTACATGAATTCCAAAATCAATCTGACTAAGACTCTATCAATTGAATCATGGTTCATATCCGATGGTGGGATTCAAACTTTTAGGTTTTCTTTTGTATCGAACTCACTAAAAAAAGTGCCGAATTTACAGCTTTATAACTCCACACGTCTTATTTTCTAATGCGTGACCCTGCGTAAGTTACAATAATTTGAAACACTGTACATAAATCTAATACAACTTTTGAAGCACAAAATATAACACTAGTCGTCAGCTCAAGAATGGGTTATGACGAAGTTTCGAAAAGTGTTCGCGCGAATCTGTGCGAATCCCGCCACTGTATCATATTCATTATGTATTCATATTTACAAGTTGTAGTAGTGGCGATAGCTGTTGTTATAAGTTTTGATGTAAGTTCTGTTGTTGTTTCAGGAATCGATGTTGTGGGTATTGTCGTTGTTTGGCATTCCGCTGGAATTGAACAGTTTCGCCTCTAGAGATGAAATGAAATGTTCATTATTAATTCGGTGATATTTGTTTTATTTACATGCCTAAACTTAATCTAAGCTCAAAGACTTCAAGATCCAATTGACAATACTTACTTGAATTATATATATATATACGTAAATGAATGGCTCACATCTAACATATCATATTTATGTTACAAAAACTGTCAGATAACATATTTGAGCATTTAACATAATTATAAAAACAAAATCAGATTTGTTAATGTAATGCACTCAATTAAATTGTGTTGTCTCGAGATACCCGTTTGGTGAATATTCAAATCCAAAACAAATTGATACGATTTGAAATAATAATACGGGGGTTGGTATAAGTGGGTAGACAGACTGGTAGAGTGTCATTTAAGCGCTAACACAATTATTTAAAGGTATTTCTCCGTACATTTATATCAACTATATCTGCAATGGAACAGTTGTTCGGCCCGTCACGTCGAGAGTCTATACATGTTCGTGTACGTTGCTGAAGACCGCTGCAGTTGCAAGATGAAAAGCTACTCCAATCACTCCAATAAAGACCTAAAAATGGAATTCGAGTGATTAATTGCGTGAAAATGTGTTGCAAAAAATGAAAACAATTTTCATTCGGTTAGTAATATAATTATACTTTGTTACACAGCAAAGGTATGTAAGACACCTAAACTCTGAACTAAAACTTGGTTTACAATATCTACTTAGAAGGATTCAACTTCATTCTCATTCATATTTATTTCAGTTCTGTATTGTTTACCATATTACCTTCAATAATAATTCATTTATTTTGATATAAATATATACCTATAGTTCTTTGGCATACATATCCTCTTCCTTCGTGGCATTTTATATCGTACCACGGCAAATGAGCAAGAAAAGAGTATAACCATCCCATCATAGCACAAGTTTCGTTGACGTTATTTGGCTCAGAGCCAAAACTAGGCCAATTGTTATAAGTCAATGTCGATCCATCATCCCATGTGTAAGTATTGTTTCCATATTTATCACGTAATCCAATAAAAAACCCATAAGGTATTCCTGAAAAAGAGATGAATTTGATTTACGTGTAACATTTTCATGTTCGGTATGAAATATACCTAAACATTTACCACGAATATTGTTCCGTACTGTCAGCCTACGATTCCTTACGATTCAATAGCTCTAGGACAACTAGCATATTTTTGGTTGTCATTGCCTATCCAATTTAATTACATTCTGCCAACCGACTTTAATCCACGAGGTCTCTGCAGCTATATAGGTATAAAGCTGTACAAGGTCGCTGCGGATTCAAAACGACAAAATATTGGGAAAATGTTGAGGTAAAATTATACCAGCTCGAAAACAATAACTCAAAATTTATAGAGATTGAATGACTGACGTAATTTTATTTGATGGTATTGCCAACGCTAATTGATGATATTGCGTTTGCAGAAATTATTAGGGCTTATTTGTTTCTCAATATTCGAGAGGCCTCGCCCAACTTGTTTGTTAATTGGGACCTCCTAAGTATGCGCACCAAGATGGCGCACAACCTGAACTCAGGTTGTGTACCAGTATAGGGTTCAGGTTATGCGACATCTTGGTGCGCATACTTCAGGAGTACCGTTCTTTGTGCACATATATGTAAGAAATTTGAGACAATAGCATGGATACACATGCACGTTCTAGAGCAGGGCTGGGCAATTATTTTTGCTTTGGGATCACATTGCAAATTTAAAATGCAGTAGCGGGCTGGACTAAGTAAAGTCAATCTACATTGCGCGTTTTAATTGTGTTCTTTCACAAATTTAAATAAAACAAAAGATAATACAAATGTTACTTTTAATGAGATGAGTGTATTCTTTGCTGCGCTTCATCAAGTCCTTAAATGTTAGGTTTAATGGCAGTCGTAAATACAATATTCAAAATACTGGGTAGTGCAGAGCCTGTTCAAGAGAGTGTGTATCATATTGCATTACTGATCTATTTCGATTATACCATACAACTCTAACCTACTCAAAATGGACATATGTGATTGATCGACGAACCTGAGCCATCCGTGACCAATGACTGAATGAATTCTTGAATATTTTTTGATTTGACCAGAGCTAGTTGTCCACCTTGTTTAATGCAATGTTCCGAGGATTCATTATATGAGTTCCAAATATTACCTTGTGAAACATAGTACTCATAGCTTCCACTGGCATTCCAAGTTCCCCGTTGAACTAAATGATAAAAATAAAGTTTAGACGATCTCTGAAGAGTACAAGTTATGCCTAGATGCAAGATTACTGTTTTTGTAATATTTTAGTTCTGCAACAATACCTGAAAGTGATGGTTGCAGCAAGAAAATTGCAATCCAAACTATCATTTTATTTATAATTTCATTCGTACTTCAAATCACAAGTAACATTTGCATGAACTGTTTAATCATTTTCTTATTAATCAGATATTCAATTATTTATGAGATTCTTCTTTTTGCATGTGCTGTACATAACATTCCAACGAAAGTAAGAGGTCTATAAATAAATTGAAATTGATAACTTATACTTCCAATATCTATAGATTCTATACCATGGTGAACTTCCCAACGTCTTTTTATCGTTTGGTAATAATTTTAAAAAGAAAACAAATTTTAGATTTGTGTTTAAGGTACATCATGCAACTCCATAATGAACGTATTGGCGAAAAGTTTAAATTTATCCAAATTTTCAACCTCTTTAATATTGAATATATCGTAATATGTTGGCAAAGTAATGGCTGGAACGGCATGAATATTATATTGGGATACAAGTTACAGAAATAGTATCAAAGTCACACCAATTGCTGCGTAATATCTACGTATGAGGAAATGACGATTTTCAAATGGGTGGTGCCACAATTCCGATATAAACATAACTTCAGTGAACTTTTTTGCTATAAGGGTGGAGCACAACCACATTATTAGATACGAGGTGGACCTATGGATCGTTTTGTTATTACTTTACAGAAAGAGGGCACTTCAATTTCCAAGCGTTATCGGAAAAGTCAGCATTCAATGACATAACACCAATTGATTTCGCTTTTTGGCCTATCGTGAAGAACAATGTCTTTCAGAAGGAACATTAACTCAATAAATGAAATCATATTCGTACGCATCCACAGAAATTGATAAAGATCATCATTCGTGACGTACTGTGTGTCAGAGTGTCATGGAAAAATTTCAATAATGTTGCAATGTAGAATGACGTCATTTAAGCAACAAATCTATTCTGTTTAATGCTTAAAGCATTCTAACGGCTTTAACATGATAACACACACATATACGAAATTTTCCGCTGTTCAAGTGTTGCAGGTTTTAAATAAACATTAGACAAAACTGTATCTTTGCTTTTGAGGATGTGTATGGTTGAGCACGATATATTGCCCCACACCACGTTCGAAAAGGAAGCAATAGCGACAGAGCTTACCAAACCGAGCCAGACTTTATTACATGAATAAACAAAAAAATTAGTATACGACTAGCCCAGCAAAGTAAATTGGACAATCGGCACCATAAATAATTAAGCTCTTATTTATTTAGTTACGTGCATTAACTGATTTGTATCCAATATTTTTTTTTTATTATTTTATTTATTTAGGCTATTATTAAAATCTGACATATCGCTTTCAAAATTGTCTATAGCTACCTAATCTGAACTGACATCTCTCCTAACAGTTGAAATTGCATTGAAAAGTATAAATTATATGCAAGAGACAATTCTCAAATATTATAGAAATATTTATTTGAATCACAAACTTGAAAAAATATTGCAATACTTTCATTCTATCTGGCCTTTTTACTTATGGATGGAAACGAATACTAGATGCAGTCTATTATCATTATTCTCTCTACCACGCATATTATATTAACGTATCGCGTCATCAACATACAGTTCCTGAATATATTTTCATAATTGCGATATATCAATGGCAAGCGTGATGGATTATATCAATGGAAAGGAGGAAACAATTTATCTCCGGATCTCCTCCAAGGATCTGCGTTATGTTCATTTAAAGTTAATAGAAGCACGATTTGCACATGCAAAGAATAGGCGGAAGATATAAATTAAAATGAAAAATATTTGCATGTGCATAAAGCACTCAAAATGTGGGTATACAAATAGACTTTAACTTTAAGCTATATTAACATTTAAACGTTTTGGAACTGACATATTATGTATGAAAGAAATGTAGTTTTTCATATTGTTGTATTATTTTGACAAAAATGATTTAGGCTTCAGATACCGGAGACGCCTTTAAATCCCAGTGATTGAATAGGTAAAGACTATAGGTCTCATTTGTTTATTATTAAATGTGGTCTCCGAGTAACGCGAGTCGGAAAAATTTCTGATCATCACACCGTTATGTATAAAACCTTGTCTATTAAATGAAAGACGTGTCTATTGAGGATCTGCTGTATTCCACATCGGTTTCCTTTTATAGTGTGCTTAAATAATGCCCAACCGCAACTAAAAGACTTAATGATGCTGATACGCGATCTAGTGCTGGATTACTTTTGTATGACCTGTACTAAGCAATTGAATACTTGGCATTTTGGTTGATATTTTAAAAATATAGTATCGCCGCAAATACATTTCTGATTGCGTTATTGGAAGTGATACAAAATAAAAGTATAGTAGGGTGAGAATCTAATTTAATTTCTAACGAATTGCTGATGTTTAGATGAACAAACGATTAGCTTATTCGTTGAATTCATTTTAAACGACAATTCATCGATTGATTTATGAATACCAATCAAACAGCATGTAGTTTTTGCTTGTGCTTCTGCATCTTGCGACACAATATAACCTCAGGCAGAAAAAATTTCATTCAGACACAACATCTTATTCATAGTGACAGTATCTTTTAGTACATGATCAGTTTCGCCGAAAACAACTTATAAACGCATAAAATATGTAAGATGATAATATTTACAATTAAAATATTTTTTGATTTTGAAGAGCAGAAAACTATAAGAATTATCCTAACACCAAGTTACACACAAATGCAAGGGGATTCATAATCATATTTGACAATAAAATATTACATTCTGTTTGTATGTTTTATTGAACTTCGTGAGCCTTGTCAGCTTAATACGCCCAAGGCTCAATTAGTAGTCAACAAAACAAAATTTTACATCAAACACGTTTGAGTGAGTTTAAAATTTTTTGGTTTACTTTAGTTGATGTGTCATGGTATTAAGTTTCGAATGATGTACTTAACCTATAATACTATTTTTATCTAAATTCCAAGTCCTTTGGCGATGGACGATATAAAAAATGCATAAAAATTTTAAATTTCGATTTCAGTTGTATTATTTTTAATTGAGAAAGAGCTGGATGACCTTATAAGTTCATTCATTACTTCTAATGAATTTACAGGATAGGTAACAAACAATGGCAAGAATTTCATAGGTTGTTATATTGGTATCATGGAAAATACAGAGTAGAAAAGGTTTGCAATGAGCAGCAATAGTATATGTAAATGGAATAACAGTGACAAGAATGGGATATTTCCTGTGAATATGGCAGTTCTGTTTGCGTTGATACAAACTTATTTACTATGCTTCTCTGTTTTTTACGAACGGTAATTCTATTCATAATTACAAGAAGGTTTACTAGAAATATACACAATCAACCCAAAGAAACCAGCATTTATTGAAAATAATAAAAAAAACATGCGTTTGACAGCTTTTTGAGTGTACGAAATATGTACTGAGACAATATCGTAATAGTTGCAGGCCAAAATGACCTTAGGATAGATCAAATTTAAAACACAAAATATATCTTAAAGAGAAATAGAAATACAAATTGCAGTCTCGTCTACTCGTTTGAGTAAAATCTTATTAATTTACCAAATAAACATTGTCAAATCACCGTTTCTTTAGATACATTGCATTTTCGCCTAATATAATGATATTAAGATATATTCTTATCATTGCTGTAATACTTTTTATTCAACAAAACGTTCAAGGTAAGTGACATTATATACAATATCGTAAACTTTTACTTGTTCAATTAATTACAGAATTAAATTTCTCTTGAAGATATGCCTTCTGAACACGACACTCATCTAACGCAAATTTTGTAGTTTGTAGTTTTTTAGTTTGGCTGTAATTTTGATAGTTCACAAGTTTTTGCAATTGAAAATTTCTTAGAAAAATTTTGTTACGTACAGGTCAGAGATGCAGTGAATTTACAGAGTTTAAATGCTTCTGGGATGGAGCTTGTATTCCAAAAGAATTGATGTGCGATGGAAAAATTGACTGCGCTAAAGGAGAGGATGAAACTGAATGGTTTGCTGGATGTACGTTTGAATGTCAATATATTGTGTGATATATTATAATTTTAAAACTAGTCAGAAATTTAAACGATGAAATTCCAAACTAATAATAATACACGTGAATTTATTGATAATAGATAACATGATAACTTCCCGAGACAGCAATATCACCAACTCAATAATTTTTTTGTTCATTCAATCCATTTGTTGTTGTTTATTTATCTTATCTGATTATACCATGCTGTTTGACGTTAAACCCAATAAATTCAGCATAACCAAAGAAATGTTTTTTTTTATGACCTGAAAAAATTCACAAATAAACACAGTATTGGAGCAATATCTACGTAACGTCACGCAATTACAAACTTATTTAATAACAAAATATTTATATTTAAAAATTAAAATTTCTGTACATTTGTATTATTAGATACAAAACTATTGATAAAACAGGTCTCCTGGCTAATTAGATCGCATAATTGCAAGTCTCTCAATATATCTAGAGCAATTAGGGTTAATTAGTCTGGTTTTGTGATTTATCATAGTTCTACAACTTTCAGCAAATTTAACGAATATTGTTGCATTGTTTCAAGGCACCAACTGCTCAGCCATTGGTAAATTTCATTGTCACAAAGAAAGCGGTCAAGTTTGCATCAGCAGGGATTACATGTGTGACGATTATAGTGATTGTCTGCACGAAGAAGATGAAAGTTATGAATTTGCAAAATGTAAGACAATAAATGAATGGTGTATTGTATTCGCAAGCTATCTTCACATTGGAAACTTGCTTGTTCGTTACAAACTTTAATAAGAAACTGACAATATTTTATACATAGCAGCAACATGTTACACAAGGAACATGGGTTTCAAGTAGAAAAGTTAAGTAAGATAAACAAAGCTATTATCGAGCTGTTATAACAATAAATGGAATCAATATGTGTAAATCTTAACGTGTGTTTTATCAGGCATTACAGAAACATGAATGATCATGTGGTTGCCGAGCTTACTGGTTAGATAGATATCGACACCAACACATTTTTATATTCACAAAATTTTGTTACAAAACAACTTATTACCAAATACTGCGATTAGATAAAATAATTTTTTTTTAAATTATTTTTGCTTGAGTTGTATTTTCTTTCTAAAATTAAACTTCAATTTTTATTATTATGATTTATTTGTTCATTTCAATTCAATTTGAACCACTATTACCTCAACTATTAATTGCAAACTATTTTCAACTACTATAATCTAATTAATTTTTGCAATAATATTATTCGGCTTTCATAATGCTTATAGTTCTATATCTAAACGAATAAAAACATAGGTTTGAATATCGCATGCCTAAAGCAATTTCTATTGTCGTTCAGTTATTCATTCGATGTATCTGATGTCTAATCTCATGATCTTAAGAGTATGTTTAGGGTGTTTGAAAATAGAATTTTTTTTTTGCTTTGTCGCATTGACAGAATAAAATAAATTAACAGATCGTAAGCTTCAAGAAATTATTATTTATTTCACACTTATATATTTATGTACATATATATCCATACCCCAGCATAGTAAAAACTTCAGGACAATAATTTCACTTCTAATTAGGTCCGAAGAAATGTAAAGCTAACTTGGAAAAAGCGGCACTTGTTGGAAGACCATCATGTCGAAGAAAATGCAGAAACAATAAAGATTGTAAAAAGAAATGTAAAAAAGGACAAGATTGCTCCAAAATTGAAAAAAGGAAATGTGTTTGCGATCACGAATGTGGAATGTCTTGCGTTTCCATTTGTACGTACATAAATTATCTGAATATAAATGAAATTATTGTCTTTTGCAAAGATATTTTTCTGCCATTAATTCATATGTTATATATAACACAAACTTTAAATAATCTTCGGCATTTTTTTGTTCAAAAGCACTCTACTTGATTTCTGTTTTTCAAAATCCAGCATTTTCTTGGATCATTTGATTTTTAATACATTTGATTACATGGAAAAATACAATGCTTATTTTCTCCACTTTTCACTAACCGGATCCCCATTTGTGTTCAATATTTATACTCAGATAGAACATGTCCTTCGCTTGAAATGATTCCAAATCTACGTCACATCCGATATGTGCGTCGAAGTCGTCAAACGAACAAGCTCGAAGATGCAGTAGAACCATATGAATACGACGTCCGGGCTTATCATACCTGCGAACCCGGGTATCTCGCAGTTCCTAGCAATGTTAGATTATGTCACGGAAGAGCGAGAGAAGAAAATAAAACGTGGACGAGAGAGATTGTATGCGCAAGTGAGAGGAGATATCACTTTCGTATTTTCTGATATTGCTATTTTGATTTAGTCAAATTACACTGTACTTCCATGTCGGTCCATATTTTTCAGATATAGTTTCTCCTAACTTTTGAACGAGCCTGATATACTAATTTCTTTAATATTTATTTCATAATACAGTATTTTTTTTAAATTGATCAGACATTTAATTTTTTGTCTCCTTTTGCATTGGCCATTGTAGAACGAAATTGATAATACGATAAAACGACCACGCGACAGCATTGGGGTTCCTGCGTAGGATAGGACTCCAACGATTCTGCTACTATAAGATTTACCTATTTAACCCAGGGGTGAGGAAAGCTGACAAGGCGGCTTAATCATATGGCGAGCCCGGGCCTCTAGTCCGATTGTGCCAGTCCATGTCGGGTATGGGATTAGTTATTTTGTTTTCAAATGCATGGACTTGATGGTGGAGGAATCCGTAACTGAACAGCGGTTACGTTAACCACCCTACGGCAACGAAGAGTCCTGCGATCTTTTTGCACATAATTATCAAAGGATTCGAACTTGCGAATCCGCGGAGAGTAATCAGAATTGCTGTGACAAGCGTATTCCTAAGGCTTAGCGCGATGCGCTGCACTACCGAAAATTGTTGTAATTTGACTATTCATTCAACGTATTTGAACGTGGATTTAAATTAACTCCGACTAATTTATATTAATACTATATACAGGATCTTGTCCTAAGAAGAAAAAAGACAAGGTGAAAGAATTCAAGTTGTCGTGCGGTTTGGATTGTCTAACAGATGGAGACTGCGCTGCAGGGAAAACTTGCCAGTGCGACGGCCCCTGCGGCAGAACATGCGTCGACTTAAGTACGTTATAATTTATAATAGATACTACTATTCTCCGACCGCAGTACCTTTTGAATAGAAAATATAAAAAATAGGTTTTTATTTCTTGAGTTTTTGTTTTTGAATCTTCTCAATTGGTACTAAATATTTTTTACGCTATTGTTTTTATTAAGTTCTTTTTGTTATACCATTCAACAGAGATAGAATGTGGTGATGCACCACCTGCTGAAAACGCATTCATCGAATACACCGGGGAAGGATTTGAACGCGTGGCTCATTATATTTGTAACGAGGGAACATATACTGCAGCGGGGGATGTTTCTAGAAAGTGCACAGGGAGTGGAAAATGGGGAGGAAAACTGATACAATGTGAACGTAAGTTTTATAATGTGTGTATTTTTGTCAAAACAAATGATTAAAATTTTTTCTTGTATCTTCCGTGATATGGAGTCGCCACCTGCTGACTTACGCTCTGAACAAACGCAGAAAGATAAATCCCTCTAAAACAACGAGAAATAATATTTTGCAATGCGAGTTGACAATTTAGTATAAGACAATTCGGTAAAGCGAATAAAAATAAGATGTTTTTAGGTGTAACATGTCAAGATCCAGTACCAGCTATATCAAAGATGGGTGGACGTGTCCTAAATTATAAACACAAAACTGCATATTACTACAACGCAACGTTGATGTTTGCATGTGGACATAATCAAAGACTGTTGGGTTCTGAAATCCGTACATGCATGGGAGATGGAAGATGGAGCGGCATTAACACAGTGTGTGATAATCTTGGTAAGAGTAAGAAGTTTTTCAAAGGTATTCAATAGGACGATGTTGAGATTGCAAGCACCTAAAAATTGTCTTGAAAGGGGGGAAACGGGGGGATGGACGGACGGGACGGGTTCCAATCGATCAAGTATGTTGATTAACAACAAAAACCATACTCATTTTTGCATATTTTGGTTTTCCTCTGCTACAAATGAGTATGTGACGTTATTGACTTAGCATTTGGAAAAATAACATTTTTATTCTACTTTTGTGTTGAATTTTTACATATTATATAGATGTTTATAGCTAAATTACCACGCTGTATTTACTTCAAAGGAAACCTGGAACGTTGTCCTCATCCCGGCATTCCAATCGGGGGTTACATGAAAGGATTCGCAGGAGATTATGGTTTTGTTGTTGGAGGTGAAGTCGAATTTTCATGCTGGGACGGCCTAGTTTTAGTTGGAGAAAAAAAGCAAGAATGCCTCTTTATCAAAGAATGGAGTGGTGATGGCGCCCCTGATTGCGTAGGTAAGAAAATAGAACTTTTATTCCGTAATCACCAAAATACTATTTTGATTCTCCTGTTTTTAGATCCAAAATACAGTGATTCGCCAACAGATGTCATCAATAAATTGTCTCAAAGCACATCAAACATCAGACAAACTAAAAAGTTTTCTAGGTCTGGACGAACAATTCAACTAAATTCTCGGGGTAGAATAGAAGTGTATTTTGTTATCGACTTATCTCTGAGTGTTGGCGCTGGTGCATTGGGCAACACCATGAGCTTTGCCAAAAGTCTCGTTAAAAGGGTAAGTGACTTTATTTTGAATATTTGGCTAAATAATCAAAAAAATAAATATGGAATAAAACAAAATAACGCTGTTGAAGTATATGAACACGAAGCTGGCGCACCTGTTTCGGTAAGACCTTAGCTGAATATCGAAATTCGTAACAAATACCAAATGACAGTGTTCCCATGCGTCATATAGAGTGTTCCCATAAATTAAAATGAAACGGTTCCATTACATTCGAACCCACGTACATTTGAACCCATGGCAATTACACCTGTATGCTATTGCACCTATGGAATTTTTTTTGTTTCACGGATAGTTAAACCCATACTAACCCTAACCCATGGGTTTTAGCACCCGCATATAGATTGAACCCGTGGATATACGCATGGGTTCAAATGTACATGGGTTCAAATGTACGGTCATCAAATGAAACAGTAAAATTTTGGTTGAAATATCTGCTAGGTAAACACCATATAGGATTCGAAATACCGAATAAAAAACAATACATTTCCAGAAGCTTCCATCTTTATGTACTAAGAATTGGATCCGTCCGTTAGTTGCGGGGGAAAGTGATTTTTGTTAACAACAATAACAAGAAAAACAACATTTTAGAAAACGATCCTTACTTTGCGTCCAATAACCTTGTTTTCGTCATCTATAGTTGAGTCAAAACGACACAACTGGTCGAGTTAACTATGGGATTATTGTATTTGCAACGACACCATTGATTAAACTAAATATTCATGATGAACCAAGAAAGACTGCCGAAGAGGTGATTGCACTACTGAATGAGATAGAAAAAGATCGGGGTAAGAATTAATACAATATCTATATATATATATATATATATGGCTGATACAAATATGTTCAATTAAAATAGATATAATATATCTAAAATGTATTCAAAATTCCATTCTATGAAAGTTAGAGACATTTGATGGAGTAACAAAAATAATAAAAACTGATTTTTTGCTGTAAATATTATAACGTCGTCAGTCAATACTTTATTAGCAGGTATATAATTCATGTAGTAAATATATTCAGTTTTGTATTATACCGTATACAAATTTCTAACAAACAAGCAGTTAACCACCCCCATCACCTCTTTGAAATCTGTACCTGACATAGTCAAGAGGGAAAAATCAAATTGTCGTTACATCATATATCCATTTGATTTGTTCAAGTTATACATTTTTATCATTCTCTAGAAAATATAAAAGATGATATCAACCAGGGTACGAATATCCAACTGGCACTGGATTTACTTAATCAAAGAATGATTGCATTTTCATACGAAAATGATGAAGATAAGATCATCAAGAGACACTGTCTTGTTTTAACTGATGGTAATTGTTTTATATAGTGAAACATTTTAGCAGGCTTTTAACACATTTTTAACGGCGTTCACAACAACTTTAAATTCAACTGAAAACTTGTCTACAATTGTCTACACTGTAGAGAACAGTGGGTAGTTTGAATTCTAATTTTCTAATATATTGCATTCATATTTCATAAGCCTATATATTTTAAATCGATATATATTTTCATTAATCTAAATCATTAAACTAAATATCGAAACAAAAAAACTTTTCAAATTACGGTTTCGAAATTTCGTTGAAATCAAAATGCGATAATTGTACTAATATTTATAAGTTATATCACAGAAAGAAACCACACACTTATTTAGAAATGTCAGTAAACTTAAAATAGAGTTGTAGGTCATATTATTTCCCCCATCATACAGCTTAACAAAAGTTGGTTTCTTTACCAGGCGCGAAAAATGCAGGAGAAAGTCCAAGTGCAGCCAGAAAAAGAATAGAACGAGGATATGCTGACAACCGACCAGAGGTATGTAACGGAGTATCGATAGTAGGATTATTCTATTTGTTTTTCTTAGCTTTACTTTACTGTATGTTTTTCAGTTTTACAGCATCACATCCTCCGCACAAGAAAGCAGTCCAGAAGTCAGGGAGGAGCTCGAACAAATTGCGTCAAAGCAGAAAAATTTTATTTATGTTGAAGATTTTTATAAATTACACAAATATGTTAATCAAATTACAGACGTTGAAGAAGGTATGATAAAAATAAAATTAGTAATAATGCGCACAAAATATTGAACCACGCTTACTGTCTTAATCTTTCTTTCTAAAGTGCTCACGTAAGGAATTGTGTATTATACTATGTTTAATAAAAATGACTCGCCAAAAGCAAAATATACAAAAGAAATTCTATGAAATGACACGTATTAAAATAAGCTAATCGAGTAAGAATAATGCAATTAACACGCATCTCTATTCGACAGATTACGATAGTTGTGGACAAGCAGGCGATGTCGGGAGTGTGAGGAAGCTGGCATCGAGAGGACGGGTACTCGGTGGCGACACAGCGATTGAACGTGCATGGCCTTGGCAGGCACTCGTCACATCTTACGATGAAAATATCCTAGCTGTATGTACAAATGTTTTTGGTTAATGTCTATCAAAAATTGAACGTTTTCCTGTTGTATTTACATAAGAATTGGTGACATAAATATATATATGAATATTTTTACATAATCCATAAATGCTGTTTTACCGAATTTTATTTAATATTCTACCGTGTTTGATATTTTAATTTAGTTGATCGAAAAAATACATAATGCTACAAAGGACATTTATGATTTGATCCAATATTAAAAGTATTGTTTTAAACTAGAATTGTATATGTTATACTTTGATATTAAATATGAAAAATGTCCAATTCATATTTCACTTTTCCAGGCATTTGACCAGGTTATGGGAGGAGGAAGTTTAATTAATAGCAAATGGGTTTTATCTGCTGCTCATGTGTTTGAGGCATACAGTGGATTAGACTGGGAACAAGGAATTATGGTTTCCCTCGGTAAATTCGATTCTGTTTTTCTATACACCTGAAACTTGAGTTGTGTTATAGAAAATGCTTTTTAAATATAATTTGTCGTTCAATACATAACGGATATGGCGAAAAAGCGTCTTTTGCTTCAACCTTCATTACCGGAAAATGGAAGAAATAGTTTGAAAGATTTTTTTTAATTTTTACCTATATTTTACCCTGAATTTTGGTATTCATTTTTATGATCTTCAATCTTTGTGTCTATATATTTTAGCATCGCTCTCATGTCTGTTGTAATTATGAACCAGAATCGTATTTTTTTAATTTTCATCGTAACTGTAAACATATCTTTACAATTCTTTCAATTAAATGAAGGCATCATCAGAAGACCGCACAGATACAACATGTTAGAAGGTTCTGTAAAAATGTTTCAACCAGAAAAGATTTACATTCACGATGAATATGAACAATATAACGGCGAACATTTACTTGGATCTTATCAAAACGACATTGCACTGGTAAGATGACATAGCATTGCTTTATTGAATATAAATGTTATATTTCTTCCTCTCTTTTCTGTTTCAAACAGATTAAACTTGGTGGAGAATTTGTTTTATCAAAAGATGGGAAACGTTTGCTAATGCCAGACTCATTACCAGGATATGTTGAATTCACTCCTTATATAAGACCTGTCTGTCTACCATGCAGTCCGGATAGTTGTGTCAGCCAAGTTTTGATGAAGAAAGATAGTAAAGGGAGAGTTCTAATAAAAGGAAGTGAAACAGACGAAGAAAAGTGTAAAATTGAATGTAAGTTTATTTGCAGATTGATACACGTTGGGTATGTTTTTACCCTGTCACGTTTCTGGTAGTACAATTATTTATTCCTCAAATTTTCAATAAACACAAAAGGATTACTCCAATATATGAGCACTTGCATGGTACAGCAGTAGCATCTGTTATCTGATTATTTAAATTTTTTAAATCAAAAGTACAAATCGATGCTCATAAGCGCTGCAATCCATATCGGTACTGTTAAGCGTTAGCTCAACATTGGATTTGTCTAAAAGATTTCCGACTAGCCTGATCTACTGCCACGAAAACTATAGACCCATTCTCGTAAAAATATGAATTTTATGCCTCGGCAAAATAAGAAAAAAATCGAAGAATATAAATCGACTTCTATCATTTTCAAGCATTTGAAATCGATTGGCCATGTAGTTGAGTAGATATCAATATTTACATACCAGCATTCCTATGTCTAGTCACGGAAATATTCGGCAAAACCATCCTACTATAAAAACCACTATTCAGTAAAAAGACAGAAGAGCTTTGTCACGTACTCTATGGCGAAGCCATGGCATTGTATTAAAATCATCTATAATCAGGTTGAAACACTTGCGTGAAGCACTTTTTCATATATGTATGATGTATCTCATAGAACAAATGACCTAGTGCGCAGATCGTTTGTCCTAAATGCGCTGACATCGCAGGTTAAATATGTCGAATGCTGGCGACATAATAACCGTACAGAAGCGAAGCATGAAATTGCCCTATATGGAAAAATCCGACCAAAAAATAATGCATATAATACTTGGTGTATAACTAGTATACGTTGAACAAACGCCGCTTATTACATCATAAATTTACTCAGCTCCTCGCAAATTCCATGTCTCGATTTGGCTGACTGTAGCGATCCATCTTCAGTGACAATCTGTTTATTCACGTACGATTAAAACCAAAACATAATGGTGTCTACTCTAACTCTATTTTACTTAAAATTCAACAGTAGGTACATTCGACACAAACGTGTTATAAAATCGTAAACATGATTCATGTTTAGATGACTTTTTAATGGGAGAAAACTCTGATTCTGTGGTAGCAGTTGTTGCCACTGGGTTTGGATATAATGCAACCAAGAAAGACGAGGACGAAGACTATGGTTTGAAAGCAACACGGGAATTACAACAAGCTTTGTTAAATGTGACTAAAAGAAAAGAGTGAGTTTGGATATCGTTTTAATAACACAGGACGACCCCGTGTATCATTATCACACATACACTGTTAGTTAGTTCCTTAAAAGTTTAGATACCGAACCATCTTATGTTTGATTTGCAAGAAATGAAAATACCCTCCCGAGAGTAGAGGGCGCAAAATGGCGGAAGATTTGTAGTTCAAGATAAGCAATCAATTAACAATCTTGAAGCAAAGTGAAATCATTTGAAGACAGTCTGAATGATGACGGAAAGTAGCAAAGCACCGACTATATATCGTTTGGAGCCAATCCAATAAAAAGCTTTTCACTGTATACCCTGGTTGCAGATAAGCCTGGCGCCGTCACACGCATCCCTGAAGCTAATGCTCGTTACCGCTTAGGCTACATGGCTTGAATAATGGAACTCGTGACATATGCATGCGCGTGTTTGATTCATGGTTTATTTTATTCCAATATTTAATTAGCTATGTTTTACAGGTGCGAGAGAGCGGTCACAGTAATTACTCGACAAAAGTCTATTCCTGGATTTGAACATATTTTCACAGAGCAGATGTTTTGTGCGGTTGGAGGTGGAGAAGAAAGAGGAAAAATTATCGACACATGCAAAGGAGACAGTGGTGGACCAATAGTGCGAGAGGTTAGTATATGTTTATTAAAGTAACATATTTATTCGCGTGTTAAATAGAGATGCTACTGACACTGTGCTTGAAGATATAAGAATAGGTAAAATGCATAGAAGAATATCTGCGAGGATAATTGTTTCGTCTCACAATCGGTTTGTGATATCCTACAAATTCAAGTTTTTGTGTTTCAACATTTTTAGAAATATAACATATTTAACCTTGGCCTATATTTGGATACTCATTGAACATAGTTGTCATGTTGTAGTTATACGTTCAAGCCCGAGAACAACAAACTAACTTATGAGTTATTCCTATAATCGCCCTCGACAGGCAAACAAAATAGAGACTCTGGATCATGTCATATTCTCATGTCAAAATTGAACAATATCATTTTGTTGTTTCAATAAACAGTCGTGAATTTATAAATATATTTATATTCTATTAAAAATTTATTTTGTTATAGATTCGTGATGATTCTACAAAGGAAAGTTGTTATGTCCAACTTGGTATTGTAAGTTGGGGTTATGGTTGTGGTCAGCAAACAAGGATTGATCGAAAACAATATTTTTATCCCGGCTTCTACACAGATGTGACGTCATTGATGTCATGGGTTACGAACAAAATGAAAGATCATGAAAAAAAGGAGTCGGATTAAATCAATGCTTTGTTGTATAAGTTCTAATCATAGAATTATTTTTTGATTTATATTCCAATGAGTAAACTTTAAGTTGGAAATACATCATTTGTATAAATAAATTTGTTAAATTAATGTTGAAAAATTGATTTTCTCGAGCCCTCGCTATTAATCAATGGGAAGATCACAGTTTAGCAGTGGCGGCGCGTCAATATGGCCAACCGGGGCAATGCCCCGGTTTTTTTTTCGGTATAATAAAAAATATTCGAAAAATACCTCAATATCGGTTGCACAGACTGTCTACACTAGCCATATTCTCCCGACATGGTTCATTTTTCGCTCGCAAAGCCTTCGCCGAACGTCGACGGGGCACGCCGATGTTGCCCCGGTTGCTCATTGTATATCGTATTCTCTCTTTTATCTTCCACTCGCCGCGTTTGTCTCGTTTGTTTTCTGTTTCTTTTACTAAATCATCGGGCCGATCGGGGCTAGCCCTGAAATTATGACGACACAATGCCGACGTTTCTTACAACAACGTGTTGACATATTCACGCATTCCTTTTGAGCTCCTCACTTCTTTCCGGCTTCGCATTTCTTAGCCTTAGACCTCATAATGAATAAGGTTGATGCACTACTTCGCACTCCGTTTTCGCAGCTGCCGCTGGAACAAAAATTAGAGGTACAACGTCTTGGGCCCTATCAACCAAAAAATTGTTCACTGGAACAATCCCATGACGGGGGAAAGCGTCGGCGTACATTCTGCGCAGAAACTTGGTATAAAAAACACGAATGGTTGTGTTACAGCGAGGACAAAAATGCACTTTTTTGTTTTTATTGCCTACTTTTTCCTACCGCCCGTGACTCACATTGGTGTAAATTTGATTTTAGAGATCTTAAACATCTTTCCGAGCGTGCCAGGGATCATCAATCTTCTATGGAGCATCTGGACAATGCAGTAAAATACCCAACATTCGGAAATGTTAATATTGCAGCACAGTTTCATGAAGGACGCGCGGTTTCTATTTGTCGGCACAACCAAAACGTCGAGAAAAACCGCCATGTTCTCGGTCGATTGATAGATGTTTTGAAGTTCATTGGTTGTCACGAGCTGCCCCTCCGTGGGCACGATGAACGGGCTGGCTCTTCTAATAGAGGGGTATGTTTGGATATGGTGAAATACACCGCATCCCTAGATACAGTATTGAGAGATCATCTTGATGCCGCAACTGTTTTGAAAGGGACATCTAAGCGCGTCATTGAGCATTTTGCTTCCAAGAAACCGCGGCGTGTTGCATATATGTTCAAGCAGTAGAAGTCTAGCAGCATATATATCTATGAGTGAGCGACGCATGTACTTATCTTTGCATTAACTTTCCTTTCTTCATAGTAACGTTTTAAACCTTATTTTAGGTTTTGTCTGCTTTCCCGAAGTTTCTGTCAATATGTCATTGTATTTATCTGGGTAAATATTGCCTTTCCTTTTGAAAGAGGTTTCAAAATAAACTATGTCTATATTTATTAATCCCTTGACTTGGACCGGTTTTAAAGACACTTTCTTATCGTTAAAAATTGTCGCTTTCGCCGATTGGTTGTTATCGATGGAATGGTTTTTATACTCATAAAATGATGGGAAAACTTACAGCGCTCATCCTGTCCCCGTAGATGGGGGTGACTTGGTCCCGCAGTAGCTTGCCCCGGTTGTCAAAATGACCACGCGCCGCCACTGCAGTTTAGTACATAGTAGACTGTAGGGCAGCGGTCGGCAAACTGCGACCGCGAACGTTTTTTTTTCGGTCCTTGAACGACTTTTAATACATAAAATAAAAATTGATTCTAAATGGATTTAAGTGGTAAACAAGTAGCGCCAGCTGTAAGTCGTTTACTGGATGTATAGGGAGAAAGAGATGCTGATGGGTCTTGGGGATAAAGACTATCGACCCCATATATTTAAGTTCGATTCCCTAGTTATTGTTTTGACACGCGTTATGGAATGTGACTCCAATCTGGATTCCTTCAGACGATAATAAGCACACAGTGTTGATGCTAATCGTTGTTGTATATGAAGGTGCACAATCCAAAATTCCGAAAACGGATAAAATTGAAACACACAACTCTTAACACAGTAAATCGGAAGTGAATTAAAACACAACACACTTAACACAGTAAATCAGAAGTGAATCAAAACACGATATTATGCACCCCTTTCGGCAAGCCGGAACGGATACGTCATCAAATTGATTGATACGAGAAAGGCAGTACATGTAATCAGTGTTGCGACAATAAAATGACCTACTTGAGATCGATTTCAGTATACCGGCAAACGAAATAAACTTATTTTATTAACAAATTCAAAACATTAGAATCTCTAGGGATGAATTTGGGAGATGGATAAATTCACAATTTATGCTAATTTGAACATTTCATTGTCACTTACACTTGATTTCTATTTCGCGGTTTAAATCATTTCCTTACATTGCAGCCATGATCCTTAAATGAACTTAGACGATACCACAGTCGGAGTTACGGGATAACAGCATGAAATTGTTTAATCTTCTTTTTAACTGTCACTCACTACACTGTTGGGTATCTATTGATTTTAAATCAAATTTAGCTTTCCTATTGTTCTGGCACTGTCCCAATTTTATTTATATCCCTCTATCGCAAACAGACCCAACATTTGAAACCAATATTTATGTGCATGCAATTGCGTTTCTTGTTATAGTTGTAAAATGCTTGTCCGACCTCGGTCAGACGAAACGTTACAGAAATATATTTGTGTTCGTGTGCAGCAAGACTCTTGAATTGAATAAAATGACCTATTGTGTGAAATGGAAGGGTTAAATACATTATTACAAATACATTATACACATAGTTACACAATGCACATTCGCTATAGATGAACGTCCCATCCATCGTTGGTTGTACCTATGAGTTTATTTTGATTTTTTTAAATTTGAAAGTGTCTGGGAAACGGAGGGAAGTTTGCGACGGGGGCACAACCACAATGTTATTTATTTTTAAGAATTATTTTTCAAAGTAAGGTCACGTGCACTCTCTGAAAAGAGGGAGACTAAACTGAGAGCGAAGCTACAGGCGATCAATAATTGTGTCGGGAGATAACGAGACTATAACGAACCAGTGAAATTTGGCTCGGTAAGTGCGGCGCATCGTGCTAAGCGTTAGGAATTCGCTCGCCTCGCACCTCTGATTACACCGCACAGGTGCGAATTCCAAGCGGGAATAGTTATGTGTAAGAGGATTGCTGGTCTACTCGCCGCCGTATGGTGGTTCGTTATATGATAAATTAGACAGTTTTATTTGGCTCTCCTCTCCCAGGGATAAATATGTGAATCCAATCCTAAATTCTGCCGTAAATCTCCGTAAAACAATATCAACGCTTGAACTTTCTTCAATAAATTTCAGCAAAATTTACGAACACATTCAAAAATGTATTACCACAATACATATATGGAATCTCTTTTAAAATACCATGACAATATTTGTACAAAATCCAACAAAAAATTATCAATCAATACGAGAATATATAAAGCAACTATTATAGCAACAAGAGAGCAATGCCCATGGACATGAACGTACTCGTGTGGACTTGAAGCACAGAGTTTGCTGAAAAGATTTGCGAAGAAGGCGGCTGAGTGTGACAAAATAAAAAGGTCGACTTCGCTTCAAACAAAAGAACAAAATTTTGGTGAAATATAGGATGCCATAGGACGCAGATGAAAAAAAGAAGCAAAAGTAACAGTCTTAACAGCTACAACCACCTTAGAGTACTGTAAAATCAGCTGACACTTTTCTCAATATAGCATTGTTCAACACTTTCATTCTGGTTAAAATAAAACCAACTTATTTCAGAGCAATGGAATACCCATTTCCAATCACAATATAGATTCAATCTTTGGACAAGTCTGCACAATGTTACTATCCAGTACCTTATCTGGCACGCCCGAGTTACAGACAAATTGAGTGAAATTTGCACTGCTGTGTATATAAAACACAATATTGATTTTCCTTCAAGAATTACTGTGGAATCTTACCAGACCAAATCTATCATTAAAATTAAATTAAGGATAGAATATTCTATTGCATGTTAGCAGTGGCCGTTTGTGGTTCAATTTTATATTGTGCGCTATCACACGCTGTTGGTGATTCAACAATCTCTGATTTTACTTCTGTAACTTCCATAGTTTCATTCACAGTCTCCGGTAAAGTTGTGACAACATTATCTTCTTGTTGGATATTATTCTGGGGAATTTTGTGTTCTGTAGGCGAAGGAGAGCGTGGTGAAGTCTTGATGCTTCGATTAGGACTGGTAGCTGACGATTTTCGTGATCGTTGCACAACTTCTGGTCCACCATCGTAGATAGATATCAAGAAATCCCACGACTTCTTTGGAATTGGGGCATGAGAAGAATCTTAAAATATACATTATACAATTCATTGCATTTTGTTTTAAACAGTGGTGCAGTAAGCAATCTTTTTCATGAAGTGGGGCAAACTGGATAGTTTTCCTACTAGAACCATGTTTATACATTGCAACAGTATTTCAGAAATCAGATTGTATAATCCTTTATAAAATATTCAACATTCAATCCGTATTTAAGAGTAAATATAGGAATTGTACTCATTGTATATTCATTCCTATAGTTTTGAACATAATGTATCTGCCCTGAAGATTTTTTTAAAGTCTTCACACCCTCACATCAAACAAGGGTCTAACAAGCAAAGAGATGACTATTTTCAATTTTCAAATGTGAACATATGAGATCCAGAGACTCAAATACAACTGATAATAATAAAAGTTTTCAGTATTAGCAAAATCGTCTATGATAAATCCGATGCTTTAGGAAAATATATTTTAATTAATATAAGTAGTAAAACTAAAAGTTGGATATTGTATAAGCTCCACTGTTGAGTACTTATTAACATATGATACCTCAGCGTTATAAACTCACTTTTTCTCAGGATATGTTTCCCTTCTTTAGTGTAACATATCGGCCAATTGTCAACTTCTCCGGGAGGTTCAGGAAATTTTCCATTCAAGAAATCTTCCCATTCTCGGAACCAATCAAGATTGATATACATACTGGAATCCATTTCTCCAGTTGTTCTCTGTATCTGAATTTGGTCAAGTCTCGACGATTAACATTTACAAGAAAAAATAACATTGAAATAACTGTTCCAAGCATACCATACTTTAAACCCAAATTATGCACAAAACAGAATAAGAGTACAGGTAAGAATTTCTCTGGCTGTGATACTTAATATTGGTTACGATACTTGGACTGTTGAATAATTAAGTTTAGTCAAGATTGTGAGCATTTGCAGAAAACAGAAAAAGGTTTATATCATTTTCATCTGTTCAAATTTATCCTTAAAAGATTTTCATATTTATCTTGGGGGAATGGGGAACAGGAAAGACGATTAGACATGGCGAACTGTGGCTTCTCATTCAATTACCAGTCAGTGTAAATAAGGCAGTGGAATGAATAGTTAATCACTTATTTGTTCTAGATGCATGAATTCGTGAAAAAATCCAAAATAATTTTGGCACAATCACTTTTATTTTATGTTCAAAATTAATTAGATAGTTTAGGCATTGTTAAAATTATTCACCAATGTGTACTTGCAAATAACAACTGTATTTACTTGTAAGAATGTTTCCTTCTCCTCAACTCTTCTGCGTTCCAATGCATTTTGTTCTTCCTCACATATTGAGCATATACTTAAAGTTGTTACTGCAGGACCTCCACCAAATTTTTCATGCAGCTCTTGCCAAACTTTTTTCGAAATTAATGTTTGTAGATTGTCAAGACTCTCAGCAGCAGAAGGAAGAACATCTGCACATAAACAACATTAGTTCAAAATTTTGTTCACCGACAAAATAATATGAAATAGGTTACATTTGAAATGAGTAATAACAATTTGTTCAGAATGACTGGAGTATTCCCAGTGAAGAAAAGATTATTATATTATTTATTATACTTATTATATATATATTACTCCCTAGATGATATGGGGTCATTCTTACTGATACTTCAACATGATAATACTAAACTAAAAATACAATGAGGACATGCAGGTGCTCCTGGAGTATGCGCACCAAGATGTCGCATAACCTGAACCCTAACCTGGTACACAAGCTGAGTTCAGGTTGTGCGCCAGGTCCGACATGCATATACAAATAAATTGTTATTCTATATTTATTTCTGAATTTCAATGTTCTAATTATGTCTACTTGTAGAAAAATTTAAGATGATGTATACTAAACTTAACCTCAAAACTCGGAACATCACAAAACTCACAACAAAAATTGGGAAATTTCACGTGAAACATCTCAGAAAATCAGATTACTAACAAACAGGCAATGAGGGGAATGTTTCCAATGTTTCTGAAAAGTGTATTTAAATGAAATATCAGGTCCCATTGGACCAAAAAATAATTAAAAAACTAAGGTTTCTAACAACTTTATCCATTTTTAAATTACTGAAAATAGATTAGTTCATTAGTTGCAGAGAAATGTTATTTTGATTTTCCCCGACCATCCATAGGTCAAATCTAGTTCAAAACAGATATTATTTTTATCATTATTACCAACTTAAAAATTAATTCAAACTCAGTACTTTATTTAACTCACCAAGATGGGGACAAATAAAACTGGAGTTATCGATAGGTCCAGGTTCAGCAAAATTCAGGAACTTATACAACCAATTTGTTGAAATATGGAACTGTAAAAGGTTGGATGAACTTCCATCAACATCCATGTGACTCGTTTCCGATAGTTGTATGATTCTCTCTCTTGAACGAACCGCTTCTGGACTTGACTTACTGTAGGTTTAGAATCATTTTTAATGAAATTTTATGAAAGTATACACAAAGCAAAAAAATCCTATGGTTACAAGGGGTTACGTGAACCACCCACAAGCGAACATAATTAACCCATGCAGGAAGTGCCGTGGAAGTGTATTCCTTTAACTGTTAGCACGATCTGTCACCTGCCGCTTAATTTTTCTTTATGATATCTTAACAGGGTTATTCCATGCTTACGGAAACCACACAGTAGAAGTATACTGCTAATTAAAACAGCACATAATGTCATATTATTTAACAATAAAATATATTCTACAATACCATACATGTATAGATTAAGAAAGCTGTAATTCATTGAAGTGGCAATTGCCTAGAAATTGCAGAAGGTATACAGATCCATACACCACCTTTAATAAAGAAGAAACTAGGCGCTGAATTCACATTTACGTATTTCACTTTCATTTTTGACAAATAAAATATGAAAAACATTTAGGATAAATTTGATTTGTTAAGAACTTAATATTGTTTGCTTACCGGCTTTACCGCAGTTGATAAAAACCAGTAAGTAACAAGCTACATATTCCCCATGGACAGAATGAACAAAAGTAAGAAGATAAATACCAGTAGAATAGCACATAGGCTTCTGCATTAGCGACAGTAGATTCTGGAACTTGTGTGATAAATTGATCATCAAATTCATACCAATTATTGTCAACAATATTTTTTGCATAGGATGTATAATGACCACCTGGAAACGAACCAACAAAACATGTAATGTTATGTTTGTAAGCAGACAACTTGTATTCCAGGTTTTCTTTGCGTTCGTATAAACGTCTGACAAGAGTAGAGATAATATTTTTACATATAGACATCTTGTGACCTCGATTCATGAAAATCAATTGCTAATCTAGAAGCTAAACAGGTTTATATTGAACATTTGAATTTTTTCTTTATACTATTGATAGCATTGTGAACCAGTTAAAAATAATTAATTAGTGAAAATATGACAACTTAATAATAACGAACTAAAGAAAGTAACCTCCAGCATTTCCAAGATGTACGATGACTGAAGATAAGTCATAAGTTGTACAAGTTGATGGACTATCTTGTGCAAGAAATTGGCGAAGATTCAATCCCTATAAAAAAGACAACAAAATTTTAAACCCTCAACTCATGCGATCTCATATAATTGCTCAACCATACAGCATTTTAGCTGAATAACAGATCAATCTAGTCAGGCTTGTTTCGGGACTGCAGTTGCCATGGCTACCTTTTGTTTGTCATTGCAGAGAGCTGTTTTTGTTTTCTGGTAAGCTAATAGCGATTTTGATTACTTCAGAAACTAAAGATTTGGGGAAAATGACTTTTTTAGGAATTTTCCTATTACTAAGAAGTTGTATTAAGGGTGATGCTAATAGATAACCTGTATTCTTTTTTTGAGTCTCCCTGCATGCTAATTTGGACATGGCCACCTTTAAGATTGATATTGAAAATGTTGAAATCTGTCACAGATTGTGTATATATAAAGCTTACCGTGATTGGGAAGGAAACAGGACTAGATATTTTTGAAGAATAAGACATCAAATATTCGTGTCTGAATCTTTTCAAATGAATACAAAGAACTTCTGGAACTTTCAGTAATTTGCAATATTTCATCCCATTACGAAGTCTAAAAAAATATTATTGTATTACCTCATTTCTCTATTACTAATGCTTTTCCAGAAACTTTTTGCAAAGTGGTTTACCTACCATTTGCATAATCGTAAACGTAACACATCTACCACACAATTAATCACATAAACCAGTGGTTCCCGACCTTTCATAGGTTGTGACCATGGAGGCTTTTAGCTCGCATGATTCATCCCCTCTTTGTGATTACTTTAGTATTTAGAGTGTTATTTTTAATGGAAGATTTTTAATTCCATTAGGTTCAAACAATCAGTAAAATCAATTGAGACTCCCATCCAACTTTGGGAACCACTGCCATAAAGAAACTAGGTCGATAGTTAAATGAAGATTGTCTTACAAGATTATTAAACCGGCTTGAAAGAATTCATTCCACCCAAAACAACTATGAAATCCTAATCTTATTCTAACATATTTTGCTTAACAGTCGACCTCACATATAGCATATGGCCGATGGGTTCTTCACAGTAAGATATAATTATATACACTACACAGTAATAAGATTGAGTCTTTATCCCCTATATTGCTAGCAAGTATAGACACTGAAATAAGATATGTCATTTTACTTTTCGAATTCAAAATCAATATAAATATCTTTGCTTTGGTTCTCAGTGAGCTGGGTGAGTTTTCATAGCTGAAGCTCAAACAAATTTTTTCCATCATTGTACCAAAGCATGAAAAGAGCTGCTTGCAAAAACTTAATTTTTATTAACTAAACTTACTTATTACATTTATTGCAACTGTACATATTATCTCCTTTTAATTCGTCGGCAGAAAAGAAAGCAGATAGACAATCGTTCAATGTTATTTGTGGACCCCAAAACCAACTGGAAAAAGCAAAATTTAGGATTTTTCAAATGAAACACTAAAGTCTATGTAAATACCAGAACCAGAAAATACCTTCTAGGAAAAGAAGCATTAGAACTTCTACGATTCCTTATGGGAACTTACAAATTTGTAGAAGGCTATATCATAATATTCGAAAATTGATATCCCTATTCACAACAGTGAAATTTGAATTATGCTGGTATTGGAGATGGCGCTGGCGATATATTTGAGGTAATCTCAGTATGGCTAAAAGCTGGAATTTTTAACACAATGGAATCCAAATTCAGAATTTTCAAAAGCTGGGAGTTAAGGTTCGGAAAATTCTATTAAAATGCAATCAGCCTGTCGAATGAAACTTTAATAATTTTCATTCATCATTAAAACAGAAGTCACAGTTTGAATAAAACTATTCATCCAACCGTTATAAATCATTAAAAAGTTGTGTCTTATTTATTAGAACATTAAGTTCAGTCACCTTTTTACCCATTCCCACATATTCCATGCAGCATTATATATATATTCAGTCCTAGTTGCTTCCGAACATGGACCTTTGAATCCAGGCACAACAGCCAACGTACCGGGACTACTTGATGGGTAATACGCTGATGTTCCGTGCAATCTAATAAGATCATCTTTACCGGGTATTGGTAGGGATAGATCTTGGAATGTTTCTCTGGTATGAGAGACCTGGATAAGCGGTATAAATAATAAAATATTTGATCGAAACTGGAACCCGGAGCGCATTTAAAACTCCATAAAGTTAAAGAATTAAATACTTCAAATTCTCATAATTGTAATTTACAGGATGGTAAGGGTGATAACTGAAGACAAATCTTCAACAGAAACTTACTTAATACGACTCAAATTCATAGGTTATCGACTTCAAAGCCATCACACTCATATATCTCACGCATGATGAGTTTATTATCATATATTGGTCTGGTGCTCAGAGAGCTGGGTGTGATTTCATAACAAGCTCAAATATAATAAAATTACATCATTGCACCAGAAATACAGAGAAATAGGGATAAGCATTTAATGAAGATACCACATATAGTTTCATTCCCACCTGATCACATGTCAAACATTGGACTGAACTCCGCAATTCTCCATCAAATATCTCAGATATTATGCTCTTATATTTATATGATGATTTTTTCACTGATTTCTTTGGTTCTGAAATGAGTTTGATTAAATCACTACAACTAATTTACAGGAATTCTCAAGTTCTGGTAAGATATAAAAAATATCTAATTCTAGGGTCTTAAAACTTATTATGCTCAAATAATCGAAAAAATTAAAACATGCTACATATCAAACATTGAAACAAAAATGGCCCTTACTGTGATATTTCAAGTTGGATCTTGAGTTACGGAAATGTGAGTCTTGATTTCTTTGTTGCCATGGTAATGATTCATCCTTATTTGAATGACTTAGTTTTGATGCTGATTCATCATTTCCGTGAAGTTGCGTTAAATTCTGGAAGAAGTATGACAATAATCGTTTTTTGTTATTAAATCATATTCTAACTTCTTTAGACAAAACAAGATATTATTGCAAAGACAAAGATTGTATTTGTACTATCATAAAATTCAAATAATGTAGAGATAGAAGAATTTGGTTTGTCTCATCTAGGGTAGTTGACATAGATAGATCATGGATTGATCCTCTTGTATGGTTTCCATTGTTTACTTTTAATGTTGTTGTTTTTGAAGTTTCTGGTAGGGCTGGACATTTTTGAATACCTGATGATTTCAGAATCCAAATCGTTATTTTTTAATCGATCTTGAATGCTTAGAAAGTTAGGTAATTGTATGAGACTTTTTAATGTAATGGGTTCCTCCAGACACGTGAATTACTGAAAACATAGAATTCATCAATGAGACTGTTCACTGAGTTTACAAACACGCTTCATGAAAAAAAATATTGAGGAATTCACCCCGAGGTTTGGCAGACAAAAAATGATGATGGCAGCAATTGAAAACATTCGTCTGAACTGACAGATTCCCATAATTTACTATTCGGTTCGAAATGCCCATGTTTTTTTTTTGTATTTAAAATAAAAGTCGAGTTGCTTACTTCTTGTGTCTCAGTTTGTACTCTTGTATGAGGTGAAGCAGCTGAAATACCTGGTGTCATTGATGATCTAAAATTATAAGATCAGGTAAACAAATTCACTACTGATTGATCCAATCTCCATAAGAGACTGTCCTTGTTTATAATATTATTCCAATACGGAAATACATACAAGGTGACAGATTCCACAAAACCGAAGTGTGTTTGGAAAAATATCTTTTGACACTCTTTTTTTTGTCTGGTAAGCCCATTGAAAGCAAACGGATAAGAGTTTATCGCCAGCGAATACCACAGCTGATAACTTTTTTTGGGGAGATAACAGCTGAATCTTCAGAAAAACACATCTCAAATATGATATAATTTCAAGGCAACGAACTAATATAAATTCAAAATGTATATTGTAAATCTAAATAAACCAAAACCACAATAACAATTTTGAAAAACACTGACTGTGGATTTGTCAAATCTTGTTCAGAGACAACGGTAAAACTATCCGTAGATGAAGATTCAGTGGAAGGTGATGGAACATGATCGATTTCCTAAAAATATTATAGAAAAAGGTTAAAACAGCTCAGCAGTTTTTTTTTAAGGAATGAAGGTCGTGCATCAATATCGTTAAGGCCTTATGGAGATTGATGAATATATAACCGAATTAAGGTGTTCCCAATAATTTAAATGAGAGAGCAAAATTCGTATGCAATATCGGGTACAAACAGGGAAATTGGAAAAATAAAATTCTTCTAACAGATTCAAGAATTTAAAGTACTGAAAACTTGAAGAGTATGTTTTCCACGGTGACAAAAACAACAATTTAGCAAAACGATCCACCCCAAGTTCCATTTCATGCCCCAAAAGAATGCATGTCGTGACTTAACCCATCCTGTTTGAAAAAAAATCCAACGGCTGGGCGGGGTGGCGCATCATGCCGAGCCATCGTATCTCTGATTACCCTGCAGGGGTTCGCATGTTCGAATCCCATGCTGGGATAGTTATGAGTGAGAGAATTGCTGGACTCCTCGGCGCCGAAGAATGGTTCACGTAACCGCTGATTGGTTATGACGGTTACACCATCAAGTCCATGCTTCCGAAAACAAAGAAATAGATAACTAATCCCATACCCGACATGGACTGTTTGAGGCCACTAGTAAAATTACAGAACTTCACAATCATTGAACAGAATTTATAAAATAATATTTTTAAATGCATTATGCGTGACTATTTCATTCAGACTATAGCATTATATTCAGCAATAATCTTTTTAATATTTCTGAATGCTCAATCTTACATCAATTTCCATGGGTTCATCTCCTGTATGTATGGAGTTTTGTAGATCATCTCTATCCACAGATGCTTGATTGTTCGTCCATTTTGGTATCATGTATTTCAGTTCTTCGTGAAGTCGGTCCATAAAACATCTCAAAAATTCCTGTGCATCCTAAAATTCAAACAAAGAATATACCTGACTTTTTTCAAACCTAGGTAACTACACAACAATTGAAAATACAGTTCGCAATTGTTTTTACCTGTTGATGATATCCTCTGAACGAAGGATTGATTGATTTTAAAGTCTGATGAACTCCTGTGGGTGTCACACACTGATGTTGAACTTGGCCCCATATATCATGAATGAGCTATAATAAAAAACGAGATGTTTTATGATTTTCAATAATATATAAGATAGTATAATAACATTTCTCACATCGATGAGTGACAATGTTATTTCATGAATGAGTTGATGCATTCGACTTAATACTAGTAGACCAACATCTGGTGAAAATATTACGACTTACTTTGCGATAACTACGAGCCATCGACGGTTTGATATCAATATCCAGGTAATCAAATTCATGTAGAAAATAATTGATCAAAGGAGAACTGAAAATTATATTTTGAATACATTGTAATAATGGTAGCGACGTAAAAATTGTTCTAATAGGTATACTGTCAATAAATTAATAGTAAGATGCTTGCAAGCAACTGAATACGATGACTGAAAACCGTCCTAGGCCAAGTACCTAAATTGCAAAAATTTTGCTATAACATCTGTAAAATAAACATAGCAATGGAACAAATTAGAAGTTATCAACTTACCTAGGGATGGCCATATATAAATATCATGAAATCCTAATGATTATAATTAGCAATTCTGATAATATAAATAGTGTTTTCATGAAGTCAATACATCACAAATCACCTACTAATACTGATACAAACCAAAAATTTATTATAACCAAAAACCAAAAAGTTTTATAACGAGAAAAATAAAGAATACAATAAGCTCATTATTTAGAGTACATTTGTAACTTAATTTAATTTGAACTAGACTACATACCAGTTTGATATTGCTTGTAGAGCTGAATTCATGTAGCAGGTATTGCCCATATTTCTTAAACCTGTCAATCCAAGTGGGGATTGCATAGTTCCATAAATGTTCTGGGATTCTGTGGGCACTAAAAATATTTTATTTGTGTTTAGTAAACATTAATAAAACCTTCAAAACAAGTAAACAAAATACAGTAATGATATCAGAGAAACAAAAATTTCTGCATTAGTAATAAAGTGATTATATTTTGCAATGTAAATTTAAACATTCTAACAAAATCTAATTAAAGATAGTTCTGGAAAAAGAAAATAAATTTTTGTGGTATAAAACACTATGTAAATTACATGAATTTTCTTGAAATTTCCATTTATAATTGAAAAAATATGAACCTAATAAAAAGCAAGGCGGTTATAGATAAAAACTACCAATGTGAAAAATCAAACAGTAATATATCTAAAACCATCACAACATAATTGAATGGACAAATAACAGGGGGAGCATACTTAATAAAAAAAATAATTCATTCCAAATATCCATATTTTTAAAATTACACTGGATTGAGAAATCTGTGAAAGACTAAAATATCTTTGTTCTGAAATTTGAAATTATTTAGAATTTGAACTTTATTTTCTTTATACCAGATTCTGCTCTTTGTTGAGAGTGGTCCTTTTTATGATGTTCAGGTGTTTTCTTTGGCGTGTTCTGACCAGCTGTTGTTGGCGATTGAAGCCTCTTTTCTTTTCTCAGTGCTTTCTATAAATGAGTATAGTTTGTATACATTGAGTCTTGTATTAATTGACCAAAATTATCTCTCTACAATACAAACATGAAAAAATCTAAATCTTATCATATGAATAATCTTCCATAGCTCAGAACAATACCAGTACCACCCAAGATTTGGGCAGTACCAGAAAAATTATTTCATATCCCGGATAATAATTAACACAAATAAATTCCAATAATAGGTCAGTTCAAGCATTGTTTATGCTATTTATCTAATGTAAAGAAATTGATATGGAACATTTTATACCATCTCAGTTGATGTAAAAGCAGAAGGTAGATGAACTTCCAATTCACAGGCATAGCACCAGATTCTGAACGAATTCAAGTTGACTGTGACTGAATGCTTTAATTTCTGTACATAGGAAAGTATGGTTAAATGAAAACTTTTTTTCGGTTATAATTGAGATTGGAAATCTATATATCTAACTCTTAGGATCGTGCGAGTTGTGTGACACTGAAAAAATATTTGTAGAATGAACTTTTATTTAAATTTTGATATGGAATTGATATTAGGTTAAGACATAACAAATTGTGAACGAGCTTACAGCAGCAGTAGTTATCAGTATCATTCAGGAATTCAAATACCGTCAAACACACACAAACAAAAATATCTATAATTACCTTATAATGTTTGGTACTGTGGTCGTGAATGGATTCTCCACAACCAATATATTGACAACCTCCCTAAAAAAAGTAAACGAGATAACTTATTAATGCATGTTAAATACAGTGTCTAAGATCATTAAAATAGCCAGATTTGTAATCATGTGAAAATTGCTCGCTTGCTGAATGTTGAAATCGTTTTTTTAATTGTTCACAATACACCAGCATTTGTTCTATTGTCTGTAACTGGCCAGTCAGAAAAGTAATTGCCCACCCCTGGTCTACTGCAATTTAGTATCATCCAGTTCAATATGCTTGGACGAGGATTGAGAATAAATTTTACAGTTATCAGTAGGCGCAAAATTGTGGTCATTAATGCGCTGTTACCTGCAAACAGCCCCATAGTTTTTCCTTTTTTCCACATGTGCTGCATTGTCCCTAGAAAAAAAAAATCATTCATTGAAAAAATGATAGAGATAAAGCTAAGACCAATATAATTATGTTTGCATTTTTTTCAAATTAAATAATTTTAATACTGACACTTTTGTGTCATGGTACATAATATAAATATTTTTTGTTTACAAAAATCTTTGCGACAAAACCTAGAGAACTAATTCTGTAATGTGGATTGTAACGAAGTAGTAGTTGAACATAACATGTCCCTTCAATTCAAGTGATGTAATGGATTGCTGCCTTATATTTGGGGTCTGGTGACAGAGTGAAGTAAATGCTGTAACTGCTTGAATAAGACCTAACAAAATTGCGATGTGAAATGACACCGAACTGCCCAAATATCACCAAACAAAAACGTGATGTAAAAAGATCGAAATTACACTCGTATTGTCTTACAACGTCACCGCCGAAAATACAAAAAGGTGGACGACTCATAAGTTATCTGTCCTCTTGTGAGTCGAGTTGTCCGCCTCCCGTTTGAGTACAGCCACTATCCAAATTCCAAGAATTTCCCTCCATTTGGCTCAATAAAACAAAAGCTTCATGTGTCTCACAAACGAGGGGCGTCTGGGACCACGTCAGATGCTTCATATCACTCCATGCTTGTCTCAATAATAATCTAAATTAATCACGGCTGTCACATGACCAAAATTGCCCTTTTTTTCTAAAAACTCTCGAATGCTAAGGTAAAAATTTTTTTCATTCGGTAAATCGGATTAACTTTTCCCAAGGAATTCAATGATGACGTTACTAAATTGCGCTTTTTTGTAGTATTTTGCGTAACTTCATTATACTGTATTATTACCGATATTGAGGGACAACAATGTCCAGACGACTCCCAAAGGAGGGGTGTCCGATCATCTGGAAAATGGGTTTCTTTGAAACGGGACAATGTCACCCGTTTTGTATAGTGTGCCATACTGCATGTGTTTAGCGTATTGTGTCCGAGCAAGACGGACTTTTATTTTTAGAATAAAAATGAAAATTTGGATTGTATTTTCACATCACAATTTTGTTTGGCAATATTCAAACACTTACAGCATTCAGGCATTCATTTTCACGCCACATTTGTGTTAGGGGGTATTTAAGAAGTAAGGGTGTTTGCTTCACAAGACACAAGACCCTATAATTGTATATAAATGTTGGCCAGTGCAAATAAAACTCTTACTTTTGAGGGTTTCTGGGTTTGGAGCAGATTGTGAATTATTTCGACACCATACAGCCATAAAAGGGAAGAATACTGCTGTACTGGAATATGTTAATGAAAAGGCAACACAAATATTGCAAAGATGTGTTGTAGATTCAAATTTTTTTTAATTCCCGAATACCGGGATATTTTACTTTTTTTGCATTGTACTGTTGTATATTTTACAGTTTTATGTGTGAATATACTTTCAATTTCAACCAAGAATCACAAAATGCCACACCAGAGGTATGCAAGTCCATGAATAAAAAGCAAGCATTGAAGGTTAAGAGATCTTCACTAGTAGTCTTTAGTCTGTTCGTCAACTACCGTATGTTCCAGTCTTTGGGATATAGATTGGTAACTTTATTCCTGCATCACAGTCAGGCCGTACCGGTACGGTACCGGTACTGCGGTACAGCAGTACCAGTATCAGGATCTATACCGGTATGGCAGCACCAAATGATCAGTTTTCATTTTACAGTCTTACCTCGGCTTTGAGCAAAAGTTCTTCTTTGTCCACTTTCAACACAAGTGACAAATGAGGACACACTTTGTCCATGGTTTAAATGTCATGAGACACACTTGTCTGGTGACTGCAACATTGTGAAGCTAGCAACAAATTTACAGTTCATTTATTGAACGGAACGTTGGCAGAAGAAATGGGCGTAAGCAAAAATCACACAAGAAAAAAAAATTGGCAATATGAAATTGATGGAAAAAAAGTGAAGGCCGGATTAAATGAGGCAAAGAAAGCAGGGGACGATTTTAGATGAAAGATATATTCATAAAGATTGTAAGCAAAACAAATCAATTTCAACAAAAATTCAGAGTTATGTCAATTTTCCGGTTGAATTTTGGTATTTGGACACAAAAAAGGCGTAACACGCATATGGCGATTTTGGTGAGTTTCAAAGGCCAGCGAACGCAATGAGCAGGTTGTTCCGGTCAGGAGGGGGCTGTATGCAAGGTCAAATGAATTTCAACAAAACTCAGAAATGCGTCAATATTTTCAAGTTAAAATAATAAAATCGTATCCCCCTCCTGACCGGACCAATCTGTTGCTGGGCTTAGATTCTTAGAATATCACCAAATCTCCATCTCCGTTCACGTCAGTTTTGCGTAAGAATACCAAAGTTCAACCGAAAAACTGATATATCTCCAAATTGTTGTTAAAAGTCTTTTGACTATTCTTACAATATTGATGATTTTATCTTCACCGTAAAATAATAAAATCATACCGGTACCCCTCCTAACCGGTATAACATGCTGCTGGGCTTAGGAAATTGCCATGTTCGTCTGACGTCATTGTTGCTCCAGATTTATTAGCTGAATTTCCTTGAGTACCGGTACCTTTTTCGTCATCTCCTTTATCGTTCATTAGATACACCTGTTCTGGCAGCAGCGATTGTCGCATCCTAACTGTAGATAGGTATTTAGCAAAATGTCTACTTGATAACTTTGGTGTCACGTTACCATTGCTTATGCTTACCTGTTGCTTCATTATTGTAAAATAAATATATAATATATGATTTCTCTGTATTCTTTTCACAGAAATATATTTATTGCTGAGTGGAAATGAAACCGCGCCTCCAAATCAACTCACTGCCCTACGGCCTACACGAAGCATGAGTTTAATAATTCGAGAGAAGTGCGAGAGAAAAGGGATAAAAAGATGCAGATGCAGCCACTGAACTGGGGATGCAGCTAGCTTCCCAGAGGTCTCCTGGCACCACTAGGGCTGGGAATTTTAAGGAAGACACCACTAGGGCTGGGAATTTTAAGGAAAACACCTTAAATCACATAAATTTAAATTCAATTACAATTGGATGTCGGTGCCTTCTATTTATTGAATCAGAAATATTATAACAAACTAATTAAAGCACACCAAAGCTTGTAGCGTGTTTGACAAGCCTCCATTTGATGGTAGGTGTCTCATGACATTCGTTTCGAATATACATGCTAAATAGCTGAAGTAGGCCTACTATTCCAAAATTTCCTGAAATAATTTCGTTTGACACACAAAAAAACATAATTAATTAATTAAAACATTAATTTTGTAATATGCTGTCGATAGTATTGTCACTATGAAAAATATTGCTCATAATTGGGCCTCCATTGATCAAATTTATTTTTAATCTTCATTAAATATGCTAATTTTACGAGGATAATCATACTAATATATATAATGAGCACTGTTTTATGTTCAATACTGCTATTGTAATCAATGTTAGAATTGTTCCAACTTGCTGTATTTTATCTCAGAATAGTTTTTTTGTGATACAAATTTAATATACCAAAATTTGTAGGTTGTGTTTGACAAGCCCTTATATTTGTTGGCAGTCAATCATTTTGGGTGTCCATACAGGTACTGACTTCGATACTGTTCGAGAACTTAGATACTGTTGTAAAGCGTCAGTTGGTAAATGTTCAAAATTGCATTTCATAGTAACTTAAAACGACCAGACGGTCATCAAAGTCAACTCCCCCCCCCCTTCAAGCTATTATGTTTAAGATCCACAGTTTCAGATGACTAAAATATTGGGGAGGAACATTCTAGAATTTAAAATTATAATCTCAAAATGGAAGAAAAAAATATTGGGGAGGGGAATGCTAGAGTAAATCATTTTTATTTATTTATGGATTTCAAAATCCGAAGAGATTCCAGAGGTTACTGAAAGAATTTAAATAATTTATACGCATATGTGATGAATTAGCAGAAATGCTTCATTTCATGGCATAGGTACGCATTGAAGATGTAACAAACATGATCTGCTTTGATTTGTCTAGATTAGGAGGGGAAAAACATAGTTAATGGGACCTAACAAGCATTATTTCAGCATAATAATCAACAATTTTTTGCTTGCAGAGGGATGTCAAAGTAGTATATTAAAAGACAAGTGAAAGATAAATAAAAATGTAAAGCAAATGTATGTTGATGCAAATATATACAGGTACAAATGTACTGAGTGCAATTTACAGATGAAAATAAATGTACGAGGGTGCTAAGATGATGGAACCACTCGTTACATCGAATATGCGTTAGACATAAAAACGCAAACAAAGGCACACAGCCGCGTAGCTTCTGCTATCTGACAGCGTTCACTCTGAAACAGAGTCCAGTTTCTTCTGCAAACTCTATGTGTATTTGTAGAGCATGGGCAATATACGTCACTTAGCCATATAATCATTTTAAAATGAGAATATTAATGTGTTTCTTGCTATTGGAGCTACGAAAAAGAATTCTATTCTTCGTTGCTTCTAATTTTTGGACAATGGCTAGTATTTGACTGCCAAGACGGTTTAACCGTTAATCGTTACACCGTTAGAATATCGTTTTATAAAGATCTGTTTTCCCAAATCTACAAGATGTCAAAAATTTAGAAAGTATTACTTGCATAAGAAAATATTGGGACAGATGAATAATATAAAATTAACTTTCCTCCTACTGCTCTCATTTTAGTAACCAAATGTCTGGCGCCCGATGCGAAATAATTATTTAAATTCCATAATAAATTAACCATTATTAGCTTCTCGGTATTGATATTTTTATACTGAGTCACAATATTATTTGAATATTATATTGGATCTATATATATCTGTTTTTGCCATTATTTTAAGTTCCTTCAGCAACAGGACGATATACGGGCTACATAGGAATACTGTGAAAACAAAGACTTTTTCAGTCTGTGCGCCGCATGGAGTACTTATCCTTTGCCGTTCAATTCCCGGACTAAAAGTGTTGATTTTGCTCTCAGCTTTCCATTGCGCTATATATTATGCCGTCGTCAGTAGAGAAAAAACGTTTTAGTCGAGACGCAAAGTGAGAGTTATATATATAAAAAGCATCGATTTGGAAATGACGTGCCAGATCTGTGAAAAGCTGTATGAATCAATTCTAACCTAGTTATAAAACGACAGTCGATAACTCCGTTCAAATGAATTTGTTTTGTCTTGGCCTGTATTTTTAGTCATCTATTCATGCTAGTCTTTGCCCTGTACTGTTTTGAAAAACATGATTTTTTTTACTGAACCGTGCTTGGAGAGGGGGTGGTAAGATTGTGAATTAGAACGTGGAATGAATAGCGAATGTTATTGTAATGACGCATATTGGCTTATATACGTCTTGCTACGCGTATTATCGCAAAAAAAAAGTAACATTTGCTGCATAGGTATAATCATTCCTTAACGTTCTACCAGACACAAAAACTTTCAATTTCTAGGTTGATATTAATAAATTTTTAGGCATTAGCTCTCATAGAAAAAATATTATTAGAGAAGTGATTTATAAAGTTGTAAAGCCGAATAGAACTTTAGCATACGCTTTTAAAAAATCATGAGTGCAGCTTCAGGGCTTAATGCTTGATGAAAATGACCCATGAGAAAAGGCCTTAGGGAAGCGACCTGAGAAAAGTTTTAGAAACGAGTCCCTCTGTCCCAAGATCTTACTTAGCTTTTTGTCTTCGGTAAGCGTACCGTGAACTTTTGCTGTCGTTATAGAAACGGCATCAAGCATTAGGAAGTAAAAATAATACCAAAAAAGTATAGTAAAAACACATCAACCAAACAGTTATAAATAAAAAATAAAAAAAATAATCAAAATAATTCATTTGTGTTGAACAAATGTCACTAAATCATTGGTTTCAACCTTTTTGGTGGAGCGAAACCCCAAAGAAATATTAATTGTCGTTTAACGTCTGAATTGTATAGAATACATATATAAAAGAAAACCTAATACTGGCGGAACACAAATACTTCTAAAGTGTAGCAAGTTTGATTATGATGGCAATTCTATCAAGTTTTGTATTTAAGCAGAATTCATACATTGGGCGAAACTTTTTGGACACCCTGTATGTTAATATAGACTCTCAGATTTGAATGAAAACGAATACTCCCGAAGTATGTGAACCAAGATGGCGGGCACCGGAACGTAGTATGTGTACCAGGGTAGGGTTAGGCCATAATTTCAGGTACAAATATTGCGGAGGTCACTTGGCTAGTCCCCGCACTCGTAATAGAACTAAAATAAGGAAAATTGGAATAAAATTATGGCCTAACCTGGTACACGCACTACGTTCCTGTGTCCGCCGTCTTGGTTCACATACGTCGACAGAACCAACTTGCGCCCCCCTGAACTGTATTGGCGGGACCCCGATTGCAAATTTCTGTACTGAATTAAAGAACTTTCTATAGATGAAAAATAAGACTTGGATTTTTATTTTGGATTGTTCCTAAACATTATACGTTTTTGTTGTTTTCTTTATCCATTCCATGATGGATGCAACATCAGTATAAAAACCAGGGTAGTTATGTCGTACATGATCTTTAACATAAAATTGTCCACATCCATAACCCCAACTAACAATTCCAACTTGAACGTAACAACTCTCCTTTGTGGCATCATCGTGAACCTAAGAAGATTTATACTTTTTGTATTTCAAAATTGAATCAAATTAAAAGTAAGTTTATATATATATTTTTTGTTACATACAAGTTTAAACAACATAAACTGAAAATAGATATATAGGCGCCATATTCAATTACTTCCACAAAGAAAAGGAAATGTCGTAGCATTGTTTTTACTTACTTCTCTGATAATTGGCCCTCCGCTGTCTCCCTGGCATGCATCGACGGTTGGGCCACCAAATTGATCAGGACCCGTAGCACAAAACATTTCATCTGTGAAAATATGTTCAAAAAGCCAATTATCGTCTTCTTTCCGGTGCTTGTTGATAATCTCTACAGCGTCTTGGCATCTGCGAACAAAATTAAGGTACTTATAACGTGAAGTCTTATTAAATGATATTAAATGAATGGATAGTTAACAGTTAAATAAGGTTTGAGTTTAAATTTATATTGCTCCAAATTTATGTGTCAATCCAAGTGTGATATTTTGCGTGATCTATGGACAAAGAGCGTGACTCATGAAAGTGCTTTTTTAATAAAGCAATACATTGTCCACAAAGCAGATTGTTCATTTTATTAGCAGGGTTTACAAAAACATTATTCAGGATTATACTTATTTTGAGCATACAATTGCCTGTCTGAAACTCGTAGAACTGCTTGTTGTAAGTTTCGACTTGGTGTTAAATAATCGTTGTCATCATGTCTCCGGGTCTGGTTGTGCCCGAAGCCCGTAATTGCCACTGCTATAACATCCGAAGGTGAACGTTTACCCATCAAAAAATCGCCTATAAATAGTGAAATCATGTCTGGCTAGATAACATAAAATATGACGTTTCCATTTATGAAACTGAGCTCTATCAAAGCTTATATTCTGAGAGTCCTATCACTAAGGGATATCGCGTTAAAAATAAAAAATAAACTGTGTTACAAACGATATTATTGTATGTTATCCGAGTTTGAGGCTATTGGATATGCCGCAACCTGGCCAGCAACGTGTAGATTTGAATACTAACTTTCGAATCTACTTCCATGACTTTATTTTGTCAAATACAAATTTCGCACTAACGAAATCAAAACTAATACAACAAAATTTGACAATTTTAAAGTTCTGTGTGTACGCAAAAAACATACTAAATATATTAGCCAGAACGAAGAAATACGAAGAACGTCACAGAATTACACTAAATTTAAAATCAACAAACAGTACTCGGCAGTCGGCAGTAGCACTTACATTCAATTTCACATTTTTCCTCGTCTGTTTCGCTTCCTTTTATTAAAATTTCTCCTTCACTATCTTCTTTCATCAGAACCTGACTTACACAACTATCAGAACCGCATGGTAAACAAACGGGCTTAATATAAGGCGTTAACTCAACAAAACCGGGAAAAGATATTGGCATCAATATTCTTCCTCCAACTACAAGATATTCTCCGCCCAGTTTGATCTGAAAGTAAAATACCATATATATATTGTTTCTAATTGACGCAATATGCAATAGAAAATTTAACTACAAATACTGTCGGTGTGGGTGTAGCTCGATTGAATGATATACTTTCTTGTAAGTCAAAATCACGGCGATACAAAGACATTATTATGGGTTTTTTGTAAAATTTCAATGTCCCATGTTCAGAATACATTTTGTAGTTATGACGCTACAATAATTTCATGGATCGCCCGAACGGAATGTGTTATATAAATCGTCCATTCAGTTTTTGGAATCCTCCTATTTGAACATAGGGCCAACGTAATGACTTGCTTACCAGAGCAGCATCGTTTTGAAAACTTGCTGGATAGAGTCTGCCTTTGTATTTCTGATATTCATCGTGGAGAATTATTTTATCGGGTTGAAATAGTTTCGCTGAGCCCTGTAGCCCGTTAAAATTGTGCGGACGCCGAGTTATACCTTAAAGATAGTATAGATATAGTCAAGAACTTTTGTCTGTTTCTGCAATTATAAATTTTATTCAAGTACATAGATCATTTTATTAAATTATATTCCAGTAATGTACTTGAAGCATTGATGCTAGAATATATGAAAATGAACTCCTCGAATACTCGTCATTTTGCAATAAGTTAGTATAACACAGTGCCGTGCGCGAGTGACTACGTACCTAATGTAACGATAATATCTTTTTCCCATTCGAGTCCGCTGAATTCCCAAAATACGTGAGCAGCTGACAAGACCCATTGACCGTTGATTAAGCTTCCTCCTCCTTTTAAATGAAAATCACTGAATGCCTGTCGTGAATAGATTGAAAATTTGCGTTATCATTTGAAACTCGTTCAAACACTTTGTAGGAAAGTAATTTGAGAAATTCTCCTGGAATGTATAACTGTACTGAATGTTGGAAAATGTAATGTGTGAATGAAATATGTCAGTAAGGTATGCGTAAAGTTACTTCACCATATAGGTAAAATATTTTGTTAATGCCTGTCAAATTTCTTCTAAAAGACAGATGTATGTGTACCAATATGCAGGTAACCAATTTTGTTTATCTACTTTACATCAAGTTGTGTAAAGGGACTGAAACCTGTGGGCAGGGGATATATTCAATTGGTTAACACAGACAGTCCACAAACTCGTAATGGAACTGAAATAAGGAAAATCGGAATAAATAATGCCTTAACCCTTACCTGGTACACATACTATGGGAAGACCGAAAATGCAATGCCATCATTCCTGATATGTTCTACAATTGCTGATAAAATGATTCAGATCAATTTGGAAAAATCTCAAAAGTTTTCGGTAACCATTTTAAATTTTAGACAACCTAGGAGTAATTTATCGTCGATCGCATAAAACCATTTTTTCTCAAATAATATAATGTGATGTTTTAATCTTTATTCTTATTTTCATGATAGTTTGGCACGTTTGTTAAGTCTTTTATTAGATTATGAATTCAGAATGATACCGGAAGCGAGAATTCTATACTTTTGACGATAACGCTGAAATCTAAGTAGGCAGCGTGTGCTGATACATATACTCACTGCTTCCAAATCTTCATCAAATTTGGTAATAAGTGCTTGCCATGGCCATGCTCGGTCAACTGCATTTTGTCCACCAATCACACGTCCTCGCTGAATTATTTTCCGCACACTCCCAACCTCACCAGCTTGTCCACATCGTGTGTGATCTAATGATATTTCTAGTTTTTGGTTTTTATATATATAAACTATAAAGGTTTTGAAAAAAGTCGCTCTGTAACAGTGCGTTGTATTGATTATTTTACTTTAGTGTTTAGGAATAATTTTCCTGTTACCTTCTCTCACATCAGTTACTTGGTCAATGTATTTGTGTAATTTATAAAAATCTTCTACATAGATAAAGTTTTTCTCATTTGTAGCCAATTCTTTCAATTCTTGACGAACTTCAGAATCCTGATTTCGAGCAGATGAGGTTATGCTGTAAAACTGAAATATTTTTACAATCTTACAAACTGTTAAATCAGAATGCATTATAAAATTTGTAAGACTTGACATTTTCATTCGATGAAGTTGTTAAATAAAAATGTGCTATTTTATTTATTTATATGTTGCGCCCCAGCGTTATTCCATTAGGTCTACACATTTTGTGTGATTTACTAATAATAAATTCTAAACTAATTCTAAAAATTCTTGTTGATTAGGGGGAAGATTTTTGTGAAAATTTTTGCTAGTATTCAAAACTAAATAAAACTATATAAAATCACGTTTATCCCATCTACCTCAGGTGGTTTTGTATGATTTGTAGAATATTCCGCTTCGATTCGTCTCCTTGCTAGGCTCGGACTTCCACCGGCATTATGAGCGCCTTTAGAAAAATTTGTTCTAGATTACCTACTCGAATCTTTAAGTATTTCCTATGTAACGATAACATAATGTATCTACTCAACTGCAAAGCGTGTTGTTCATGCTCATATATAATATTTTATTTTGGGAATAGCTCATTGACGAAAAAGGTTTTTTGCTGGGCGTCCGTCACATACGTATATAGGGTATTGAATACGCACTGCACCGAGTTGTCAATCGTGATCTCAGATATGAATTTCTAAATGTCATGTTGGAACTACGGCTCATAAGCTTCGGTATAAGCCAATTTCTAGTTACATTTATAAACTTACCGTCAGTCAAGATGAATATATGACGTTTTATAATGTTATCGTCATCGAATTGATATGAATTCGCAAGTTGTTTTCTATTCAGGTTAATCAGAGCCAATTCTATATCAGTTCCTATTTTTGTTATATCACGAATATTATCTGAAATAATTAAAAACCTAATTTTTATATTCATAGTATCACACTATTAAATTCATTAACATGTTCACGATTTAATTTTAAAACCTTTAGAGGTGTTTTTTAATACTTGTTGAGAATATAATGTAGTAGTAAAATAACACGCAGTTTAATAACATTGCACAGACATTTGAACGCAGATCCAATATGAATGTTAGTTAATACGTGGTGAATACATCAACATTTTGTGATTAAAAACAGGGTTCAGTTTTAATCACTTTATACCAAAGGTGAAAGAGCTATCTAAAATCAAACTTGAGCTTTACGGTAATCGATCTTTATTTCTTCTAAAATGTCCAATACATCTTCAGATTTCTTTGGCGGAAGTTCCATCACGTTCAACATTTCATATGGCTTTGTAGCAAACACCACGATTCCATATCGAATACGAGTATTTGATGTGTCATTGCGACTGAGCTGAAAAATAAGACTATTCTGCTAAAAATGTTAACGGCACGCAATCTTTTAATTTAGTTAATATAATATATTTACATGAACAATTTTCGATTGTGACTCATTGATTGAATTGATAGATTTAATGTAACTCGGAGTAATTCATTATATTGGTCAGAAAATATTATTGTTTAGAAAAAAGTAGGCGCTGCAGAAGATGTGTACCAATATGGAGGTAACTAATTTTGTTCGCATACTTTAAAACCAGTTGTGTAAAGGAACTGAAGCCTATGGGCAGAAGGTATGTATATTCATTCGCTTGTCTAACAAAGCCGGCCCCGAACTCTTAAATTAAATAAAACAAGGAAAATCGGAATAAAGTTAGGGCCTAACCCTAACCTGGTACACATACTACGAGAGAACCAAAATAGTTTGCTTGTGAAGTGCAATAAATATTTATTGACCATGAAACTAACAATTCAGAATAATTAAATAACTATGTTTTTGCTACATTCATTGATTTCATTCAATTTTAATGATTCGTTCACTTCGAAAATTAAGTAAGTTTTAAATCTTTCTAAATATTACCCTGTTTACGAGTCCTTTGGCAAAATCAATTAAATTTCGTAGTTGTTTTTCCTTTATGCTTCTCGATAGATCGATCACAAAATAAACCTCAATTTTACCCTGGGAATTCATGCGCACGTCTCTCGCACCTTGTACAAAATTCAGTGGTGGTCTGATGTATGTGGTACTCTCGGAAAGTTTTATGATGACGTCTGAGGGAGCATCGCTGTACTTTGGGTCTGAAATTAAATATTACCTTATAGTTTGAACATTATTTTATCTATTGTTACTAATTCACGGATCTGAGGTTCGTATCCCATACACACCATCTCGATCCGGGTACAGAAATTGTGTAGGTCATGATAATTAATGCATAAAGACTACAGCGGTCTTAAATATGGCTATGCAGCCTAAATACCAGTGTTCAGCAAGTGCCTGTTTGGAGAGCAAACCGTCTATATTATTTCCAGTCTTTTAATTCATATTTTGAATATTCAATTTCAAATGAGGACGTTCGGTAAGTAAATATCTAAATTTCCTTAAATTCATAAATAGTTGTAATTAACATAAAAACAAAAATTGTCATTTAGTTATTACAATTATTACCAACACACTGTGGGGCTCCATTTCCACTCCATTGTTTGAAAAACAAGCATTGTTGACTTGCTTCTCCGATCATTACAAGCCCATCATTGCAACTAAATTCAACTTTTCTTCCGACTGGGAACTCAACGTCTCCAGCGAAACGAAATAGCTTTCCACCAATAGGTATGCCGGGGTGTGGACAACGGTTCTTCCGTCCTCTAACTTTGAATAATATGCACACATGTATTGCTTGCTATAAGGCAACGGCAATTGTTATTAAGAACGTTTTGGAGAATAAAAAAATAATTGGACTCGAAATGGATCTATGGATCGTTTTGTTATTATGTTGTTGTTTTTAAGTTTTTCTTGTTGTTGTTACAGCGTGAAAAAAACCGCTTTCCTCATTAACTACTGGACCAATTACTTTAAACTTTCCAGTGGTGAAAGATTGTATTTTTTGCTGGAAGGCTTTTATTTATTACTCTATTTTCCTTTAATCCTATACAATCTGACGTTTCATCCAGAATTTCGATGTACTATTTTTATTGACGAAAATACGATTTTTAATCTGTCAATCGTGACGGCTGTCTTGCTTCGATTTTGCACAATCTTCTACGCTAAAGTCAAAAGTTTTTTCTATATCGGTGACGCACTGTGGATAGGTACGGAAAGTAACCTGTACTGTAAATGGTGAGGTACTTCAGATTAATTAATACTACAGTTGTGAGTAGATTCATTTAGTATTTCAATTCACGTTGGTACAAGACGCATGAATCACAAGGGCAGTGCGGGCACCGGTATTAGTAAGTTACGATGGTCCACAGGTCCAAAATATGATTTTTGAGGAAATTGTCTGTAGACTTTTTCGTTTTGGCCATCGTGTCTATACAGGGTGTATCAAAATAAATGAAACCCCATCAAACCGATTTTCAATTTATTTTGGGACGCCATGTATTTGAGCATTGCCCTCTTGTCTATTTTTATCAATATTTGAGACATAGTCATAACCGAAATTTCAAATATTATAAACAAAATTTACATAAAAAAATATTTCATTTTATAATTTTATTGAACTAACTCTTGTATCTTACATTTATAATCACAGACAGTATCAATTCCGCTCCACCGTCCGTCTCCCATGCAAGTTCTAATTTTTGATCCGAGTAGTCGTCGGTAGGTTCCACAGGAAAATTGGAGTGTAGTGTTGTAATAATAAGGAGGTGGAGAATAATTTTGTACCCATCCACCCATAGAATATATACTCGGGATCGGGTTTTCACATGTAACACCTAAAATGATAAAAAAAAAAAAAATTCTCGCGTTTTCGTTGCAAATGAAGTAATATTTTGAATATCATAATCTAATATTAAAACCTGAATTGATTTCTACAAATTTTATACTTCATTTTCAATTCTGACTTCGATATTAGGGATGTGCAAAATTTTAAAATTAGCTTAGATTAAATTAATGTCATTGGTATAAATAAAAAATCTATTTCTGAAAATTAAAAAAATAACCAAGTTATATAATATGAAATTGATTTTTGCACGATTTAATAGCAAGATGGCTTATTTAGAATTTGAGAATAGGAATAGATTGGAAGATAGAATTATAAAATATCGTACTATCCGCATAGAAATATACAATACAATGAAGAAGATTAACAATATGATTTTAAGTTTTGATTTATTTTTATGACATGATTACACATTTTTCAATATATCAACAAGAATTTTAGGTACTCCCGTAGTATATATGAGAATTAAGATGGTGGACACCGGACCGTAGTATGTGTACCAGGTTAGGCCATTATTTCATATAAAAATACTACGGGAGTCATTTGGCTAGTCTCGCGCAATAGAACAGAAATAAGGAAAATTGGAATATAATTATGGCCTAACCCTAACCTGGTACACATACTACGTTCCGGTGTCCGTCATCTTAGTTCACATACTTCGAGAGTACCAAGAATTTTGTATATGATCTTACGTTCACATTTTATGAGTTCTCCATCCCATATTCCGCTTCCAGTACATTTTCTTGAAACATCTCCTCTTGCCGTATACATTCCTTCATTGCAGATATAATGAGCAACTCTCTCGAGTCCTTTTCCTGTATATTCAATCGTTGCATCTTTTGCTATCGGAGCATCGCCGCAGTCAACAACTGATTTAAAGTAAAATGTAATTAATTCTCCACAAAGGACATACCGTAATTGAAAAAAGGGGAAAAATAAAAAAACGAAGGGTTCATTAGCTAATTGTACTTGATCAACAACAAGAGCAATGACAATTCCACAAAACAATCCGTAGATTCAAATCGTTTGCAAAACTATTTTTCAAAACGATCACTTTCCCTCCTGACTCCTGTCTGTGGTACATTTTAATCTTACCTGCATTTACGCAACTTCTCCCACAAGCACCGTCGCAAATACAGACTTCTCCATAATTGCAGTGTTCATCGGTATAGCAATGGAATCCACATTTGAAATTGTATTTATCGATTAGACCCCGATTCCTTTCGTCACACGATTCTGGCAAAAAATAAATATTTGCACACTTTTATGTGCAAATAAATTTTATTTGGTTAAATCAAATAACCAAAATAGGAGACAAGTTCAGGAGAAGCATACAATCTTGCAACACCATGTGGTGTATAGCTTTAAAATACTTCACTTCAACTGGTGAAATTGGATCTTTATATTTGATGAGTTATCTCTATTAATGACGCTTGATTTTAACGCCATTGATGTCATGTAGCAAATCCTGAGACAAATTTAATGTGTTTGCTCAAAACATTGGCCTTGGAAGCAAGCTGAGCTAATTTAAGCTAAGACAGTTGAATTTCAATATGTTTATTTTATTTCAATTGATCTACCAACTTGCGCAAACAATCTCCCTCGTCCACGTTTTATTTTCTTCTCTTGATCTTCCGTGGCAAAATCTAACATTGTCAGGAATCGCAAGATATCCAGGTTCACAAGTATAGTAAGCTCGAACATCATACTTATATGGTTCCGTTGCATCTTCGAGTTCGTTCGTCACTCGATTTTGTCGAACATATCGGATGGAACGTAAATGTGGGATTCTGCCGAGAGCAGGACATGTTCTTTCTAAGTAATATTTCGAATACAATTTATTGTAAATATATGCAGAATGTTAATACTGGTTCAATATCGACTTTAAGTCAAATTGGTTAACTGTACCTGCAAAGTTATTGTGCATTTCGTCGAATTAAAATAAATGTATTGTAGATTAGGAAAATTTTTCAGAGTTGGCACTCAAGATCTCAAATGTATCGTATATTTGTTGGTGTGAAACTGAAGTTGGGACATCACACAGGACTAGGGAGGATTGTATAAAAAAAAGTATGAATATTGCTTGCCTTCCTATATGACTCGAAGCAATATGTGATGATCAAAAAGAAGTTTGAAGCATATATATATAAATATATATATATATATTGTAATACCATTTGAATCTTGTTTGAATGCTCTTTCTCACCTATTTAACACAAGACATCCCGCATTCCATGATCACAAACACATTCTTTTCTGTTCTGGCATTGGAGTTTCCTCTGCGACCCTTTGCCTTGCAATCTTTGTCTTTTCTGCATGACTTTCTACAGTTGGGACGCCCAGATCTTTCAGCAGCGAGTACATTACGTTTGCATGCATTCTTGCCTGGGGTTGAAACAGTTCAAAATGCTATGATTTTTGTAAATACCATGTGGTGTTTAACTAAGCGCGATGGCATTCACAGATTCTTGAAAAGTATCCTAATACCGGTATGTATATATATATATAACATTGTTCCAGTCGTCCGTCCCCGCGTTCTGATATTAACTTGACTAATAAATGGCGTACAATATTCGAAGCTATCGATAAAGTGTATAAAGCGCGCTAATGATGCGCTTTGTGTTTTAATCAGATTTGTAAAAAAAGGTAATCAAATTAAAATTTAGAGTTTTACGTATTTTTTTTTATTGATTTCCGTAACGAAAACATCAATTCAATATCATTCCTACACAAGTTTTAGTGAAAATGTGAGTAACGTGAACTGTAAGTCACCTATTAAACAGCTTTTAAAATACTTATAAAAACAATGTCTTTTTTACATCTTGCGAATTCATAAGTTCGTCTTCGCCGAACGTACAATCCGGAAATCCGTCGCAATGAAATTCATGTTGATACATCTCAATTTTCCGGGGTTCTTTATGGGCAGTGAAATTTCCCAGAACAAAGGTTACCTAAAATACATTTTGTAACGGTAATTTTTGTATATTTTTGTTAAGATTGATTAATATCGGAGTTCGTGTTAAATCTCACAAAACCTCCTTTTATTTTCCTTGTATTTAACTGTTTATATAAATTTCAGCAGTGCGTGAAATATATAATTATATTTCTGTATAAAAATGTACAAATGAAGCTTCCTAAAGATATTCGTCATGTTTGAGTTACGCAAGCAAATAAATATCTTACAATCGGCAAACCAAGTAGTTTCATCCTCCCCATGCAAGCAATCATGTTTTCCATCACATTTTAGAGTATTTGGTATGCACTCGCCGCTCCAGAAGCATTCAAATTCTGACAATCGTTTGCAACTTCGACCTGTTGATGAATAGAAAACACATGACTCGTTTTTAGACTAATACTTGTATCACAGGTGAATAAACAGGAACTTGATAGATGTGTTTTATTTAATGCTGTGTAGAAGGTTCTTTCAGCAGCAAACTCTGTCCTATCTTGTCTTACGCGGTTTTGTATAATAAGTCTCAAAATATGAATATCAGTATATATCAGTTTAATGAATTCTAACACGCCATATTGTTGGCTGAATTTTTAGTCAAGCTGGGCGCAATTTACATCTGAGTTAATATTAGCCATTAATATAATATTAAGCCATTAATATTATATAATCCAAAGAAAGATAAACTATTGTCAAATAGATTTCATCTTCCCAAATAATTTAATATAGTCGAGTCTGATTTTTTTTTAATGTAGACTTGCATATTCAATTAATCAGGAATACTGGACTTGTATGAGATAAACGATATCATATTTTCATTTTAGGGAACTCCCCAAATATGCAATTCAATCTGTAAAGCGAGGACATAATTGCACTAAATTCACGACTTTATCAAATTGAACTTGATTTTGAAACGAAATATAGGACATTAGTTATTTCGATACACAGCCATAATTAACCCATCAATTATATTCTCGATGCCTATTTTTAAAATTAAATACATATAATTACGTATAAATAAATGCTCAAAATTTTCAGCATTTTTTTCTTAATAAAGTTTTAGCATTACTGAGTGATTTTTATTTTTAAACACAGAATTTTAATTATATATCCGATGTGAACGTATAACCGCAGCAAATTGAATTTCAAAACCTGGGAACTCTAGTTTTATGTAAACATTCTTACCTGAAACTGCAGTAAAAAGAAACAACAAAAGAGCAGGTTCCAACGTTTTAGCTATCTTCATACTTCACCTATGATCTCTATTTTGTCAGTTTATCTCCGAGTTGCAGATTGATTGTAGTCTATGTGTAGCAGCAGCTTTGTAGTCAAGGTGTAAGCGAAAAGTCCCGAACTAACCTACATTCTTCGACGTTATTTTAGGCCTGAGGCGAGGTACGCTTGACGATTTCTGGAAAAAACAAAAAGCATTAACTTATTGCACGAAAGGTCATTCTGGTTTGGAGAATTTTAATCATATTATTGTATCTCATCTTTGTCGGGGTTAAACGAACTAATATTGTTCATATTATAATATTTCCGTAATCAATCGTGTTATTGGATACGTTATAATACTTGACAGACTTTTAGGTAAACCAATTTCAACCTTTGCCTGTCACATTCATACTTTTGTTAACTAAATAGAAATATCACCCAACTTTGCATAATATGACACTACTACAACCTACATAATTTTTTTTCTAAAATGTCTTAAATTTCATTATAATATCATTAGAAATAATTTACTTCGAAATCACAGTATGTCATTGATAAACTATCGATTACAGGTCACGTTATGTTTACTGATTTTGGCAACATAGGAAATGCAAAATGTCATAATCAAAGCAATCAAGTTTCACATCAGGATATTGAAACCTGCCAAACTGTATTCATGCAAACATCGTTTTTTATGATCGAGATATAATTTATCATTCTTTACGAAAAAAATGCAAATTTAATCGTTTTATTCTATAATCGCAGCATTTGTTAGCATAATTATTAGATTTATTTTCAAGCATGAACTCTTTTGTAATTATATGAACAATAAATAATATTCACTGTCTTGCTTCGCAACATAAAAAGTAAATGTACTTTAATTTCATGTATTGTATGTTTGTTTTTTAATACGTTACAGTCAAATTTACATGTTTTACCAATCAATAGTATAGATATAAGAATATAATATACATAAGCACATGACACTAACTGACATTTCCTGTCTCAAAAGTAAAGCGACTATTAGAGTTAATAGAATGACAAAATGGCTAACAATATGTAGAATTATTCAAAGGTCTCACACGACATAAACTGGGAACTAATAATAATCATTTTCTTTGATTAATACATTCAATTTTGTATTTGCACGCGTATGGACGGCATATCAGATTAATGAAGAAAAATGAATTAACAAAGTCATACTCAGTTGAATGCGATTCTTAGCTTTTCACATGGGCAATGTATTATTGGACCTGATTGTAGAAGACAAAAAAATATATTTTTTAATTGGCTACAATGTCTTCAACAACTTTGTAGCAAAGAATGCAAATAACAATATACATCATCAATTTATCATTTAGTAGTAAAATTAGGCTGAACAGAGACTTATATCCAATGACTTCTATGGTATTTTATTTTCAATTGAATAAATGTTCACATGACCGATGTCCATACACACGTAGTTTCTAGCTGATGCTTTCAGATGTATCCGCTAGTTGTCACTATAACTTCATGAAATTCTGTACAGTCGGATTGTACATTACTTTAATTAAGTATGAAATTATTAAACAATGCTGTACAGAAAACGGATACTTTGCTGCAAGTGAAGAGCAAATAAAAAATGGAAATGTAATGTCTGTAACACAGCTATGTCACTTACACCGTGCTGTAATGGTGTTGGTGAAATAGTGGAAAATGATGTTGCTAGGTGTACCACCTGTGAAAATTCATTTCTGAAGTGTAATTGCTCTGCCTTGAACAGCTTACCTGTAGAGAATGGTTTCGATAAATGCCATAGTGTAGGCTGTGGTAGCTATATAATGCATTGTCCTTGTGGTAGCGTTTCATATAGTGATGAATCGCTAGAATGCAGATGTGGAAATACTCTAAATGGCTGATATTAAATTGAAATAGCCTCTTTAAATACAGGAGGTATACGAGAATACTCAAAAAGACAAAAAATATTTTTGTTATTGAAAAATAAGGGCTTTAATCTTGTCTTTCTACAAGAAACACATAGTAAAAAGAATGACGAGAAACAATGGCTGAGAGAATGGGGTGGTTCTTGAATTTTCTGTAATTACTCTACCAATTCAAGAGGATTATGTATTTTATTTGGAAACAATATTTCATACTCACTGCACACGCAACATAATGATCCTCGAGGAAGATTTCTGGTGGCAGACATAACCATCGGTGTTGAAAGACTCACTCTAGCAAATATGTATGGACCAAATAATGATGATCCCAGGTGTTTTTTGGAACTCTTTCAGACTCTTGAGAGCCAACAAAGCCAGCAATTCATAGTTGGAGGTGACTTCAATGTAGTCCTTGACAGTAAAATTGATAAAGTGGGCGGCCGACTAAACCATGGAAATAAAAAATCGGGACAGATGTTGCATAATATTATGGAAGAACTGAATTTGCAAGACTCCTTCAGAGTAATAAATCCAAGCAAGAAAGTATACTCTCATATTCATAAACAATCAAAAACTGCCACCCGAATAGATATGGTGTTACTATCTCAGCATTTGTTGCAATATCAGTGCAAAGACGATATTATACCTTGTGTTTTATCTGATCACTCTATAGCAGGGCTACTCAACTATTTTTATCGAAGGTCCGCAAACAAAACTTCAAAATTATTTGGGTCCGGTCTTTCCAGAAATGATATTTCGGCATCCTTAAACGAGCACTTCTTCGACCGACTGATGATTAGTAGCAAATTAAAAGTGTTTATTATAGTGTTATAGTTCTTTTCG